CTCCAGGCTATGTTCAATCCATCCTGCTCTGTGTTTTTTGCCATCATTGTTCTAGTCCAGTGGTTCTTAACCTTTGTTACTCGGATGTTTTTGAACTGCAACTCCCAGAAACCCCAGCCAGCACAGTTGGTGGTGAAGGCTTCTGGGAGTTGCAGTCCAAAACTCCTGAGTAACCCAAGGTTAAGAACCAGTGTTCTAGTCTCCATCCCCTTCCTTGGAATGTGCTAATTGAAAATGAAGGGGCCAGATAAGTAGAAGCTTTCTTCTGGTGTTCTGTTTTATGGAACAGGTAAAATATGTTGTATATTATGGAGAACTATGGTTGCTATATTTTAGTGGGATTGAAGAGCAATGGAGCAACAGGTCTGTATTAAACTCCAGGAGGCTTGTCGTGACCTCAGTGAATGGAGAAAACACAAACACAAAATTGTTTTTCCCCTCTTACCTGAATCTACTGTCAAGTAAACAATTCTGTGTTGGGTAAACTGCAGATGAAAAAAAATATGCATAAAAAAGGAGTAGGGAAGGAACATGTTAGATCTTTCTACCTTGTTAACCTATAGGAGGCTATTCTGTAGCTGAAATCACTGTAGTACATTTTATCTTTACTGATTCTCTTAATGTGGCATAGGAATTGGCCATGATGTGTTATCATTGTAAAATGAAAGCCATAATACTACTTAAAAAGCTAGTTTGTCACAACCATGATAACATTGTGAAGAATGGAAATAGACCGTGAAGCTTTCAGAAGATTAGGCCTTTTTTCATAACACCATGAAGATTGTATGATGTGGTATCATTCTGCCTTTCAGTATTATTGGTAGCTGTTTCAGATACATGTTCCTATCATATATGGGAAACTTTTTTCATATAGAAAAGTGGAAATAAGGAAGCAAATATATTAAGGTAGTTCAAGCTTTTGGGCCTCAGCTGAATTTAACTGTAATTTTTAACCTGCAAACAAAGCTGTGGTCTCAGACATTTACTTGGGAGTAACTCCCATCAAACTCAGTGTGATTTGCTTCTGAGTAGGCAGGTGCTGCTGTCAGTTTAAATCCCACTGCTTTCAATATAATTTATGATATTACACATGGAGACAGAATAATAGTGTTCTCTCAAGTCATTTCTGACTTATGGTGATTCCCCGTTTTTTTATGTTACCCTTCTTGTGTTATTCTGATATTGTGCAGCTTGTCCAGGACTGCATAGATTGTGGGTCACGTAATCCCACACACGCCCTGGGTATTCTCAGTTGGCCTTTCTCAGAAGAGGCACAGTGAGGGTCCATATTCTCAGGCACTGTTTCTGCAGTCAGATGTTCCACTTAGCTATACTGGCACTGAGAATGCTACATGGTGTACTCAGAAATAAATGCCATGTAAGTCAACTCCCAGCTGAGTAAAGGGTACATCTACATTGAATGTAGAAAATGCTCTGGGATTGGGATGGTCTGATTCACATTATTTTGAGTATGTAAGATGAAAGTCAGTGTGAATCCATCTGGAACTTTTCACCTCTAATCTGTACTTCTTTCCTCCACCACTGGGGCTTCTCCTTTTTTGGAATTTTATGCATTGCATTGGTTCTGGTGGTGTGATAGCTTGAGTTAATGTGCAAGGGGTTTGTAGCCACTGTATTTAAGGCTATTCCAGTTACTACATCAGCAGTGAGAGAGGCAGAACATGGGGGAAATTGGCTGCCATTTGAATCCTCTCCTCTCCACACAAACTGAGTTGACTTTAATCTTCCCATTCTGTTTTATTTTCTTTCTTTTTCTCTTAAAGGCTTGATAATCTAGCACTAGGGTAATTAGGTGACCAGAGGAAAGAAAACTACAAGGAATTAGCAGAGAAAGAGAAGGAACTTTTAGATGACTCAGCTCTAACCATGACTCCTACAAATCTGGATGGGCAGAGCACAGATACTTTAAAACATCTCTCCCTCTGGCTCTCTGCCCAAGCAGTAAATATACAATGTTTTTTTTTTTCCTTAACAAGCTGGAAACAAGATTGAAGTGAAAACTTCCTCCTGGCTCTCTGCTGACTTCTTGCTTTTCTCTCTTTGTTCACTTGGCTGCGCTACTTCTATGACAGCAAGTGTTTAAAAGGAAGGAAGGAACTGAACGGGAAAGGATGAGGGAAGCAAGCAGACTCAGGTACCAGATGTGGTGAGGAGAGAATTCTAATGGTCAACAGGCTGCTAACAAAGACTGATTTCCAACCCTCTCTCTGTTGACTTCTGTATGGTTGGTTGAAGCAAATTAAGCTGGGGAAACTCAACTTTGTGGGAGTGACATAGTGTACATATCCATTCACATTTTTCCTGTTGTCTAGTTGCACCCTAAGGAAAAGCACTGCAGTCCTAGTTGGTGCGAACTACTTGGGAAGGGAGCAGGGTAATAGTGTTGTATCCATGATTTCTTAGTCCACACATGATTTTAATCAGATTTACTTGGTTGATTGTATAATCTGTCATGAGTTTATTTTTTAAAATCTTATCTATTGTATACAAACAGATAAGACTATTAAGATGTCTCAGGGACTGTTTAAAACTAGGCTGTTCTATTTGAGAATAATGGTTAGCTATTCATGGCCAAAAATAAGATAAAATAAAATCTCTTTCCAGAGCAATCCAGATCTAATGCAAAGAAAAGCTGGATTCCCTAACCAGTATAAGTGATGCAAATTAGGCACACTTGATTTTCCTCCTGATTTTGAGTGTTTTGTACTCCTAGTTTAATTTATTCTGATTTTGCTAATCATGGGGAGCGTCAGGTAATTATGTAGAAGGCTGGAGCTTTTGCCCTCAACTATTGTAAATATTGTGCAACAACCTTTCTGCCCTCCAAGCAGCAGCTGCTGGCACGCTTTCAAACATACTGCAAAGCTCACCCTGGGAAGCTGAAAATTCTTAGGAAGATGAATCCTGCTTTTTGTCCACACATTCTTTAACTTAAAGCACATTATTGGACTTGACTGATGCATGCAGATGGAATTGTAATGATCACAAACCCTGGGATAGGCAAAAGAGGTTAATGGGAATATTTTAGCAAAATACAGTTCTGTTCAGATGTTCCTCCAAACTGTTATGTGGATAGACTGCAAATAATCAAGTGCTCTGTTCTTCTAGCATGGGTTCCCTTTAGCACTAAGCTTTGATTGTAGGAAGGTAGAGAGAGCACTTGTCCTCCAGCGTAGGACCATTCTGATTCTGGTTTGAAGAGAAAGGGCTAATCATAGTCCAAAAAACCAATGATTCCCAGTCAGCAGGAACAGGAGAAGAAAACTGTGTGGGGACGGAGAATGAGCCTACATAAGGTTAGAGCAGGACTGGGCACTGGAGAATGCTGGCAGACCCATGGGGCAAATATTTATCCACCATAGCTTGAAATGAGGAGGGGAGCAGGCTGGACACCAAAGGATATGTGTCTGTTTTAGTTTATAGCTCTTACTGTTAGTAACCAAGGACTATTTTAGGGTAGGAAAACCTGTAAGGAAGCTTGAAAGCTGCCAAACAGTATCACAGGAAAGGGTGTGACTGTATGGGAAACCCTACAAAGGTTGGATTCAGTCCCCGAACCTTAGATTCCATACCCCTGTGTTAGAGGATTGTATAAAATAAGACTACCAGTGTAACAAAAGACCAACCAGTGACGCCCAATTATAATTATGTAGGTTATGTCAGCAACTTGTTTGCCATAAAAGAAGTTTGCACCACTTACCACCTTACTTGTTGCTGACAAATTTTATAACTGCCTTTATGTTGATGTCTAGGGAAGGTGAAGATGTAATGCTCCCAATCCAGTAGCCATGCTAAGGAATCTGGAGTGTTCCCTTCACTCCCTAGATTTCAACGTCAGTTTTAAGACTGCCAGTAGTGGGGCCCACACTTCCAGTGCAGAAGTACTGGTGGATTGTTTTGACTAACAGGAATTATTCTATGCAATTGTTTGTCATCTGCATCTCTCTGCGGCCTTACCTGTGTCATTTGTTCTTGTGCACCGCACAAAAGAGAGACTTTTCCCAGTAACAATATACATTGTTGTTGCAATGAAAAACATGTTGGGGTGTCATGAATGGGCAACTAAGTATCATTGGTTTTGCACAACACCTTTTTTTTGCTGGTGCTTTAAACTTCTAGAACTTTGGAGATTTTCAGATGAAATGTTTCTTCCTGCTGATAGAAAAAAAAAGCTCTGTGAGAGCTTGAACTTATGATCTTAAGCTGCTTGACGACATGTTCTGTCCCTCTTGTTCTCTTTCTCGTGTAATTGACAGATTCTCCAGCCAAAGTCCAAGAAAGCAAGTACTATACTTCACTGCCTTTTTCTTTGCTCACTATTCTATGACTGCAACCAATCCTAATACATTGGCAGTTATGCTATGGACTGCAGCCATTGGGGAAAGATTATGTATATCTGTAGATATGGAGGCACAGAGGGAGAGAAAAACATCTCTATAGATGAACATGGCTGCCTGTATTTTTGTTTTTTTTTTCAGGTGGGTGGCTTTGGGGAATTGTTTTATTTATTTTTATTTATTTAATTTATATGCCGCCCACTCTACCCAGAGGTCTCTGGGCGGCTTACAATAATTAAAATTCAATACAGTAAAAATTAAATGATTAGAATACAATTAAAATACAATTAAAATTGCCATCATCAGGACCCACAGTTGATGTTATTTCAGTTAAAAGCCTTCTGGAACAGGAAGGTTTTGAGCTGGCGCCGAAATGTCATCAACGTCGGCGCCAGACGAATTTCAGTTGGGAGGGCATTCCATAGTCTGGGGGCAGCTGCCAAGAAGGCCCTTTGTCTACAAGCCATCCCTCTTACCTCCTTGAATTGTTGTGATGCACTTCAAAATGTACCTCTTCACTATTTATTATGTCTAGTGCTCATGTAGCCATGGGCCTTAACTATGATTTATGCCTAGTAGAATTTGTTTTTTGAGGTTTCAGTCCAGTTCTGAAGTTCTTCCTGATGCTTTATTTTCTTACAGACCTTAGTCTTCAGGCAGCTTCTCAAATTCTCTCTGTCCCAGTTTACAATGCATTGAAAGTAATGAAAGACATTGCACAGAACTTTCCAGTAAAAGCCAGGTATGATATTATTCGTTTTTGATGTACTCATGTGAATGTCTGGATTTTATGAACACTTTTTTAAAAAATTAGATTTGTATCTCCTCCAGTCAGGTTAGCAAATGTGGCTTTCAACCGATTTTATTTCCCCAGCAACTTTGCGAGGTAGATTAGTTTGAGAAAAGGAATTACTTGAACTCCTGCTCTTAAGAGTCTTGAGTTCAGTCTGCTAAACCACCCTAGAAGAGCCTTTCTGTGAAATCTACAAACATTTGTAGCCTTGGTTGTCATGTGAGTTATGTAGTCGTAAAGAAAAGCAGAAGCTGCCTGTATATCACTTCTCTCACTCACTGCCTTGAAGGGGATTTTTACCACAAGGGACCAGGCGGATAGTTTTTAACAAGCCTGAATGAGAGCACATGATAAAATTCAACAGACAACAGGATCCAGTATATACATGAAAACATTATGACTGAAATGGCCCATCGGGTGCAAGCTGTCAAGTTAGAGAACATAGTCTATCATCATATGAGTTGTAGTAATAGGAAAAGCTTGGCAGTCTTTCTCTGCCAAGAGATTACGTGCAGCAGTGGAGATGATTCCTTATTTATCGATGTTCACAAAACTAGTATCATGTTGTGAGACTTCGTTCATTAGCAGATAATTCCGTCTATGTAGACTGACCTTTCTTACGGCACTTTTCATCTTCAGGATCACTTTCATCCTCCTAATACCACTATGATTTACCTTCAGTACTAAAGCCAAATGTATTCTCCAATTGCATTGATAAATAATTGGCAGTTGCTACAATTTGATGTGCCCCAAATACTTTTCTGTACTTATTTGATATTGCAAAGCACAGCCTGCTATGTTTTTGAACTATTGAGGCAACCTCAGATGAGAATTAGGCAGCAGGGCGAGTGCACCGTTGATACTAGGCATGGCAAGTTGCAGATGCTGTAATAACTTTTTGCCCAGTATTTGAAAACTTTTAAAATGTAAATTCTATTTGCACTCAAAGAACCAGAATTTGGAAGTAATGTATTACCGCTAATGACATTATCTGTAATGCATTCACTTTAGCTAAGCCGTAAAGTAAGGTAGAATCTGTAACATCGTCATATATTTTGTGGAATGAGTAATTTTTGCTATCAGGGTGGGTGGGTGAGAAATAAGCCTGGAAAAGAGTATGTCAGTAAGGCATTACTTGTAAAGTACATGTTACCCTTTTAAAATAAGGGTTGAAGTGTTACTTTTTAAAATCACTGTTCAAAGCTCTGCATGTGACATTTGTTGAAACAGACTTGAGTGAAATGTTCATAAACTTTTTCTAAAGCACCTTGAAGGCACAGTCTCATGTATGTATTTGGAGAACCTATGGTGGCACTTCCTGGTATATGAAGATTTGCAGTCCAGTAGCCGTTATATCACTAGGGACATGATGGCGCTGCAGGTTAAACCGCAGAAGCCTCTGTGCTGCAGAGTCAGAAGACCAAGCAGCGAATCCACGTGGTGAAGTGAGCTCCCGTCGTTTGTCCCAGCTCCTGTCGTGGTGAAGTGAACTCCCATCGTTTGTCCCAGCTCCTGTCGACCTACGTAGCAGTTCGAAAGCATGTAAATGTGAATAGATAAATAGGTCCCACCTCAGTGGGAAGGTAACGGCGTTCTGTGTCTAGTCGTGCTGGCCACGTGACCACGGAAACTGTCTTCGGACAAAAACGCTCTACGGCTTGGAGACGGGGATGAGCACCGCCCCCTAGAGTCGGACACAACTGGACTAAATGTCAAGGGCAACCTTTACCTTTACCAGCCATTATATCTTAAAAGAAAAAGAAAAAAAAAGCAAATCTTGCCGGATTGGGGGAAAGGGGGGATTAGGCAAATGCTAATTTCTCCAGGATCAGGAGATGCCCTATGATCAAATAATGGTGACATCTGCCATTGCTCCTTTGCTTCGCCCCGCAGTAAGAGGGGTATGGCAGGAAACCTGGGACCTTAAGGTTATAATCCTTCAAACCATTGGGTGGGGCTGATGTTCCTGAGCATTTCTCTCCCTCAGACGTTTTGCTCCACAAAGACACCTCATGTCAGAGAGAAGGATTTTAGCCCAAGCTTCTCCCTCCGTATTGTGTGTTTATTGTGTGTTATGGATTGATTCATAATGGATTGTTAGCAAATTGCCAAGCAGAAAAAAATAAAACATAAGTACCTTAAATGAAGAATACCCATAAAGCTTTTACAGCTGGTTACACCACTTTTCTTGCAGAGCCCAACCATGTGAAGAGTTTGGATAGGGTACTGAAAATATGCTTCTAGTCTCTACTTGGTGCCATCTGGGAATGTTTAACTGTGCCTTTGGAAGCAAGGTGTCCCTTGGTACAATCCTGAATAATAATTTTTTTTTTAAAAAATGAGAGGGAATAAGAAGAACCGGGATGCGTACTTCATGATAAACTATGTCAGGACTGGTCATGCTCCCTTTTCAGGCCTAGAAGGATCTGTGGGCCTTCGGTTTCCCCCTCCCCACTACCTCCACACTATAGTGGGACATCTTTGGCTAAGACCTGCCTTACCTGCTTCACCACAGTTTGCAGCTGCCCCCCCCCGGCAGCTGCTTAGCCCTGCAGAGTTCCTCTACCATGTGGGGTGACTGCAAGCGCCTCTTAATGTGCTAAGCCCAGCTTTTGCTCTTGCTTTCTAAAGAAGCAGGCTTTCTCCACCCCTATAACACCCCTATAATGTTCCTTCTCCGCCCCTATAACAGTGGCCTCATTTGACCGTTGCTTTTTGCTTTTCAGTGATTGGGGGATTGAGTTCTCTGTGAGAAGAATGGCAAGGGCCATGGATTAGTTTACCTCACAAAAAAGTAAAGAAGAAAAGTGTTTTAACACAGACAAATTGCTTTGTGGTGCCTGAGTTGTTATTTCTTTTCAGATCCTTGACCAGAGTACTAGTAAACCAGCAAATGCGAAAAGAAATAGAGGAAAATCAAAAGGTCAGTTTTTTTTTTCCTTTTTGCAAAATTGATTAAGCTGTGTTGGGAGATGTGTACTGCAAAATGCTCAAAGGTTCCCCCCTGCCCCTCCAAAGACTTACCTTGAAGTCTTTATGGCTCATTGTATCTCCTTTTCTTCCTCCTCCAGCCTTGCATGGTCTGGCCTGCCAAGCAGCCGTTCCAGCCGAAGCCCAGAGAGCTGGAGATCTGGCCATTAATGTTCAAATGATGCCTTCAGGAGCTGAGCTTTAACTCTAAACTAAGCAGCTTTAATTGACCTCTGAAGTCAGACATAAATTGTTTGGCACAAAACCACCCGGGCATAGAGTAATTTATATATATCTCCAATAGGGGCATAGGAAGGTTGTTCTTTGAGGTTTTGCCCCCATTGGGTAAGTCCTTTTGAGGTCTGTGCTTTTGAGGTTGGACTTTAAAGTGCAAGCTGTTAGTGAATATTAAAACCTGTTCTCCTATTTCAAGGCAATATTATTGACTTAGCCCCTGTTTTATTCTGAAACCTTTTGAAGAACACACCAGCGGTTGTGGTGACTGTTTAGGTGGGCAGAACTGAAATTAAACAGAATTGAAATTACCATGCCACCGTTTCCTCTCATGTTTAAAATACGTTGAACATAACAGAGGGATAGCACATGCAATTAGCATATGAAGGTTGGTGGGATGGTGCAATTAATACTAGCAGCAAAACTCTTCATACATGCATATAGTCTGTTGTAGAAACCTCATGGATCCTTCATGGATTGCTGCCTTGTGGCAGCGAAACTCTTCATACATGCATATGGTCTGTTGTAGAAACCTCACATTCATTTTAACATGTTGATCAGCAGGGAGCTTGCTATATGTATCTCCCGTAGTATTTCCCATTCTGTGAAACTGAGCAGTTCTCAACATTTGCTTAGCTCCCTGATTGATCTCCCCAACACTGTGCCTCTTACAAGAAGGCAGCCTGAGCTTTACAGTGACTTATTAGATAATGAAAGAGCTACTCACTAGAAATAATGACTTACTTGTAATCCATTCCTTTTTGCAATAATGAAGATTCCACTGCATTATCTTACATTGGGAGTGTAATAAGGGATAAAAATCACTCCATTTGCAGTGGAAGTGCAACTGTGTTTGAGTTAATTTTATATTTCCAGGTTTATTTATTTTTATTTATTTGTCTTGTTTATAGGCCACCTTTCTCCTGATCAAGGCAGGCCACAGTATTTTTTTAAAAAAAAGAATTAAAAACAAAATAATGTATACATTTAAAAAACAAACTATGAAAGTGAATGATTAAAAACATGTAAAACATTAAAACGGCAATATCTTTACTAAAAAAAACACACCAGCATTCAGGGGCTCAGTCATGATTGTTAAATGCCGGCTGGAAAAGGTGTTGGTAGAAGAATAAAAAGGAGGTGGCCAACCTGATCACCCAAGGGAGAGCATTCCATAACCTGGGAGCAGCCACTGACAAGGTCCTCTCTTATGTCTCCGTCATCCGTGTCTTCACTAGCAATGGAATGAAGAGGGGGGCTTCCTTGGACAGTCCTAAACACTATGAAGGCTCAAACAGGAAGATACTGTACAATCCTTCAGGTTGCCTGAACCCAAGCTGTATAGGGCTTTACAGGTGAAGACCAGCTCTTTGAATTGGACTGGTAGCCAGTGCAGTTGTTGTAGCAGGAGCATTATGTGCTCCCTATAACTGCGCCCCATCAGTAATCTGGCTGCTGCATTTCAGACCAGCTGAAGTTCCCAAACTCTTCAAAGGCAGCCTCACATAGAGCAAATTACAGCAATACAGATGGGATGTAATTAAAGCATGCATCACTGTAGCCAAATCAGACAGGTTGTGTGGCCTCAGAAATTTGGTGCATTTTGTTCCACAGGCCAGCAGCTTATAACATTCATAGGGTTTTTATAAAGCCCCTAAAAGCAATTATCTTGGTTAGTTTTGAGAAGAATGAAAGTGTGCTGCTCATGTACTGCCCCATAGTGCTTAAAGCACTCTCTGGGTAGTTTACGGTTTAATTATGCAAGCTACGCATTGTCCTCCACCCTCACCTACTGAACTGGGTACTCTGTTTACTGACCTCAGAAGGATGGAAGGTGGAGCCAACCTCAAGCCAGTTACTGAGCCCATCGGGACTGAACTCAAGTAACGAGCAGAGTCTTTGACTGCAGTACTGCAATTTAACCACTGCACCTAGAAACTGGCAAGCAGAGTGTTAACGGTTTCTTAAAATGTAATATTAATGGGAACCCATACAATGTTAAAATAACAAAAGGAAAACTTTTAGATAATTATGCTCAAATATGGTCTGGTGTTCCAAGGACCTTGATATTTGGCGCAATGTGTCTCTCTCACAAAAGAGAGAGGGGAACCCATCCCACATGCTCCTTGCAGTCCTTGGTGTTAAGACTTGTAATATTTAAGGAAGCTGAAAAAGCCAACTTGAGGAACTGGGCTTTCTTGGTTGTGGCCCCTTCCCTCTGGAACAAGCTTCCAAAGAGGCACCATCCCTCCATTTTTAGGAAGCAAATTAAGAAGAAATGGTATAAAGCTACCTTCTAATAGTATGACTATTGTCCAGAGATGTTCAGATGGGTTTTATTTGTTTATTTTTATTTAAAGTTAATTTTAGCTAGTGACAGTTACTATAATTTACAGGATTTCGTTTTATTTAGTACTGTATATAGTGTTTTAGTGTATAATTTCATTGGATATTGCGAACTGCCCAGAGAGTGGCAGTACTAATGGGGTAGTATAGCAGTGGAAATGTAACTTAAAAAAAATAATTAAACGAGATGGAACAAGCCTTTGGCTTCCACCCGCTGCCCTCCTTCCTGAACAAAGCCATTAGAATCCCTACGCACACACTCCTCATTTAGCGGTAAAACCATAGATTTCCAAAGGTTATATGAAACAATCCTCCTGCTGAAAATGGAGGGAATGTACACTTTGAAGGTTTCTGCCTGCTTGTTCTCCTCATTTAACTTTTATGTCTGCCCTCAGAGAATCTTTCTGCACCTTAAAAGCTAACTGGATTACTGTGGTATAAGGTTTCATGGTTTAGAATCCAGTTCATTAGTTCAGTATGCTACAATAAATCTGTGAGCCTTTAAGACACCAAAATAATACGCTTTCTTATGTTTTCTAGAATAGGTAAAGTTGCATTCTGTTCCATATTCTGTTAGCACCTATTATTTAATCGGATTTAAGGTTTTTGACTGCTTCGTTGGAACTATTTTATACTCAACATTCTTTTGGAATGTGTTGGAACTGTTCTATATTCACATTCTTTTGAGCAGGTGATATGTTAAAATATTTTTCTTCTCTATTCTTTTAGTTATTGGTTCCCAATGGTCTTGTCAGGCTTCATTGTAGCTCTTAAAATAAATGTAACTTTTGATAGGGAAAGCATATGGTTATGGCTATAATTCTAAGCTTAGTTACATGAAGGAAATCCCATTGAATTCAGTGGGGCTTATTATTTTTGAGTAAAGATGTTTAGCATCAGGCTATAAGTTTCATTTTGTCGATGCTTCAGAGCACCATCGATCTTCATGCCCATGAAAATCTCTATTAAATAGCACACTATTTCTCATGCTTCCCTGACACTTTTTACGTGCTTCATCTAAAACAAATACTTTTATTTAAGCCCTGGAGCTAGTATTTTTTTCTTCCCGTCAAGCATTTTTAAAGGCATCTTTTGGTAAATTCCTGTTTAAGTCTCTCTCTCCCTCTCTCCTTGGTGCAGATTACTCATTTTTATTAGACTGCAGCAGCTGCATAAACACACTGTAAAATGATTTCAAGTACTGGTAGTTAAATAGCTCTTAAAATAGATCTGAATGTATTTTGATGTCAGTTGCTCGCTTTTAGAAAATGCAAAAGAACATTGTGACACTTGAGCCTGTCTCTCAAGTGTTCCCTTCAAACTTATGTTTAAGTAGAGTGGGTTTTCCTCCCCCACATGTTACATTATTACATTACCAAAACGGCAAATGAGGGTTTATGTATATGTGTGCTTGCTCCCTATTTTGGACCTGTTACGTGAGAGGATTAAAATACAACTTTGAAGAGAAATGGTGAAACACAATATCAGTTCTTTGGAATAAATCTGTGTGTAAATTAAACCTGGCCCCATACAGTTAACATTGTTGCTGACGGCCACATGGAAAGATGATTTGGGTACCCATGAACGCAATGTTGAGAAGCCAATCTCTTTTTTTCCCCGTCCGAATATAAATTTGGGAGCTATTCAGCTATCAGTGGTACAGCAGAATAAATTGTCTTGCACATTTTTGAGCTACAGGATATTCGTCTATCAGCAGGAGAGGCACGATTTCAAGCTGTGCAGAACTGAAAAATTCCCCTCTAAGATAATGAAAGTTGAATAGAAAATGCAGTACAGGAAAGAAGCTAAAGGATATTATAGATTGAAAAGTATATTGTGATTAGATGCAGTCAGGATAGTTTTCAAAGATAAGTAGCTATTGGCAATGTTATGGCCGGTGGTAGGTGTTCAGGTTTTGAGAAAGAGTTATAGGCTCCTCTAAAGAAGGCACTCTTTTGTTTTTATTCTAGGCAAGTCAGGAAAGCCCATTAAAGCCACCTGTCTCCAATATTCTTATTATACCAGCCTTGTTGATCAAATTTGTATTAGCCACACTTTGTATAGCAAAGTGTAGCTCCCATTTTACAGACGGAGAAGGGTCAGAGAGAGGATGGAGTATTCATGGGATTTCACTGTGTACAAAGCAGAGCAGGTGTCCAAGGGCAGAGCACCAAGACCAAATTCAACACATTGGCACATTGACATGTAATAGGATATTATAATATATTATTTGCAAAACACATACTTATTCTCTCCTTTGCCCCCTGCCCCCAAAGCCTTTCAGATTTGCAATACAGTACTTGAGGCTGCTAAGGGTACGGGTTGTATATATATGGTAAAAGTGAGTGACAGTGTTTTTAAAAATGAAAAGTTTTGTTTGTTTTGTTTTTTAAAGAGCAGATAACATGGAAGACCGCAACCTTGGTCCAAATTAGTTGCTCAAGAAGTGAACTTGAATCAGTGTAAGGTCCAGTTGTGTATTCAGCTTTTGTCTCTCTTAACAAGATTCATGGCAGCTGCAACAGGACACATGCTGCACAAGTGGAAGCGCTTTATGTATATCTAGTATAAAAACCACCTTTTCTAACACTGAAAGACAGGCAAGCCGATTTTTATTAGGGCCAAAATTCTGTTGAGGAAATCCATGCATGTGAGGGCAGTTGCATAAGTGTTTCCCTCCTTTTGCTTGCCACCTGTCACACAAGGGGGCATACAGTTGTGTGCTCAACTGGTGGATAGAGGGTACCATGACAACCTGCTGAACAGGTAGAATTGCTTACATGATTTCTCCTTCAGCAACCAGTTAAGGCAGTAAGATGCTGCTCCTGAAAGTTAGGATAAGTTTTTCTAACAATATAACAACTGTCTTGGTTTTCTAGGGCTTTCTGAATTATTTATTTATTTATTTATTCATTCATTCATTCATTCATTCATTCATTCATTCATTCATTCATTCATTCATTCATTCATTCATTCAATTTATACCCTGCCCCTCTAGACAGCGTCTACTCAGGGCGGCTTACAAAATCATAAAATAATAATAAAAACATCACAATCAAAATAAACATCATTCATAAGGAGAGCCTGGATTCCATGCAGCAATTGTAATGCTGAAATTCAATTCACATACTATGGCTGGTCAGAATTAAATGATCAGGGCTGCTTTATTAAGATACAATATGAAAAGCTCTCCTTAGCAGAATAGGGGACTTTGTGTACAAAAGGATACCATTTCCATAAATTTTAAACTGCCTTCATCAACTCAGGGCCCCTCACATAATGTTGGTTTGGTCTACAATGCCCATCATGCTGGTGATGGGAGTTGTAATCCAGTGCAGCTGGAGATTCACCTAGGGCAGGCTGGTATGAAAGAGTAATTTGTGAAAAACAGTTCCTAATATATCCTTTTACAATTGAAACTCTTAGTTGTTGAATTTGTAGTTGTAGCTAAAAAGCCTTTTCTATCTGTTGAAATAATTTGTAGTGTTGTAGTGGTTACCTTTAAATGTTAACTCAAATTATTTCATTATATGCCATCTATACTGTGAGAAAACAAGGTAATTGCATTTGTGTCCCTGTTCTCTCTGCTGTGCAGCAAAAGGAAACAGCCTGTCTCAGGCTTAGAGATGTAAAATTTTAAGAAACCCTTTTTTAAAAACTGGGCTTCATCCTTGGAGGGGAAATGAAATTTTGGGAATAACTGAAATATATGAGATACATCAATTACACTTCAGGCAGCATAATGTCTTGAGTCTGCATTGGCTTACTCTGGAGACTGTTTGTTAAAGAATACTAAACGCAACATCCTAGATTATAGTTTACGAAATTTGTTTAAAGCCCTGTCTGCTGTGTTAGCTGGTTTTTCCTTTTTGTGAACTGTGAATCCTTAAGGAAGGATGGAGGCCACTAATGAATAGTTAACATCAAGTTTATTCTGAGGAAAAGAGGATGAATTCCTTATCTTCAAGAATAATTAGGAGATTAAGGTTCATCCCTCACAAATTAATGTCATCCTGTTCAGACAGACTTCAAGATTTGAAGGATGAAAATATTCTTAGATTCTTTTTAAAACTCTTTTGCCTAGGTAGTATTAAGCATAGCAATTTTTGTCTTTCTAGCATCTGCATGAAACACTTGAACTTCAGCCTGGCGAAGCACGCTTATTTCTAAATGGCCTTCCTATAGACTTGGATTTTCATGATCCATTTAGGTAAAGTATTACTACTGCAGTGTGCTTTTGCTACATTTTCGACTAAAGAAAAGGAGCAGCTAATTAAACCACACTAATTTGACTATGCTGCAACCCCAAAAGAAATATTAATCTGTGTCATTGTGTGATTGGTTGGCTCACAATAATTGAGGAGGGGAATAAAATGGCTATTAGGATCCTCTTTGTCCCCTTAAAGTTCATGTACTTACAATAAGCCAGAATTGACAGCATTTCTCTGTCTGGGTCTAGACTCCCTGGCTAGTAACCTTATCTCCCAGAGCCGCTAGCCCTTTTCTTCCTGCTCATGGTCTTCCTGTTTTGAGGCTCTGTGTGCAAGGCTTTCCCCGGTTCTACTCTATGACTCTTCTTCCATTTTTAACTTTTTCTCCTCCTCAAGACTAAGCCTCATCGCATTTGGCTGATGTCGCCAAATAACATGGTTTTTAATACACCAGTCTCCTTTGCATTTCTGTCCCTCTCCATGCAGATCACTCCTTCCTGATCTTGAGTGATGTGACATTTCCTCAGAGCCCTCTTTCTGATTCACCTGATGGCCTTTGTCTCCTTTGCCTTTTCCCTCAGCTCACATTCTCCACTTGCCCTTTCTTCAGGTTCCCCTTTCTCAGCATGCAGCCTTCTCTGTACACATCCTTCAACCTCTAGCTTCTGGCCTTCCTTTCGCTTCACATCCCTGTGTACAAGGGCCTCTTCCAAGCCCTCTGCTTCCTGCTGTGCGTTCCTGCCTTCTGGAGCAATAGAACATTCTGTGCGAGGCTTTATTGCCACAAGCACAATTCAGTATAATTAACCGATAAACAATGAAGGGGGAACTTTTCAAGGAATGTCTTAGTTACTCTGTATGATTTTGGACTACATATATGATTTATATTGTATTTGTCTCAAGTATTTTAGAAACTCTGAAGTTAGAAGGGAAGGCAATGCATGGACTTCATTCCTTTGGAATCAAGGGAGATACGCTTCATAAATTAATGAGATTAGCCGGACGATCTGATGATGATACTTACGCACTGGATATTCGTCACTCTGCAATAATAGTAAGTTATAATTCTCCTTAACTTAATAGTCTTCTACATATCATAAAGTTCTTTGGTTTTACTGCAGTGAATCAATACCCGTTTTCCTTCTGGAAAAAACAAGTTCGAACCCAGTTGCTAGAACCAGCTATAGCAGACCCATGGATTTGGATTCTGAATGGTAAGTCAACACTTATATCAGTCACTTTGATTCAGCGGGCCTACTCTAGCTGGGACTAGCAATTATATTTAGGCCTGCATACACATTTATTGTGACAGACCAATCTTCACTGAAGGTGAGGGGTGAAATTGTCTAGCATATCCGAACCCCTGCCAGTTCACATCAGCCGGGCAGACATGAGTTCCAACATGGGAAGATAACTGAGTTAGTTCCAACTTCTGCTGTATCATCAATTCTTCTGAAAAGGGACTCTTCTAGATCTAAACCAAATTTCAGATATTTCCAAAGTTTCAAAAACCTGTTAATACAAAACTTGCTCTTCAACTGAAGTTAAGCCCTACTCAGGCATTAAACCTCAAATTGTGAAGGACTGTAATTGTGGTAGGGAAGGAGCACACAGTGAAGTGCACAAAAGTCACACTTTCACATGTTCACTGCATCTAAGACGTTCTTGATCATAGAGTCTCTCTGATCAGCAGCCCTAATAAAGCAGCATTCCTGATCTTTTGAGCGCTGTGTTATTAGGTGAGTGAAGATCTGCCTTATTCCTGGTAGCATTAGGACATGTAGAGGAAGGATATGTTTATGTCTCCATGTCCCGACCACACGTTTAGCTCTCTGCATTTTCAGGCTTAGTGACGAAATAAAACTACAGAGCATTATGTTCAGATAACAGTTTTATTGTTTGTTGTAAGTGAGAAATAGAACTAAACTAAGCACAAATAAACAGTTTTCCTGATGAAATTGTACTATTTTCCAAGATGCATTCAAATTTCTATTCTGCTTTTGTTTGGGAAATTTTCGTTAGTCAAGAATTTTGTCAGATACAATCAGTGCTGCATTCTTCTACTGGAACAGTAACAGAGAAAAAGGATGAATGTATAACAGGTGGCCTAGAGAAAAGATTTTGAATATGTAAAGCAAATAATGAGGCTTCTTTTCTGAGTGATTTTATGGAATTGTTTAAAGCAAAAAGGACTAGAGACTTCACAATGTCTAACATTCAGATTTTCTCACAGCCAAAGATCTGCTGTTGAACTTTTTAAACTCAGATCCAACTAGAAAAAACAATAAAGCATAGATAATCCTGTGTCTAGTCATGATATTAAATTGTTGTATTTATTAATTGTATGTGTACATCAGTGGATAAAACAATTAAGGAAGAGTCTTCAGAATCAAGTGGTGTCCCCCCCCCCCCATAATTGGGGATGAAATTGAAAGGAGAACTCTCAAAGGATGCCAAATTGCCCTTTATTGACAAGTTCAATACTGCCAATTATTGAACACATTTTAATTACTTGCTTAATGCAGTATGCATTGTCCCATTCCCAAGGGGAGTATAGTTCTCTTATCTTTTTTAATGTGTGTTTCTTTAAACAGTGCAGTCTATTTTTAAGGAAGCATATTGCATGTAATTAATTACTCTCAGTGGACTGCAGAAGATAAATTTCAGCTGTTTCTAGAAGGCATTCTACTTATTTCTGTTTTGTGTGTTTTCATTCTGCTTGTAAATACTGGCTAGCTTATTCTGGTAATTTTCAATACAGTGGTGCCTCGCACAACGATGAATTCACACAACGATGAATTCACACAACGATGCCTTTTTCTGTTAAATTTGCCGCCTCACACAGCGATGTTTCCTATGGGGGATTTTCACACAACGATCTCCCTTTTCACTCCTGTAAAAGTGTCTTACAATGTTTGGAAGCCGTTTTAAATGGTTGCAATGGTTAGCCCACCTCCTGAAACCTACGCAAACTGATTTTGGTGTTGTTCTGACACTTTGTTAATTTATGATGATTTTTTGAATTTTCTCCATTGGAAACCATTGGATGGTCTGTCTAATGGTTTCCAATGGAGAAAACAAAAAATCATCATAAATTAACGAAGTGTCAGAACAACACCAAAATCAGTTTGCATAGGTTTCAGGAGGTGGACTAACCATTGCAATCATTTAAAACGGCTTCCAAACATTGTAAGACACTTTTACAGGAGTGAAAAAGGACTTCGCAAAGCCATTGAAATGTATTGAGTCGGCTTCAATACATTCCAATGAAGGAAACATTGTTTCACACAGCGATGTTTCCTATGGGGATTTTCACTCAGCGATGGGAATCAGTTGGAACGGATTAACCGGTTTTCAATGCATTCCTATGGGAAATGGTGTTTCACAGAACGATGTTTCACACAACGTTGATTTTTTTGGAACCAATTAACATCGTTGTGTGAGGCACCACTGTATTTTTCTGCAAGAAATAATTAAAACGTATCAGCTTTGCCCCTGATGGTTAGGAGTGGGTTGGATATGAGTGCTTCTTTTAGGTTTTGTTCTTTGTGCATTTCTTGGCACAGTGGCTTTCAAACTATGTTCTGGAGAACTCCAGAGCTCCTTGGGGTTTTACTAGGAGATGCCTAGAGAGAAAGCTAGTAGTGGTGAATATTCTTCACTGAAAAATTACCCACCCGCTCCACCAACACTCATATGCACCACTGGCTTTAGCACAAAACAGAGCAATTGAGAAGTCTTGAACGTTCTAGTTTGGACCATCACTTCACCTCAGAAGACAGCTACATCATGGAAATGGAAGTGAAATCACTCCTGATTCTTGTGAGCTGATGATAAACAAAAACAGTCATGCATCTCAACATTATGTTTTTTCTTTGTGCAATACTGGAAGCTCAAACAAGAGTGTAACTGTGGTTAGCAGAGACCATGGTTTTCCATTATATCTGAGCCCAGGCTGTGCTTTCAGTTCAGAGGGCTGATCTTAGGGTACAACTGCCCTAGCAAATGACCATGGCACTCATTCATTCATTCATTCATTCATTCATTCATTCATTCATTCATTCATTCATTCATTCATTCATTCAGCTTTTACCCCACCCATCTAGATTCAAATACTTCCATAACTTCAGAAATCCTTTGCAAACAGCCTCATATGGGATTAGAGATCCTTTTTTTAAAAAAGTAGGGTTACTTTATATTCCAGCCTGCCATTTCCCATTGTTTTATTTTTATATTGTACAGGAATCTTGACTCAGCTTCATCCTTTGCTCCCAATGTCTTAAGTAAATGGCATTGGCTGAATTCCTGTTTATTAGTTATGTAAAGGACATACCTTTGGAGATGAATTGTCTCACATTATGAAATCTCTGCAGGCATTATCTGTTGTATTCTAAATCACATACTGAGGATTTCGATCATTCTTTTCTAAGCAATGAACCATATGAAATGTTGAGACTCATAAGAATTTTTTTGTCAGTTAATGATTCATGTGGCTGGGAGGATAGACCCATTCAAGCATTATTGAATGTGGTGTAAGTAAACATCCCCCCTTTGTCATTGTTTCCATTGCCCATTCATTTCATCTATTATTTCATTCATAATTTCTATTACCCACTTGTTTCTTTCGTCACCTCTTCTGTCATCTCCTCTGTCATTGTTTCCATTGCTCATTCATTCCATTCATTCGCATTGAAGAGTGAGTTCTGTTATCCATGGATACTATCTATGTGATTTGGAATTGTCTCCTCTTGCCCATATAGAGCTGTGCTCTGTTGTCCCATAGAGTTGAAATGGGGTGACATTATATTCCAGGTAAGTGGATGTAGATTGCTGCCTAAACAATCCAGTTAGGTGGGTGTCACTTCCATGGTCACATTTATCCCTTATCTGTGTGGTTGTTGTTTAAATGTTTTCTTAACCATGTCCTTAGCAGCTAAGGGCTCCTACATGGCTAGGGCAACAAAGGAACCCCTAAATGTGCTTATGATTTCAACCTTACATCCAGATGACATGTTGGCATCATGGTAGAACTTTTGAGAACTCCATGTCTAGCTGTAGTGTTATTAGTGGAAACATCGCTAAAGATCATAATCACTGCTGTGTTCTTCTAGTGGATCAATAACATAGAAAAGGATCACATGTATAACAAGTGGCCTACAAGTTTCCAGGAGCTTCTTAAACCAACATATGCAGGAATGATGCGACAAATTCGTCGGAATTTATATAATCTGGTATGTATTGTGGAGGGTGGCAGTTATTGGCTAATTAAGTTTTAAATTAGTTTTATATATCCCAATGTGAGAGCTACACAAAGATCCATTGTGTGAAAGGCATTCAAAACACAATTTTCCCAGTCCTCCTTGGGCAACAACCCACAAGTCTATATGTTGAACTGTGCAAAATGTTGCAGTGATATAATTGCATCCATACATGGGCATACATGCTTTATATCTGAATAGGACATTATAAAACCTTACCTCTCCTTACACCTTCTTGCAAGAAAAAGATTTCAGGTGGTTTCTGTCAGTGAACCTGAATGTGCAAATCAGGTGCACTGTGTAAACAAAATCTTCTTCAATGCAGTTTTTCCTTTGCCTCCCCAAAACCCTACATGCAGTCCAACTTTGTCCTGTTCTTACCACAAGAGGGAATATGTGGGACATTGTAGACACCTGAGGGTGGTATAGAGAGATAGGGTTTGCTACAAGCGGTGGAGTGGTCTGCTGTCAGAGCCTTTGGAATTTACTTTTCCCCTTTTCTGAAAAATGAACTCCAAAGGTTTTCTTAACAATTCAGAACCAGTTGTAGAGCCATGTGAGGGGCTGTACTGGGGTGGAAGGATTGCCACCCCTTCTAGTTCTGATGAACTCTGTTCTGGCCATGAAAGTCTGCCATCTGATCTGACTGCACATCTGGAGCGCAGCCTTTTGTCCACCCTCTCTACCTTGTTTCTGAAAAGTGTAGAGCCTTAAAAGGGAATTCCTTTTGGACAGCTTTGCTGCATTGCAGCTCTAGCAGTAAGCCACTTGAGCATGTGAGAACTCTTGTGTCAGGGAAAGGTAGTTCAGGGGTGAGGTGGAGTATCTGTAATGAAGCATGACGTTTCATGGAGTCCCTGCATGGGGAAGAATTTCCAACTTAAATAGTAGTAATAGTAAAAAATTACAATTTTATTCTATACCAGTGCCACAAAATATAGCCAAAGATACATATAAAATTAAAAAATAATATACTTCAGTGATTATCATAAAAATATTAATAGGCATTTATAATTAAGAAATCTAATTCAGCCTGTCTAAAACACATTGCCTGACCAATATGGCAAGTAAATTAAAAGCTGTTTTAAATTAATTACAGTCCTTGAGTGAAGGACAAACTGCACAGCCAATGGGAAGGAATGTTGGAGACCACCACTGGAAAAGCATAGTATCTGCCATTCTCATGGATTTTAAAGGCAGGGCAACAAATAAAATTTATAAAACTTTTCTTACAAGCATGGATAAATCTTAAAAGTGGAGGCAGTTCTTGAGATCACCTGCTCCAACTACATATGGCTTTAAAAGTATAAAACCCAAGCGCTACACAGTACTTTGAATTGGCACAGGAAATGTATCGGTAACCACTACAGCAGGAACAAAATTGGTGTAATGTGTCCAGAGTGTCTGGTCCAACCGGTGACTGTGTCTCACTAGCTAAAATTTCCACATCATCTTTGAGTGTTTCTTTGTGCAGCTGTTCAATATCCAAAGGTGGGGGAAAACAGTGTCAAAAGAATGATATTAGGCCTGTGGATTCTCTTCTTCTGTTAGGTCATCTTTATTGACCCTATCCAGGAAGAAGCATCTACCTTCATGAATCTTGTTGAGGTTATCTACAGTCAGAAAGTACCTCTTAGGTAAGCTTATGTTTGGATGATGGTCTGAGATTATCATAGTGAGCTAGCATTTATATCTCCTTCTCTTCAGTTCCAGAGCCAAGACAGAAAAAACATAGAAATATGTCTATTTAATACTTGGCACTTTCTCAGCAAGAGTATAGACTGGAATGAGGATAAAAATACAGTACCAGAGTTGGATGAAAATCTGGGGGTTGAGGGGTATAAATACATGTGGAATCTGCTACCAGTTGGAGTTTTGTCAGAACATGGCAATATAGGAACATGATACATAAGCCAGAGTCCTGTTGAGGAAAACCTCTAGGGAGTGTGTAGTACTGACAAGAAAAGGAGTTGTAGGATTTATGCCATTTTACCTGGAGATGAGTTTTTCTCATCCTCTTGAAAATATGCTTGTATAATGCAGAAGTAAGAAGTTACAAGTAACAGCTACCTGTGTGTGACAACTTATTTTTCTGGTAAGGAGAAAGTAATAAAATTACTTTTTTAAAAGGAATGCAGCAATCCATAACATTTTTAATTACTTTAAATGTCTCTTTTAAAGGTTATTTTAAGAAAGATTTTAAGAGGAATTTTCCATGTTCTATTCCAATCTGTTGTCAGTTCTCAGGCAGGGAGATTAGGGAACTGTAAGCGATTAGGGATCTGGTAGTCTCTATATTCATTTGACTCTGTACAAAGTGCCTCTCAGAAACCATCAGTACCTTAATCCCTTGCAGTTCCCATGGAGTTTACTCAGTCCCACCTACTTTCCTTCTCTTCAGGAGAAAATGAAAGTCACTGCAGGAGAGGGATTTGTCCAGCAACACATGTATTGTGCTGAAACCTCTCTGAGGACTTGAATTTTTTTTTGGCTACAACCAAAAATTACTGTTCTCAAACAGTAGATTGACTTGCATAGAAGTCATGACACTGTGTACTTCCTGGTATTTTGAGTGAGTAAAGTGTTGCCTTAAAAACATTTCTGTCTTTCTAAAAGGGTTGGGGAAATCACTGCAGTGTTTTTCTAGGATTCCCAACATTTATAGTTTTTACACTATAAAACTGAAAAACTATTCTTGGATACTACCTCCCGCCCCACAGACACATTAAGTTTTTTCCTGAATTTTTCTGTCACTGCCTTCCCCAGCTACATAGTGTTGTGACTTCTGGGTAAGGCAATGTACTGTTTGAGAACAATGACTTTAGTAGATAATTGTAAACAAAAAATAATGTTCCATCAAGTCTGTTACAATTTATGGTGATCCTTCCAGAGTTTTCTAGTTATAAAATATTCAAAAAGTGTTTACTCATCCTTCTGGTGGTGGTCTGAGTTGTGTTGACTCAGCATGCAACTGATAATGTCTATGGTGATTTCTTAACGTGGGGCAATTTGCTTCCAAAAGTTATGCTAGTTGTGCATAGCTACGCGAGAGTATTTGGCCCATGTTTGCCTATACAAGTTGGTGTTTAACAACAGATAAGAATAATGTAGGGACTAACAGTAGATAATTGCCTAACATTGAAAAAGTATTTATGTGTTGTGACCAACTTTACTATTTTGGACATTGCCAGTTTTCTGTTAGAAAACTTGCACATCAGATGTGTGTTTATGTGTAAAGGTGTAAATGACATATTTTAATCTACTTTGAGTGCAATTCTATTAACTTCGTGATTCTTCCATGATTTTTATTTTTTCCTCAACAGAATTGGATTTGTTTTCGTCCTAAATACTGATGAAGAGGTGGATGGAAATGAGGATGCGGGAGTAGCTTTATGGAGAGCTTTTAACTACATTGCAGATGAAATGGATATCCCTGAAGCTTTTGCCTCCATAATAAAAGTTAGTGCTTACAAAGAGATAAAAATAGTACTTTACTCAGGGTTGCATTTGCTTTTCTGCAGGCACTAAATAGTCACAGGGCAGTTCCTTTTGTAAAAATAGAGAATATACATTAAACACAAAATAATAATTTTTTTGTATCCAGTTTTCCTCTTATCTTGAAATAGTAGTTGGCAAATTTTCATGAAGACTGCTAATTGCTGCTAGTGTTGTGCATGGATGCTCACATATGTGCCTACCTCTTTGCGTGAATGAGACAGAAACAGTTAATTTTGGCTCCCTTCCCTGAAACAGAATAATCCCCATGTTACATGATGGCACATTTGATTGAGACTCACAAATAGGAAGTGGCAGGTAGCATGAAATGACTCAAACAAACAGGGAGTGACATGTATGGCAGGTGAAGGCAAAACCCACTAGGTCTCCAAGCAGCTACCAGGAGGAAGGATGTTAGAATATACTTCGTGAACCCATACATTCTAAAGCCCTAAGTTCCACCTTAGACATTACTGGGACAGGAGACTGAAAATAAAGCTGCTTTTATTGTGATTGTTGTTATGTGCTGTTAAATTGCATCTGATTTATGTATGTTAAAGGGTTGTAACGTATTTAAAGTGGGTTTCTACGGCCAAGCAGGAATTTGAATCCAGATCTCCTAATCTGGCACTCTGTCCACTATGCCATACTGGCTCTCAGTATTTTAATACTTTGATAGCAATAAAGGGTGTGGTTGCATTTGACATACCATAAACACTTCTGGTTGCCTTATCCAGAGCTTGAGAAAAATGACTGGCTCTCAGAATCCCAGTGGCCGTGACAGTAAGAGGATTCAAGGAGTTGTACTCAAAGAACGACTGACTGACTGACCCCATTTCACAAAAAGGGGCCTGTTGGTCTAGAAAAGACCGGCGAAAAGTTATCAAGGAAAGAGCACTTCCCCTGTAAATGTTCGTGGTTTGTTTGGTTTTTTAATTTAAGAGAACAACAAAAAGCTAATATCAGAGGATATAAAACTTGGAGACATGTTGACAAATTATGGGGAAAATAGATTCAATTGAAGCAGCTGAATAAAATAATGATTCTTAAAAAGCCATATTTTAATTTGATATTTTGTTCCTTTGAAGTCAGCAAGATTCCATTTGAGCTGTTCTATGGGACTGTTTCAGGGCTAAATGCCAGTAATAAAAAAGTATTGCAGTTTCTAATAGGGTTTGATCTATAGCAGTGACATTTCATGTCCCCTTGTTCTAACCTAAATAGTTCTGTTATGCTGTGTGGTTTCTAACATAACTGCATATTTAGCAATATGGGCCTTCAGAACAGAATATACAGTGAGACAGCTTTATTAGGTAAATATTTTCCTTGGTTGCTGGACTCACTTTGTGGCTACATACAGGAGTGACCTGAGATTGATTTGCAGAATTGTCTAGAAAACAAATGCTAGGTTTATTCTTTTTTATTCTTTTCCCCAATGTCTATCTTTCCTCCTAGTACACAGAAATGAATATAATGGATGAATTTAAGAGAGAGAGTTCATTGAAGTTTAATTGGTTAAAAGTATTAAAGTATACTGTCTCTTGGTTACTGCTGAAAACTGGGTAATAAAATAAACTAGATGAGTCTGTGACTGGATGATGGGAGGCTTTACAATCCACTTCCAGTGGGGCAATAAAAATCTAATATAATATGAATACATCAGTAGAATGTGTTATCTCATTTCTTTATCTCTCTCCCTCTCTCTCTAATTAGATGTACCGTGAAGTAAAAGATGGAGGTATGCTTTCTGTGGAACATGTGAAGCGTGTTCTTCGCGGTGCATTTCCTCATGCTGACATGCAAGATATCCTGGGTGTTGACTCTGAATATGATGAGAAGCGAAAGGTAGAAAGAGTAGAGCATTGAAAGAGGAAGGAAAAAAACTGTGAAAAAAATAACTTATGTGGACAACATAAATCAATTTAACCTGTTGTGTTTAGCACGGAAACATTCCAGAGTGGTAAATGATTGAGGAGATTCTGGCTGGAATCTTATTGGTGGTCCTATAAAGTCTCAACTTGCTGCCACGAACTGTGGCTAATTGAAGAGGTGCTGGGGTGCATCTCGGTTGCATAGTCAAGCATGTGACTAGGCTTGCAGCTTAGATATGCCCTGGTATCTTGTCAATTAGGCCCAGTTCATCATGGTAAAGTTACCCAAACTTTACATCAGTACTAACAGGATTCTGGCTTCTGTATTTCCTGGTCTCCAGTAACTGGCTGACTTGTGTCCTCTGGTATCAGTACACCAATGTGGGTTAGTGTTGCAATATTTGGAGTAGATGTGTCACTAGCATTTTAAACTGTTTCATATGATCTGGTGTTGGATGGGCTATATATTCTAGCTTTTTTTCCAGGTTGCAGTCCTATACACCAGTGGTCCCCAACGTTGGGCTTCCAGATGTTCTTGGACTACAACTCCCAGAAGCCTTCACCACTACCTCTGTTGGCCAGGATTTCTGGGAGTTGAAGTCCAAGAACCTCTGGAGGCCCAAGGTTGAGGACCACTGCTATATACCCTTATCTGAGATTAGAAAAAGTAATCTAGGCACATGTAGAATTGCACTGTTAGTCATACATTGAATGCAAATTCTGTGTGATATGTTTTAACTTGTCAGTAAGCATCAGAGCAGAAATAGCAGCTAACATTCAGAAGAGTAGAGACAGCCTGTTTCACTTTCCAGACAAGATCTTCTCATTCAGAAGGGATTCCATGTTTCCCTGTGTATTTCTACCATAACCATCCATGTCTTTGTAACTGGAATGCAAGTATTCAGATGCCATCAGCTACACTGCAACACTCCAGTCTTAAAGCAGATATTTGTGTCCCTGTAATTTTTAAAAAATTGTTCTCATTCGTTGGCCTAAATCCAGTTGCTAGTCCTAAATAAACCAAACTGACTGACTCAGTTGCTGAATGGTAAAGGAACACTTATAAAGTCCCATTGATTCGGTAAGTCTCCTTTAGTTGAGATTAGGAATTGAATTCAGCCCATTGTTTCAGAAAAGCATATTCCCATCTGTCAATTAGCAGCCTTTCTTTTTTCAGAAATAGCTTTCTGGAAAGTTGTGAGGGAATAATAAACCATTTTGCTCTTTTTCTGTCCCCCACCCACCCAAAAGTACGTGGATGTTTGTGTTCATTGTCTCTTGCTATCTCATCACTTCTTTTCTGCAGTCAGCTCCATTCTGTGTAATTGTGACATCCTCTGATCTGTCTAGGCAGGAGCAGTGTTTTATAAGAAGACTGGCCTGGGTCCGTTGCCTCAAGCTCTCTTTAATGGTGTGCCCTTTAACAGAAAAGAGATGAATGTTGGAGAGCTAGGGAGCTCCCTGCTGAAGATTATGGATGCCACAGAATCCTTTCAGCGGGCAGTGTTCATGGTAGGTTTAGCATTTTATTTTGTTTTTTAAAAAAGAATGTACGATGAAATACTGGCTAGGAGATTACTTCAGCTGTGTGTATGTTCTACATCTTTTATAATGAGGTGGTTTGGAATTAATGTTGTGAGAACCTAAATGGCATCATTATTTTAATTTGCAGTCATGATTTTGAAACCTAATATATAATGATTATCCATGCTTTAGAATTTAACTAAGCACTTGTTAGTCTTTGAAACGCTTGGAGCCATGGGATGATGATGGATAGTGTAAGAAAATGTGGACTGGATAAGAGATTTCTCCTTCCATGCAGCCCTTCCTATACTACTTTTTCCTAGGAAAGGTTTGCATCAGTTATTAATGGGTATTGCAAATAGTTGTATTGAAGACAGTGTTAGAGGAAGGAAGTGCTCTGATCTGCCTGTGACACTGAAGTCAATAGTGATGTCCATTCACACAAGCTAATGTCTTGGGTAGCCTTAGATAGCTGCCAGTCAGGAAGCCTGAATTCCCAGGAACAGCATCTAAAGCAAAAACTCAACTCTAGCAAGAAACCTAGAAAACCCGACTGTGCTTGGCAGTATTTTAGCACGGACTCAACTTGATGGCACACCATTAAGTCCATGGACCTTTGGATAGCTATAGTTAATCAAAAGATAGCCAGTGAAACCTCTGTGCCTTTTTTTACAGGGCCAGCTGAATGATCATAAAGATGCTGTAGATTTCATCATGGAACAACAGAATGTGGTTTCACATATAAATGAAAAAATCCTTAGCTCTGAAAGAAGATACCTGAACTTTATATCCCCATCAGGTAGACCAAGTGCTTCTTTCTGTCTGCCTTTGTACTTATTTCGTTTTCCTATTTAATGTTAACCAGCCCCTTTTTAACTTTTTCAGCGCCTATAGATACAAGTGATTTCTCAACTTTTTCCTTCTTGGACTCTCAGGACAAGACTTTTGTTATTTCAGAAAACGTAAAATATGTGACAAGGAAAGGTATGTCTGGCTTTCCTTGATTGTTGAAGTATGCAACATTAATCCTTCATGCAGACATGGTGCAGTCAGAATTGTTAACCGGGTTTAGTGTGACTTCTAGTTGGTTGTTTTAAACTTGATAAATTGTATGAAATGTTCCGTTACACTAAGGTATATCTTGTTGATCTTCAGTCCTTCTCTCAGAGGGCACATAGCACCAAAGACAGCTGCTACTTGTCTTACAGATAGGGAATCTTCCATAAACTTGATCATTGTGTGATTTTTATTCTTTTTTATGCCAGTCAACTTGAGCCACTGTTTGCAAAACCTCTTCATACCAGTACCCCCTGGTTTGTGGCCAGTTAAAGCCTATGGCTTTAAATTAAAATCTTGTGTTGTACTCTGGCTAAAGAAAACAAGCCCTAGGTAGGAGGCAATATATGAACCCATAAATTACTCAAGGTGTTTTGGGGAGATAAGGAAGCTATGTTTCTCTTATACTGTAGTGACACTGTGCCGTACTTAGAAAAGGAGTAAAGACATGGGGCCTAATTGAAGCGTGGAGACCTTGACTTGTGATTTGGCTAAGTCACTCAGGACTTCATATGCCCAGGCTGAAGAACACTTCTCAAGTAGTTTGTTGAGGTCTTTTGGGCAGACTAACCCTGTTTCTGAGACTATCCATACGTTGTATATCATATGTACCACTAGCAATTCTTGCTGCTAATTGACTAGAATTGATTAGGTCTGCCTATCATGGAAAGAATTTGGAGCAATAACTAAACCAGAAAAGGCTTTGTGACATCTTTAAGGCTAACAGATTTACTTCACCACACCTTGGCCATTGCTGGCTGCAGGATTCTTGGAGCTATAGTTAAAAATATTCATGTTTCCAAAGCCTGCAGATTTGTCATTTATGGGCTCTCCCTTTTTCATCCCACTTCTGTTTCAAATTTCAGGAAGTAAGTGCTCTTGAATTTAGTGAGTCTTACTTCTGAGTAAGAGAGGCATGAGCTTCTTAGTCTTTTAGAAACATACCTCATTCAGTTTTTCAAAGTACCTGTACTAGCAGATGGCATATGGTGAAGCTGCCTTAAGGACATATCATGTTGTTAAAAGAAAACATAGGGTGAGAGATGCAACTTAGCATGCTTTTTTTCCTATAACATACCGTATTTTTCCATTTATAAGATGACACAATGTATAAGACAACCTCCCCTTTTCTAACCCCAAATTAGAAAAATCAGGGATCAAAGAGCTCTCTTTTTGCTAACCCCTGTGCCTTCGCAAAAGGCAGCAGTAAAGAGCTGCCTTCCATATATAAAACAACTCTCATTTTCCCCCTCAAATTATTGAAGGAAAAAGTGTTGTTTTATACACAGAAAAATACGGTACTTACTAACACGTTTTAAAATAATTCTCTGTAAAGAGACCCATATGTTTATTGTGTCTTTTGCATTCCGCTCACCTGTCTTATATGCTGAACACTGAAAATGTTACAACCTAGGCTATTTTTATTTTTTTAGATGAAGATATAATATATCCAGTTACCATGTGGATTGTTGCTGATTTTGACAAACCAGATGGAAGGCAATTGCTTTCTAATGCACTGAAGCACCTGGTCAGTTTCTTAACACTCTGCATTATGTACACTTTGTGGAATCATCACCTCAGCAGTCCTTTGGAGAAGAATAATGATGGAAATAGAAGCAAGGGGAGATATTTTCTTTGTTAGAAAGTGACTACTGCTAAACAAATGATCTCATTCTCTTTCCTTATAAAAGTTTTAAGGAACAAAATAACTTGTGCAATTTTAATGACTGAATAATTCCTGAATCTGACAGTGATTTTGGAGGTGTCATACCTTGTTAAATGAATCTTGCCAACAAGTGTAATAAAGACGAAGGCAACCAAGGAGAGACCCATTAGCTGAAGGAAATAGGCCAGATGGAGGGGCTTATTTGCATTGACAACTCTGTGTTATCTGTAATTACACATTTTCATTATAAACATGCATTTTGTTTTAAAGACACGTTAAATCAAAAGTAGATAAGTCAGCCAGTCCATAAATTAGTCTATATAGAGTTCTGCATTTCTGTATTTAGTGGATAGACTGTTGCTGTGTGACATCAAGTTGCTTCCAACTTATGGCAGCCCTATGAATGAATGACTTCCCAAATGTCCTCATTAGCCCGGCTCAGCTCCTGCAAACTCTAGGCTGTGTTTTCCTTTATAAAGTCAGTCCGTCTCATATTTGGTCTTACCCTTTTCCTGATGCCTTCAGCTTTCCCTAGGATGGACTATATCATTGCCTAATTAAATTTTGAAGTATCTCCTGAGTAAATAGACCCCCTTTAAAGCTAATTGGGCACTCTGATCTTTCGTAACATCAGGAAATGAAATATTGCACCCTTTAGTACTCAAGGATAAGCTGGCATCTGATGATTATAGAGATAAACCAATTTAGTTTGGTTTCTTTCGGGGGGGAGGGGCTGTTTTCAATTTTCCTTTCATTTAACACAGAGGGGGTGCGTCTTTCAGGTTTACTGCATTGCAATTTGGGCGAAGGAAAGTTTTCACAAAAGAAACATGAAAAATCCAAACATTTTCATGCTCCCTCTTTTCATTTAAGCAAATATTTTGGGTTCAAGTAGCTTTATTTTGGGAATCCTCTAAAGGATCCAGAAACAAAATAAATAATCTCTTCAATTAGGCTTCCCCTGTTTTTGGTGAACCCCAAGTTTTTATCCCAGTTGGGCTGTATCTCAACAAATTCCAACAAAGTTAGTTATGCTGTTAGCCCTGTTGAAGTCAGTAGGACAAGTCATTTGTGGCTCATTTAAGACTCACTGATTTCAGTGGGAATAAAAACATGATTAATTTAGTTTTGGATGCAACCTTATATTTTTAAGAGGATGCACCAGGTGTTGGTGTATTTACAACATCCCTAATGTGAAGTAAGTTGGGTGGACCCGTTCTGATATCTTTAGTGCAATATTAACATATTTTAACAATTTACCATTAAGTAATGTGTAGGTTTAGACTGAGGAGGGCAGCATCTCTAGAGGATGGACTGTGCATGACACTCCTGCCTGTTTGTGTAGGGCAGCTACAATGTCATTCTGGACCTGGGAGTCATTTTGTTACTGCTCTCATTAAGCAGCTGACAAACAGAAAACCTGTCAATCCATGGCAAATTATGATAGAATAGGTTGAGATGAACCTTCTGCCCATTCCTAGTCTAGCTAACTATACTTTCTAAAAGAACAACCATGTTTTTCTTAACAGCAGTGTAAGAGTTGCCAGACAACATAATGTAGAAGTAGCACATTAGTTTTATCATAAAGTCCTGGTTTAGTTTTAATTTCGCAGAGCAATAGAGGCAAGAAAAAAAGAAGGAAAGAAAGCTATTACAAGTAGCATATATTCTTAATAAGAATGGGTTGGGGAGTATAAGAAAAGGACAGTTAGGGTTCCTACTTATGTGGGGCATGGCCATGAACGGTGGAAGATTTCCACTTCAGCCTGTGACCCTCCAGATATACAATGAAGATGGAGTGGGTGGGGCTAGCACACTCTCCCTTTGTGTTGTGAAATCAACATATTAAAATAACAACTTGGATATCGTTCATTATATAAATGTGTAAAATCTGTTTATCTTGCAGAAATCTAGCAGTCATGCACAGTTGGGGATTGTGAATAATCCAGCTTCAAAAATAACTGAAGATAACACTGTCATTGCAAGAGCCATCTTGGCAGCATTCTTAACTCAGAAAAACGCAAGTCGGAAAAGCTTTCTCAGTCGGATTCTTAAGGAGGAGGTAGCAAAGGCTCTTGCAACAGGAGCTAAAATCAAGAAGTTTTTTGTTCCGGTTAGTAGTTGTTAACTGTGCTCTAGCTCCTCATGTTTGCTAAACATATAAAACAGCACTCCTTTTATTTGTTTACTATGGCTAGATGTTGTGTGCCTCAAATGGAATAATCATCAGTTTCAATAAGCTGATTAAGCACTTATGTTTTAACATCTTACAGGTATTTGGGTTAACAATTTCAAATGGTTTTTCTTTTGAAGAATGAGTCATCTTTTGTTCTGCTGTAAATCAAAGTGATCAAATAGTGTCTTAGGATTTTAGTAATATTAATAAACCGAACTCACCATTTAGCTTTCATGTGCAAGATGATGCTGATGTCGAGTGGAAATTTCTGTATCTGAGATATGGCTGGGTAGTATTCCCAGGAGGTTGATGTCATAAAGCTTTTCCTGGAGTGTATCCTTCCAGGGTGCATTGGGTTAGGGGCTGGCAGTGTTGAATGTTCTCCCATAAATAAAAGGAAGAAAAGGAAAACGACTCATAAAAATATGAAAAATGGCACCTTAGGTGAGATTGCTAGACTGATTCTTCTTTTCTGGGATGTGATTTTTGTACATGAAAAAAGCTCATCTGTGGAGAGGAGGAAACTTCCTGCCTGCTTCCCTCACTGCTGCATCTCATCTGGAATTGTGTGACGAGGAAGAGCAATAGACCACACCAGTGAGGAGAGTCTCTTTCTAGCCCAGTATTGAGAGAATAGAATAGAATTTTCCCTCCTCTTGCAAGCTAAGTCTTGGGTCATCCTTTTAAATAAGATTTTGTTTTAATACAGCCATACTCTGTACCATGAGTTCAAGGAGAACGTTAATTAAATGCCTGGAAAGGCTGTGTTGCTTTTGAACTTTTTTTAACTATTTGTTATTCATTAATTTTTTAATTATAATTTTCTGAAGCTGGCTTTTACATTCAACTGCTGTATGAGTAGAGAGTTTAGATGTGTTTTGTTTGATACTAACTTTTTCTGACCTGGGATACCATCTCATCACTTCCATTCTAGGGAATGGATGATGACACTTTTGAGAAGAAATACCACACGCTGGGTGTTGACCTAATTCAGGCTCACCGGATATTTTGCCAGGAGGTTCTTCGGCTCCTTCCTGGGCAAATGGCTGTTGTTACTAATGGCAGGGTAAGTCAAGGAGGGAGCAGTCATCGTGTCAGCTTCTTGGAGAACTGTTTTTTCCTCCAATTTGCAAAAGAAAAGAGCATTCAAGTGCAACTTCAGAAGGTGGCTGAACATACATAACTTTCTGCGTAAAATTCCTATATAGTGCCACCTCCCATTATGTACCTCTTTTATAATGAGTAAGTGTTCCAAAATATACTGTGATGAAAAAAAAAAGCTTATTTTTTTTTGGTCACTTGCTGATAGGAAGGTAGGCTCCTAGACAAAGGAGTTCTTTCCTCTGTAGCTAATCACCTTCCCCAGTCAGTGGAAAGGGGGCTAGGAGCAGAATCAAAAAAAGGGAGTCCATTAGTTCCAGGGGCATGAGCTGCTTCCCAAGGCAAGCCACAGGTATCATTGTGAGACAATTTGGATTCAGAAGACCTGGGACCTTGAGGGCCTTTTGGCCTGTGATTACCTTCCATTGAGGACATTACTTAGGGAAAAACTCTATCCCATCTGACATACACAATGGGAAGAAAAAAAAAAGTTCTTTTAACAACAACAATGAAAGGGTTCCTCCTCCTCTCCATGGTTTGGTTGGGCTTGGACCTACCTAAAGGTCTGGCAACAAGTAGAAAAACCCTAGTAGCCATGGATGCCCTGCATGATATCATATCCAGAACTTAAGGACTGCTTTGGGCAGAGTCCTACAAGGGAAAGAGTCCTACAAGGGTACTCGAAACTCCATAGACACTCTTGAGACGTGCCTGGTCACAAACAGAGAATGGGAATGAAGTCACATTCTTCAAGACAGCTGGTCTGCTACAGATCTCCTGTTCCTCCAGTGTCAAAACCTTTTCCCAGGATAAAAAAAGAAGGACTTTCCTCCTAGAACTAGTGCTAGGATCATATCTGTGAAGATTCTCAGTCATCCATGTGAGGTTACCTGGAAGTTGAGTCATGGCAACTGGACTTCTTTCTTGTTAGGCTGAAATGTTTCGCTACTCATCCAAGTAGCTTCTTCAGTCTGAGGAGAGTTGATAGGAGATCCCTGATATATCTTCCATGTCGTGATACAATCTGTCTCCTATTTATCATGCTGCCCTTTCATCTGTCCCCAGAAAGATTAGGACCACACAAACCAGAAAGACCACCGCTAAAAACTCAGGACAATGGGTGGAGAAGGATTGCAGAATTGGGATTATCCGTCACCTCCAGTCCTTTGCCTGCTAACGAGCTTATTCGGTGGAACCAAAATGGAGGATATATGGGGGATCTCCTACCAACTCTCCTCAGACTGAAGAAGCTACTTGGATGAGTAGCGAAACATTTCAGCCTAACAAGAAAGAAGTCCAGTTGCCATGACTCAACTTCCAGGTAACCTCACATGGATGACTGAGAATCTTCACAGATATGATCCTAGCACTAGTTCTAGGAGGAAAGTCCTTCTTTTTTCGGACTTTTCAACTTGTGGACTCCTCCGGCCGCAATATTTCACTTCGACTTGTGGCCAGAGCTTCTACTTATGAAAAGAAAGAGGCAGGGGGAAAGGGCGGGAAATTCAAATTGCTAACCAGCCGAAGAGGCTGCTTAGCTCTTTCGCCCCAACGATTAGGGAAAAGGAGGCTCGGCCTCCCAGGCTTCCCCCACCGCCGCCGCCGCTGCTGGGAGCTGAGCCGCACCGGGTGATCCCGGCCATGCTCGGACTCCTGGACTTCCCCTGCTGCTGCTGTTCCTGGGAGCCAAGCCGTGCCGCGCTCGGACAGTGTTGTCATTGGGGGAAGTCCAGTAGTCCGAGCATGACCGGAATTGCCCAGGACAGCGCAGCTCCCAGCCGTGGAGGCAGCGGACCCCTGGGAGGCTTTGGATCAGTAAGGTGCTGCTTTTTATTCTTTTTAAAAATGTCTGGGTGGGTTTTGGAGGGTAGGTTTGGCCTGGGGGGGGATGTTTGTGCTTTTTTTAAAGGTTTTTTTTTCTTTGCAGTCCCAGCATGGGACTGTATTGTATTTATTTTCATTGAGGGGGTATTTTTTTTCCCATCGGCCAGTTATGGATTAATCGGTTTTCAGTGCGTTCCTATGGGAAATGGAGCCTCGATGTACGGACTTTTCGACCTGCAGCCACCGTTCCAATACGGATTAAGTCTGTAGGTCGAGGTTCCACTGTAACAAGAAAGAAGTCCAATTTCCATGGCTCAGTTTCCAGATACTGCTAAGATCCTTGAGACTGACGAAAGCTGGAACTGACTCTTAACCCTATAGGTTGTTAGCCTTCTAACGAGCTTATTCGGTGGAACCAAAATGGAGGATATATTGGGGATCTCCTACCAACTCTCCTCAGACTGAAGAAGCTACTTGGATGAGTAGCAAAACATTTCAAACTACAGTGCAACCTCGACCTACGAAAGTCCCCACCTACAGACTTTTCAACTTGTGGACTCCTCCGGCCGCAATATTTCACTTCGACTTGTGGCCAGAGCTTCTACTTATGAAAAGAAAGAGGCAGGGGGAAAGGGCGGGAAATTCAAATTGCTAACCAGCCGAAGAGGCTGCTTAGCTCTTTCGCCCCAACGATTAGGGAAAAGGAGGCTCGGCCTCCCAGGCTTCCCCCACCGCCGCCGCCGCTGCTGGGAGCTGAGCCGCACCGGGTGATCCCGGCCATGCTCGGACTCCTGGACTTCCCCTGCTGCTGCTGTTCCTGGGAGCCAAGCCGTGCCGCGCTCGGACAGTGTTGTCATTGGGGGAAGTCCAGTAGTCCGAGCATGACCGGAATTGCCCAGGACAGCGCAGCTCCCAGCCGTGGAGGCAGCGGACCCCTGGGAGGCTTTGGATCAGTAAGGTGCTGCTTTTTATTCTTTTTAAAAATGTCTGGGTGGGTTTTGGAGGGTAGGTTTGGCCTGGGGGGGTATGTTTGTGCTTTTTTTAAAGGTTTTTTTTTCTTTGCAGTCCCAGCATGGGACTGTATTGTATTTATTTTCATTGAGGGGGTATTTTTTTTCCCATCGGCCAGTTATGGATTAATCGGTTTTCAGTGCGTTCCTATGGGAAATGGAGCCTCGATGTACGGACTTTTCGACCTGCAGCCACCGTTCCAATACGGATTAAGTCTGTAGGTCGAGGTTCCACTGTAACAAGAAAGAAGTCCAATTTCCATGGCTCAGTTTCCAGATACTGCTAAGATCCTTGAGACTGACGAAAGCTGGAACTGACTCTTAACCCTATAGGTTGTTAGCCAGCTCATGGGCATCTGTTGACAGAAGAGGAGATGTCACAGGTGCTTCTGATTCTGGCATGGGTCTACCTTCATTTGGTTCAGAATCAGAGTCAGGATAATATTTAGTGATATAAATAGTACAGAATACGTATATGTTGTCAGGAAATCACCATCTCACTGGCGAACAGTGTGTATCGGGATCCAATTCAGGGTGATATCTATGACCTTTAAAAAACAAGACAGCATATGTATTTCCCCCCTGCATGCTGAGCATTGGAGTCTCTGTTTTTGTTTACACAGATAATAGGTCCTGTACATGAAAATGAATTCAGTCTAGAAGACTTTGACTTGTTGGAGCAGATAACACTGAGTGCAGCTACTGTGAAAATTAAAAGCCTCATCAAGGAAATGGGCATTGAAAGTAAACGGTAGTATTTATTTAGTTATTTATTTAAAATATTCTTACCCCACATTTCCCCAGAAAAGGACCCAAGGCGGCTTATAACATTGAAAGACAATATTTAAAGTTTAAAACAATGAGTAGACAATGATGGTCAACGTCATTAAAAGACAATATTTGAAGCTAAGAACAATGAGTGTAGGGAAGAATCTTATATCATTAAAAGGCAATATTAAAGCTAGGAGCAATATGTGTACAGTTATTAAAAAGAAGAAGAAGAAAGTCTTCTCAGAAATTTAAAACACAGTGACAGTCCCTCTAAAAACACACATAATAGCTAGTTACTGAGGGAAGACCTGCCTGAACAGAAAGGTCTGTTTGCAGAAGGACAACAAAGATAGGGCCAGTCTAGCCCCCTGTGGGAGGGAGTTCCAAAGTCTGGGAGGAACAAGAGAGAAGGCTCTCTCCTGTGTCCCCATCAGATGCACCTGTGAAGGTGGCAGAGCCGAGAGAAAGGCCCCTCCGGATGATCTTAACAGCTGGCTCATAATGAGACATACGGTCTCTGAGGTAGCTTGGGCCCAGGCCATTTAGGGCTTTATAGATTAAAACCGGCACTTTGAATTGTGCTTGGAAACTGATCAGCAGCCAGTGGAGTGGCCGTAACGGGTGTGTGTGTGAGAGAGAGTTTTAGTAGATATAGCTTAGCCAAGAACAATGTCACTTTGCAAATGAATTTCTTTCCAGATCTGATAGTTGGCTTTTAATTTTAATGTGTCCATTTCTACAGTGGAGAAACATTATGGAACTGTGTCTAAATGAACCTGGGAGGAAATCTGCTTAAACCCAGTGGAGCTTAATTCCCAGTAGGGATGTACAAGATTGTTCTCTAAATGGCATACCTGTATTTTTATTATTATGACATCCATTTAAAAGGATAAATATATTGAACCAGCACTACTTTTTAACATAGCAATGTGTGTCTTTAGTTGACAAATTATGTAGGTTAGCAGGCTTTACTGATATCCACCCTGAAAACTCCAAAATCCTGGGGTTGCTGGGCTTCTGAATAAAGAGGCTGCTTTTGTGTGTTTTGCTGGAAAACGTCCATTTCCAGTAGCAGGTAAGGTTCACCTCAGACAGTGGTGGCACCTAAAGCTGTGCCCCCATGGAAGTGTTCAGCTTGCAAGTGTTAACCAGATATATGATTTTGGCTATTTGGTTCGTAAAACTGAAAACTCAAGAAGATAGCAGAGAGTGAATGTCATTCCAAAATGCCACTATCGCTGCTATATCTGGTGGAAGCAGGAAACTACAGTGCATAGTTATTACACAAGTCAAACTGATATAAGCACACCAAATTAATGTTAATGCTATTTCCTTCATAGTGCTTTAGTTTAATTCTTAATTTTAGAAAATGGAGAGAATGGGCTTCCCCTCCAGAAATGAGTCATGCACTGGACTATATGAAATGTTACTCCCACATAAAAAATAAAAATGAATGAGATTTGTTAGTCACAGCTTATGTTAAATCTCATTGATATGAGTAGGTCTCTTCTAGGTAAAATTAATGCTAGATTTAGCCCATTGCTTTTGTCTGTCTTAGGCACTGATACAAAGCATTAAAAAAAACCCAAAACTGACATGTAGTATATTCTACTGATTAGAGTAATTGTTTTCTATGTATAAAACTGGGATAAAGGAATAACAAGGTAACTGATTCTTACAATTTTAAGACTCTGTAGATAGAGAGGATTACAAATCAAAGTTAAGAAAAATGAATTAAAATATTTGAATTTGTTCAGCCCATGGAAGGCTAGGCCGTAAATCTTGATATCCCAGCTTGATAACTTATGAGAAGTCAATTTTGTTTCCTCAATCAAATTTAAAATATGAGGTTTTATATGACTAGATCTAGCATTTTATTGATGTTAGATCTAGTCCTAAATACCAACATTCCTTAAAATATAAAAAAAATTAAAATGGTGAAAGTTGGATTTCGCTTGAGGCTCAGATTCTTTTTGGAAACCTTCAGCAGTTATGGTTTGCTTATTGTTGGAAATGACAAACAAAAATGTATGAAAATGTATGATGGAAGCCAAGAAGTATATACAAGAAGGATAAGTCTCAAATGTTAATATTGGTTCTTGCTGCTCAAATTCCTGCTTCTTGCTGTTTCAGAAATGCTGCCCCAAGTTGACCTGCATAGTTATGTTGATGGAAGGGAAGTGGCATAACTCCCAGCAGCAAATTGTTGCTAACTTATGCATCCCTACTTGGTTCTTGGTTGCGCACCAAGCCATCTGGCTGCGTGTAATGAAGAATCCAAGAAAGGACTTGTTAATTAGCAGCAGCTTGCCACTCCAAGCTGATACCCATTTCCCTTCTTCTAGTTCAACTACGCAAGAGCATTTTGGTTGTTGTTTATGTTACGTGTTCAGAAACCCTCATGCCTTTAGGCATTGCCATTCCTTCTTGTGTTCAGGGTTTTAAAAGTCTTCGTGAAAGGATGATATCTTGGGGAATTGAACCACATTTCTCTTTTCTTCTCTTCTTTTTTTTAGTGGCAGTAATTTAGTAATGAAAGTAAATGCACTTCTTTCTTCAATGCCAAAAATGGATGCCCGCCGAAATATTGAATTTCTCAAAGAGCAACAAAGGTAGACAGTCTTTAAATAGTTGTGTTTTAATGGGTTATTGGCCTCAGAGATTGAACTTTAATTCACTTTTATCATTTCCTCATTTTCTAATGGTGAGCCTTCTGTGCTGTTGTTTATGTAATACAAGCAGTAGTACCTGTGAGCAAAAGGGTGGTGTGAATAGGCTTGGTGGAGGCCTGACGTTTGCAGATATAACCTCCTCCCCAAAACAGAAAAAGCTGAGTGAGGACTTTCCATGTTCAGTCGTGGAGTAGAGGAATGCATGACTGGAGTAGGAGCATGGTACATTGTAACATTTTGCTGCAGTTCCTCTCATGTCTGTGCGTACATGTTCATGTGTGCATAATATTGGCTGAAGTGTTTAGTGTAGTATATTGCACTAGAGTAGGCCTGTTGAATCAGTAGGGATCTGCAGAGTCAACTCCTCTGTAAGCTTAGTTTATTTAAATGGCCCTGCACTTGTTGCAATTTACTTTAGCATAGTAAGTTGCAACTAGAATAGGCCTACTTGAATCAATAGAACTTACTGAGGAGTTGACCCACTGGATCACCACCAATTGTTATGTCTACTCTAGTACAGTTTACCACACTAAGCAACTGAATTTCAGTGGTATAGTGTATGTAATAATTGGGGGGGGGGCTATCAGTCTAACAAACGGATGCTGCTTATCTTCTTCAGAAAAGAGGATTCAGGTATTCTCTGCTATAGTTAGACTCATGATCTATTATATCTCAACTACAGTATATGGGCCAATTTTCAGTGAGTTAACCTTTTCAGCAACAACTGTGAGGACATCCCTATATTTAGAATGTTCCAGATCCTTCAGTGCAAACTCTACTTGATCGTGTGGATTTCCTGTTAATCCATAAGCCAATTATATCAAGGAGTATTTTAAACACCTTTTGTCAGTGCTTCATAATAACCCATCACCTGAGATGATACATTTCGGTAGAGACAGTTCACGCCATCAGGTGTGAGTTACCAAGTTAAAAAAAAGCTTCAAATGACATGCAACCATCTGTGTTTTTTTGTTTTGTTTTGTATTTTGCAAAATAAATTAAAACGTGAAAGGATTACATTATATGATGTTTTTCTTTGGATGTTGTGCCTTCAAGTCATACATAACCTTTTTTCATATTCCTCGCTTTAACATTTGGTGTCTTTCCTACCCATAGTGTACTAAAGTTAGATCCACAAGAAAATGAACCCTTCTTTGATGTCATTGGTATCGTAGATCCACTAACAAGGGAAGCACAGAAGCTGTCGCATTTACTAATTGTAAGAAGATATAGGTTTCTCATATAGCTTTTTGATTATCTTTACTTTAAGCTAATTTAGCACATATGGCACAAAACTGTTTCATTTAAGATGTGTATTGGGAGTTGATTGCTAGCTATAATCTATGTGCCTCGTGAGATGGAAGACCCAGGTGAAAATCCATAATTTGGCAATTACATTTCCTGGGTCAGTCTGAGCTGCTCACTGTCCTTCAAACTAATCCACTTCAGAGAGTGATGTTGAGGTTAAATGCAAAAAAAAAATAAAAAAAAAATCCACTTGGGATCAAGTTTACCATGTGTTAGTACTGTGCCAGGAATTACTGTGGTAAAGCTAGCAAATGATCACTTGTAGAGCGGTGGCACTACAAGAATGCTGTTACAACACGAACAAAAGAAAAACACAATATTCTGTGGTATCTTTAAGATTAACAAATCAATTTCATGTCAGCTTTTGTGGATACAATCAATTTCTTTAAACACATAGATCAGAGTACCTGGTGTGCTGGGTTATATAATACAGCATGCATACTGGGGATGGTGATGGAGAAGGGAACCAAGTGTAGGGGGGGGATGCAACCAAGTGGAATAAAAATAGTGGGATTAACACATGGGAGTAAACTTCCAAGGGGAAAATACTCTTATTAGCACATGTTTACAGGTACGTAGTGAACCTTCAAGATATTGATAATGTTAAGATTCTGGCAATTGAAAGATGCATAGGATATGCATTTCAGAAACTGAGTTTCAGGACTTGACTTTTCAGGAAGAGAAGGTTGTGTTGAGGATGAGGTAATACTAAATAGATACAATACACATTTTGGCAGTAACCTGACATCAAGCCCTAAAATTCATATCATTTGCTTCTTCCTCTTAGCACAGTTGCCAGGCTCTTAATGTCATCAGCACCTTTAAGGAGCAGAACTTTAAATTCTGACTTTTTTTAAATCAGAGGGCTAATATGTGTAGACTTGAGTTCACTTTATCAGATGTAGTATCCTACATCGCATTACTGAATGAAAGTACAGTGTGAATAGCAAACCAACTCTAGTATATGAAAATGCAGAACAAGTAGTTAGACTGTCTGGTTAGACACAGCATGGTATTGTGTAACTGAAATTGCATCTGAGGAGTGTCATGTTTATACAGTTACAAGATTGGGAATTAAGTAACCCCATACAAAAAAATAAAAGCGATTCCAAGGGTAAACATTTTTGTATGTAATTGTGAAATGGGAAATGTTTCACACTAACTAATCTGGTTTTAAAGTGAAAAATATGTCTTCCAGGTGCTAGGTCAGGTTGTCCATATGAGGCTGAGACTTTTCATGAACTGCAGATCCAAGCTATCAGAAGTACCTTTGAACAGGTAGGTCACATGTGGAATGTTATTATTGAAACAGGTACAACAATATGGTTTCTAGTCAGAAGTCATAGTTTATGGAGCATTGCTCATAGTGTGAGGTGAGAAATCTGTGGTCTTCAGCCTAACTTCAAAGGCCTGTAGCAAGCATCAGTTCCAACTTCTGATAAGAACAATTTGCCCCTCCCCTAGTAGCCAGTATCCAACAAACACGTCTGGGGAAATGTGGCCTTGGGCAGAAAAAAGATCCACCAATCCTCCTATATCATGTTAACCTTCCTAAGCCATTCCAAATATCTAAAGCAAAGCTGGGCAGTTACCCTCGCCCGCGAGATGGGTACTCAGTTTATTGATCTTGGAAGGATCAAAGTCTGAGTGAACCTTGAGCCGGATACCCAAGCCTATCAGAAACAAACTGAGGTCATGAGCAGAGTCTCAACAGCACTACTGCCATTTAACTACTGCACCACAAGGCTCCTGGTTGTTGCTGATCCTAAATCTCTTGCTGCTTGTGGCTCCTTCATCCTGTTCACAACTCCTTTGTGTCTGAGCCTTAAATAAATGTGTGTCTAAGTTGTTACGTATGCTGTGTTAAAAACATGCAGAATAGAAATGCAATAATTTTCTCTTAGTGTTTCTATAACATTAGCAGAGTACTAATGCAACAAAATTGTCCTCTAAGCAGAGTATATTGTCCTAGGAAGAAAGCTCATAATTAGAATCGCTTATCAGAGCTCATCAAATTACCATTTGTTTGTCATATTGCTGTATTTTCTTTATACTTGGTAACCAACAGCCGGGAAATCTGTTCCTTCTACCAAAATAATTAGATCATTTGTTACAATATTATGCATTTCTGTGACTTGTATTTTGCTTTCTCCCAGGCATAAAATGGGTTCTGAGCAGGAAATTAATCATGGTGTGCTTCTTCTTTGCAAAGGGCTTCTGGACTTGCCCATATAATATGACACTAGTATTCTAGTGGCAAATGCTGTACTTTGAACTATGTATTCTGTTTTCAGGGGCTCGTAATAAGTGCCATGTTTTGGCATGAGCTGACAGCGAAGATAGCGTGTTTGTCAAGAGCTTGACTGGTAATTTGTTGCATAGGAATGAGACCTAATTTAGAAGAACTGTAAAGCCTTTGGAAATTAAAAATAAAGAAAGGCCGCAAAAGATCTCATCCAATATCTTGTAGCTTACGGATTGACTGCATCAAAAATAGCACTGCAACATGCTCAGCAATAAAGAATATGTAAAACAGGATCAGAGTTTTCAGGGGTTTTTTGTTTAAGCTATTATGCAAACCTTCCAGTGGCTTCTTTCCTTTCCTACTTTATTTTAACAGCTAACATTTGTGCCCTAGTTTTTATCGCTCTGTTCTGGCGCCAGAACTCACCGCTGGAATCCATGATCTCTTTCCTCTTCCACCTGGAGCAAACTTTCTTGAAATGCCAGAGTCTCCTCTCCTGACCTTAAACATGATCACTCCAGAAAGCTGGTTAGTTGAAGCAGTGAACAGTTCCTATGACCTTGATAACATTCGTTTAAAAGATGTAAGTACTTGTTTCTTTGTGTACAGATAGAGATTATACAAATAGATAATTAATCATGTTGACATTTTTCTTCCTTTTGAAACATTAGCAGTCATTATTTTTTAAAAATCCTCTTGCACAAAATCAGGTTTTGTTCCCTAATCAGGACATATTTATTTATTATCTTTATACCACGATACCCTCCCTCTGTAACTGTGTATTACTTAGTCTTCCTTTTGGTCGTTACATTTTGTAGTTTGCATCTTGCCTGTTGCCACTGTCTTGGGTTCTTAAGAATGTTGTCCCCTTTTTATAATTTTATATTTGTGGATTAAGTGGGGATGGGCGGTTCTGTTATATTTATTGAGATCCATGATGTCATAAACATTCTGTGACATTGTCCCTTGCACAGCTGGAAGCCATGTCAGTAGATTTCGGCATCTTGCCATGTGCAGTTTTCCCCCTCTAAACATGCAAACAAACAATTGAGACAAAAATGTCCCAACAAATGTATGGAATTTTGCAATGTGGCATCTACATATCCTAATAAGTGTAAGTGTTGAGGGGGATAATATCCTTGCTACCTTTCTGGTAATTCGCGATTCTTTAATGGCTAAAGAAAAATCAGTGAATGCATAATAGAATCAAGAACATTGTTAATACAAGCCAAGGAAACCATAATTTGATGCATGATTAAGTTTAAGTTTAAGTTTCAAAATATTTTATTTAACCTTCCTTTGACATTTTTGGTCAAAGTAAATACATAAGACACTTGAATGCAGAGAATAAAAGTATTGTATCAATATTCTACAACTTCCACTTGTGTTTGTATTCCTAATTGTCCTCAATCATGGTGATGTGTGAAGTGCCAGGTACTATTTCAGGACCCAATGTCTGTAATTTAGTGAAAAATCCTTCCCCCCCCTTTTTTTCTCTTTCTTTTTTCTTGTTTTCTTTTTTTCACACTTACAGCTTTTGAGGGCATTTCTGTCGCTGTTGGGATGACAGAGGAATAAATGTGGAAATTATGTTAGAATGCTTGGTAGAGTCCATTGTGTGCTTGTCATGTCTACAGATAACTTTGCACAGAACATACAAAGTACATTGCATGTGAAAAAAGAACACAGAGAGTGCAAAGCGGTACTTTGACTGTTTCTGTTGATAAACAACACCCATTTCTCTTAAGATTACCCAAAATGATACCATGGTCAGTAGCCCCCAGATTTTCAAAATCTCTTTACAAACTCAAGTTTGCTTCTTTTTTAAAATCCTCAACTGGATCCAAAAATCAGATTAATTTATAAGAAAATCTAAATCAGAGCTATGATGAAAAAGAGGTTTTGGGTTGCAAATACACAAAATTATATGGGAGGATTAGCAGATACAGTATGTTCTAGAATAATCTCATAACTGTAACTGGGTTTATCTGTCAAAAGAAATGCATGATGATTACATATTACACATCATTAAGTAGTCTACAGTTTCCCAAATCTGTACGAAAGCTTTTTTGACAACAGTCTGGTGCCTGAATTTTTTTAGCTTCATTTTTGAAATGTTTTAGTTGCATAAAACAGGGCAGAAAGATCACTTCCTGTGCTGCCTGATATTACAGTACTGGTAAGAAAGAACGTATCTGAGAATAAATGTATTATGCCATTTTATACTGATACCTGGTATGTTTACTATATTTTGCTTTGTATTGCTGTATGTATTTAAGAGTAAAACAATAGAAGACAAGACAGGTTTCAGAGTAATCTCTACCTAAATTATGGCTGCATCTGTGCATTCTGATAGGGCAATTTGCTGTTTTTTATCAGTGGTGCATTTGGACTTAGGGAGAATTGAATGTGCTACCTTTTTGCCCAGCTTAGGCCTGGCAAAAACCAGACATGGTCTGTTATAGCAGACGTTCCTCCTTTGCCCTGGCAACAATTGTTTTTGGCTCGTAAAGGAAGATTAGGTGCCATTGGGATAAATGTGGATTAACAGGTTTAGAATGTCATAATTATGAGAAGGACAGGTTGGTGTGGACCTGTAGTGATGTTTTCTCTTCTCTTCTGCAAGAGCATGATGTGAGGCAAAAGTACCTCAATCGCTAGAGCCTCCCCCAAGCCTTGGCATTGTCACATAACAAACTGTTTGCACTTCAGGAAGAAAGAAATCTTTTCCTGATAGTTTCAAAAAGTCAGATGAAAACCCTCAGGCATGCACTTTAGAAAGGCAGAGCTGACATGCTGTGGAGCTGAGAATGCATTGCATTCAGTGAGATCAAATACTTTGTGAAAGACTGTGGCTAAAGCATTTGACTTATCCATGTGTGTCTTCTCTAATGAACAAAATTCTGAAGATTTGCCTTTCCACAGGTAGATGGTATCATTTCGGCTGAGTACGAATTAGAATATTTGTTGCTTGAAGGACATTGTTTTGATGTAACCTCCCGACAGCCACCTCGCGGATTGCAGTTCACTCTGGGAACAAGGAATGATCCTGTTCAAGTTGATACAATTGTGATGGCCAACCTGGTAGGTCTTGGCAGAGGCAGGAGAGTATGCTTCTAATTTGGGCAGATGCTCACTATTGTTAGGCTGGAAACATACTGTATGATCTGGGCGTATTTGAATCTTCCACTCTTGTGAAGGAAGGGCCAACTAATTTTAATGTTATGGATAATTGGTATACACATTGAAGATATGGGATATAGATTAATGAGTGAATGAACAGCCCAGAGTATCACATCTAAAGGAATGGGTTAATAATAAGCAGAGTTCTGTCAGAAGTATAAAAGAAAGCTTAATGTTTCATACTTGTAGGAGGAGTTATATGAGTTGGGGGTCAGCATATGGTCCTGAGGTTTGCATATGCTTGTCTTTGTTTAGCTAAACCATAATTTATTTCTTACATGCAGTTAAGCCATTGTGGAGATATATTGTTAGTTTCCTAAGGTGTCTCAGTCATGACAACAGAAACGCGGGATAGGACTATTTATAAATAAATGAAATTGTTTTTACCATTGGAGTTAGAATTATCCTAATTTCTGCTCTAGATCTGTAGAGTGGGCATTCAAAGGAAATGGATTGCAACCGAAAAAGGGGAAACCAATGATTCTTCTTGTGGTCTCTGTGAATGCACACTAATGGATTTAATCTGTGCTTGCGCAAAAGGCTCCGGAATGCTCTAAAGCTTCTTTGCTACGTTCATGAAGGACCGCCCCCTAGCCCACGAGGTCCGTCCGCCCTCTCATGTATCTTTTTGCCACCGCTGCATGAGTCTCTCTCTATAGAGCTACTGCGTTCGTCTTCTGTTTTCTCTAAAAGGAATATTAGGACCGATTTCAATCTTCAAATCTTCACAGCGATTATCACTAGATAAGTAAATAATTTGGACTCCATCCCCCCCCTTTCCGCCATTTATGGCAACCCTTCCCACTTTCAAGAAGTGCACTTTGTGCGCGAATAAAATTCCCCTTTCTGATGGCCATAATATCTGTCTGTTCTGCTTAGGGGAAGCCCATCAAACCACATCTTGTCAGTTTTGTAAAAACTTTACAAAGCAAGCTTTGAAACTGAAGCAACAGAGACGAAAATCCTTTCTTTGGGAAAAATCACTTAAGCCTCAGACTATGGTCTCGCCTCATAGAGGAGAATCTATCATCCGGTTAACAATTCCGTCAACATTTTCTTCTGATGCTAAGTCTAAAACTACTAGAAAATCAAAATCAAAAACATTACCTAGAGCACCCTCGGTTTCAAAAGCCTCCGAGTGAAAAAAACAAAAAAAAGCGGACCAGACTCTTCCTTAAGAGTCATCCCTACAAGAACCTGCTACGGGGACTATCATGTCCTTGGATGACATTATGATACCACCATCTGGCCAACTAAAGTCACCCATTCTGGCTGTTTCTCCACAATCCCCGGTCAATACAGTGGAGGTTGCAGTGCTTTCTTGGTTATGACACTCCAGTTCACTATCGACTGTAAGATCAGTGTCACAGTCTGGATCCGACCACTCTGAACAAGCACTCGACATTTCTCCTCCCGCCAAAAGGTCAAGGAAAGACTATTGCATGTCGCGGAGACAATCCCATGGTGCTGATAACATGAGACCCGATACCCCATCTGGGTCTTTCACATCTGGAGAACCGTATGGAATACATAGGCTAACTAAGACGGTCAGGCTTTACTAGCCTCCGTACCATCGTGACCATGCCTATAGAAGCTCTCGTTACCGAGCATATCAGAGTTATTTTGCGAAGCTCGAAGTTTACCCAGGACGGAGGCATCGTTACCGATACCATAGAGATTCTGATTACACTGAGTCATCTGTATCACTGATCAAGATACCATGATACGTTCAGATACCGCTCATCAACAGATGAGCGTTCTATCTCATCGGCTTTGATGCCGAAACAGAAGTCAAAGAAACAAGGGACAGAGTGTCCCCAGCTGACACACATGGTACCAAAGGCCACCTCGGTACCAGCCCAGCATCGGAAATCTCAGCAATTATCACAAGCTGCGGAAACCAATACAGTCCCAAGAGTATCGGATACTGGTATCAAAGCCCCACATAAAGGGCATGTCAGGGATCAGATCTCCACAATACAGATTGAAATAGCCACAATCAAGCCAGGTCACACTACCCAATCTTATCCATCTTTTTCAGCCTCATCTTCACACTCCACATTGCCTCGTTCTTCCCAGTCGGACATAGATTTAGAACCATTGCCTAACCTGTCTACTCCAGGAGATGACACCATCATTAATGATCCACCTTCTCCTTCCGAAGATTTTTCTTCTTATTTGTAGTTGGTCCTCAGAATAGCCAAAGTCATGGAGCTTGATATTCAACAGCCTTCACAAGTTCAATCTGATAAGGTGTTTGAGGACATTAACGAGGAACAAACTTTACCTCCCAGCATGAGTTTTATTCCATCTTTGCTTGAGCTCACTAAGCAGATGTGGTCGAAACCATCCTCAGCATCACAGATGTCCAAGAGGGTAGACAACCTTTACAGGACACATGGTGATAATACTACATTTTTTTTCAAGCATCCACCTTCAAATTCACTAATTGTGGACACCGCTCAGAACAAGACACATAGCCAGTCCACCACGACACGAAGTAACAAGGAAGGCAGAAAGCTAAACATAGCAGGTTGTACAATTTATTCTCTAGCTTCCTTTGTCCTCAGAGCTGCAAATTACATCGCAGCCATGGGAGCGGACCACCGCCATTTGTGGAATAAGATGATCCAGTCTCTACCATCTGCCACAGGTGAATATAAGGCAAGGGGCCTGGCTTTTCACCAAGAAGCAATGGCCCTCGCTCGCCAAGAGAGACTTACAGCTGGACACATCATTGAAGGTTCTTCCCGACAGCTGGTCTCTGTAGTGGCGCTAAGGAGATATGCATGGCTAGGATCAGCCCATATGCCAGAAGATATCAAAGGAAGAATAGAGGACTTACCCTTTGATGGCTCAGGCCTTTTTGATCAAAAAACAGACGAAATAATGGAGAATCTGCAAAAATTGAAGAAAATAGCCAAATCATTTAATTTCCAATGATCATATGATACATTTCAACAACCACAGTGGCGTCCTCCTTACGACTACCAACAATTCAAACCGTACTCCAACAAGAACTGATATTCCTACCAACCATCCTCCCCACCTCAGTCTCGCCAAGCATCTCCAAGACCATGTGCAAATAAATCCTCCAGATATTCTGAAAGTAAACAAAAACACAACTAATCCCTTGTAATCAACCATCTGCTTCAATCTACAGTGGCACTCTACTTACCTTTCATCCATAATTACCTTGGATCAAAACAAAGAGCAGGGGGATTTATCTTGATGATATTATCCACATATATGATGTTTCTCTTTACTTCCCTATTACACCTACCTTAAAGCCATCGTAGAAGCCTTCATTCGAGATTAAGCAATGACTGCTCACTGCACAATCACAATTCCACTTCCTCAATACATCAATAACTTCAATGGCAACCAATATTGCATTATCCTGTAATTCCCATAACAACGACAAGAAACACCGCAAGTGGTCGTCTGCTACAGCACAACAGTTTCACGACATATGTCACCAAGGACAACCAGCTCGTGCACCACTCTCTTGCTTCTATACTTTCACCATCACTAAACACTTCAGTTCAGATTAACATGGCCCATCATACCTACATAGACTGCTGATTTTAAAAAAAGTTGTTAATAACCCTTACCGTACCATATGCCGGTCCGGCTATCTGGTCAATTTCTGTTTCTCATTACGTCACTCCAACGAGTTTCTACACTTTCCAAAAGAAGAAGAAGAAGAAGAGAGAAATTGGATTCCCCCCCAAAAAAGGACGCTCCACTGCAGTCTGCTTTACCTATGTCTCTAATTAACACAATGAAATAACCTTCTAAATAAAAGTAATACTACAACTAACTGCTAACCATCGAGTTCACACCAGGAAGCACATACTTCATGGACTTGATCCATGGTAAGGCAGGAATCAATCTTCTAATGGATTATGCACTGCTCTCATTTAATATTCCAGCATATATCAAATGAGAGCAGTGTCATGCAACTCTTTGACATTCAGGACTAAGGACTATTTGACATTAGACACAGCTTCACCCGCGGTGTATAATACCTGATCTGATTACCCCAGATCACAAACTAAGGCCTTGAACCAAATACAGTTGTGCCCCGCTTTGCAGTTGCCCTGCATTACGATGAAACTGCATTACGACGACGTTTTTGTGATCACTTTTGCAATCGCAAAATGATGGTCTGAATAAGCTTTTTTCGCTTTGCAATAATCAGTTCCCTGCTTCGGGAACCAATTCTTCGCAAAACGACGATTTTTCTCCAGTTGATAGGCGGTTTCAAAATGGCCGCCAGGTAAATAAAATCGCTCCCCGCTGTTTTCTGGGGTGGATTCCTCACAAGACAGCCACTGAAAATGGCCGCCCTATTGAGGATCTTTACTGGACGGTGAGTTTATAGCCCATTGGAATGCATTAAACGGATTTTAATGCATTTCAGTGGGTTTTTTATTTTCGCATTACGACGTTTTCGTTCTACAGCGATTTCGCTGGAATGAATTAATGTCGTAATGCGAGGCACCACTGTACTGTATGACATCACCTCACGTAGAGGTTTGAATCACAGATGAGGACATGTGTCCTAGACAACTGAGCCAGAGATGATGACACCTCTGCTAGACCTGGGTCTTCTTCACTTCTGCAGTGATGGCCCTCCACCTTTTAAGGTAAGCTGGTCAATCACCCATTAGTGTGCATTCACAGAGACCATTAAGAAGAAAGAGAAGTTACCTACCTGTAACTCTGATTCTTCAAGTGCTCATCTGTGAATTCATACTTCCCGCCCATCCTCCTCTCTGTCTGTCACTCCTGTATCTCTTGATACAGCGGTGGGCATACCTTGGAACTGAGGTACATGAGAGGGCGGGTAGACCTCGTAGGCTAGGGTTGCGGTCCTTCACGAACGTAGCAAAGAAGCTTTAGAATATTCCAGAGACCTCTGTGCAAGCGCAGATTAAACCCATTAGTGTGAATTCACAGATGACCACTCGAAGAATCAGAGTTACAGGTAGGTAACTTCTCTATTCCAGTATTTGGGAACATACTTTTCTCTCAAATATATAGGCGTGCAGTGATGCAGGTGTGGGACTTTGAGTCAAATGCTAACATTGGAATTTGTATTGGATTGTTAATAATAAGACTCTTATATTGAATGGTAGATCATAATTGCTTGTGAAGTACTTTCTTTTGTTATGATGTGAGATCCAAATACAAGGGGGTTGATTTACTGACTACTGGCATTAGTATGTGCCATTCACTAATTGTGAGACAATATCTGTATCTGTGTCTTTCTCCCTCTGAATACTGACAGGGTTCTTGTTTCTTGTTTGGATTATAGGGGTATTTTCAGTTAAAAGCTAACCCAGGCACATGGATATTGAGACTGCGTGAAGGAAGATCAGAAGACATCTACCAAATATTTAAGTAAGTCTGTCTTCTAACAGTGGAAATTTTATTAATCAAAATAGTGGGATTGTACAAGAGAAACTGTAAAAGAGACATGATATACATTTCCTTGCATTCTCAACCTCTTCAGGGTTGATTTTCACCAATTATCCTTGTGCAAACAGGATACAGTTCCATTTTTTGTGATTTGGCTTGGAAATCTGACAGACAAGTCTTTTAGTACAGAGTCTTAATCTGCATACAAGGCTAAAAAAGTTGCATATGTCCACACTCTTAACTGCAGTTGTTCTTTAGCTAATATGAGCATCCGAAGAACATTGGGCTTTTATTTTTTTTATGAGCTCTTAAGAGTAGAATATATTAAAATTAAATGAACAACCAAATGCAAATATGTTTATTTTCCATAATTTAGATTCCAGAATTTGGCTTATCTTTTTGTGCAGAACTTGTACATAGTCATGATGCAGTTTACAACAAATACCCTATATCCTTTGGACTTAATTTGAATTCAGTATAACTCTCCGGCTTTGTAGATGGATCTTTTTAAACATGTTAGTTTTTGCATTACTAATTTCCTTCATCAAATTGTATATATTAAAAAACACTCTGCTCTTTAGATGCTTGTGTGATACTGATCATGACAACAATAATCGTTTTGAAGCAGCTGCACCTGCAAACGTTAATTTATTATGCTGTGCTGCTGCAGATGATGACAGACCTAAATTTGGCCTCTCAAGTGATGGGATTTCATTCTGATTGTTATGATTTGTTTGCAGTCCAGTTCAATGCCTCTCTTTTCATCATGTTTTCAGACACTACAGGTCTTGTGCCAGGAACTATATAGGTTGGATGTAGATTGCCCGTTCCCTATGACATGAAGCTGGGGCATTATTATTACCACAGTATCAGTTTTCCTAGTACTCTGTTCCTTCCTGCTATCCATACACACCTGTATTTTTTTAATATTTTATATTCTTAATTTTTTTTACCAGTTATTTAATTTTGTAATGTTTCTCGTTTATTTTTTGTTTTGTTTCATGTTTACTGGTCATGTGGGTATTATTGGGGTTGTTTGTATTGTGTTCTTATGATTTCTTTACTGTCCAGAGTAGTGTCTCTGCCACTAGCTCTGTGGGATAAAAACATAAACGAAATCAAATAAAAGTCTCCTGCCTTTTCCTCCTTTAGCAGATGAAGCTTCTGAGTGATTGCTCTGCCCAAGGATAGTGTCCTTGTCTGTTGTTCCACCTTTGGCAGTTTTTTGCTGAGCCATACTATCAGTTCATTCCCTAAAGGACAGAGCAACTCACAGGAAGATATTTCAATAAAATACAGCTGTATAGTTTGAATGCTGCCCCCATCCCTATAGCCTCCACAACTGAAGCAGAATAGCTTCCCAGTTTCACCAGAACTTGAGAAGTAATTTGGACGGCAGACGGGATCATTGATGTGGAGGGTTCAAAGCCCAACTTCTTCTCCCCTCAGATTTTCCCCCTAAAGAACGTTCTTTACCGTGTGCCTAAAAGACCAAGAAGGATCCCATGGAAAAGGATTCCATACATGGGGCACCATGGTGGGGAGAAAGTCCCCTCATTTGTTTCCAGCCATTCAATTTGTGATAGTGAGAGTGCTCTGGAAACAGCTTTCATTTGGAATACCTTAATTTATTCAAAGCTACCATCATCCTAAGTCGTGAAATATTGACAGAGTAAAAGCATCACCTTTGCGTCGAGTTTGGAAATTAACCAGCAAATAGTGTAGGTTCCTTAAAACTGGCAGGGTATACGAATATCGATACTTCATTGCTTCACAGCCAGTCAGGCTGTACACTTAAACAGGAATTAAACCACTCGTAAAAGATAGTATGTGACATCTAATGGACAGCTTCTAAATGGTCTCAAAGGATGTCCAAACAACATGACAGTTGTTCAGATGACTTACAAACTGCTTCCATTAATAGTTTTGTGGAATATTATGCAACAGCTTCGGTTTGGTAAAGCTTTTTTTTAATGTATTAAAAAGATGGAATACTTTAAATCAAAATATCCTGCCATTTAAAGAATGTGGTGTTCATACTTTTAAATGCAATTACTTCTTTCTTCTAGGGCTATCCAATGTTTCTTTCTGTGGACCATTTACATCTGTTTGGCACTGCTTGTGAACTGTAAAAACACAAAAGCTTTCTCGTAACATATTTGACAGATGTAGCAGAATTGGTTTAAAATGTGGAACAAATACAGTGGGGGCTTGACTTGAGAACTTAATCCGTATTGGAAGGCGGTTCTCAAGTCAAAAAGTCTGTAAGTCAAGCCGTCTGTAAGTCAAGGGTCCACTGTAGAAAATAACTGGTGTAATTTTTTTAGACTAGCAGTTAACATTTTTGTCACTGATAATTTTTCTGAATATGATACAGAAATGTCTATACACATGTGATCGTATTTTGCTTAAAATAAGGATTGTATTGTATTCATACTCAAATGTCTGAAAGAGAATGGATCCTTACAGAGCAGACCTGGATGTGTCTACTCAGAAGTAAGTCTTACTGAAATCAGTAGAACTTACTTTGAAGTAACTATACACTGGGCTGAAGGCCAAGAAAGTGAAATAAGGACACAAGGGGATGTTTCTTTTCTTTTCTTTAATGCTTGGTTCTGGGTATAATGTATACTTTTAAATTCTTAAACCTGGTCAGATTTCATGAACTATGAGTTAATAACTACATTAATCAACGTGAGTGGGTGGCAGTTTGTTTCATCTTTCATTTCAGCACTTAGCTTTTTATAGGATGTTTAAAAATAAATGAACCTGTTTTAAACATGTTTAAAAATAAGTAAACCCTTTAAGGGATAATTTATGATGTTGTAGAATGTACCTCTCAGGAGTATTCTGTAAAATATTCTGTTGCTTAAACACTTTCAGTACAGTGGACCCTCGACTTACAGACGGCTCGACTTACAGACTTTTCGAGTTACAGACTTCTCTGGCTGAAAAATTTAGATTCGACTTGCAGCCGGAGAATCGACTTACAGACCAGAAAAAAACCAAAATGGAACAAAAATAGAATAAAAACCGCCGGTTATGGGATTAATCGGTTTTCAATGCATTGTAGGTCAATGGAGATTCGACCTACAGACTTTTCTAGAATGTATCTCTCAGGAGTATTCTGTAAAATATTCAGTTGCTTAAACACTTTCAGTATTCTAAAAGGTAAAGGTTCCCCTTGACAATTTTTGTCCAGTCGTGTTCGACTCTAGGGGGCGGTGCTCATCCCCGTTTCTAAGCCATAGAGCCAGCGTTTTGTCCAAAGACAATCTTCTGTGGTCTCATGGCCAGTGCGACTTAGATACAGAACGCTGTTACCTTTCCACCGAGGTGGTCCCTATTTATTTACTTGCATTTGCATGCTTTCGAACCGCTAGGTTGGCGGGAGCTGGGACAAGCGATGGGAGCTCACTCCGTCACGTGGATTCGATCTTATGACTGCTTGGTCTTCTGACCCTGCAGCACAGGCTTCTGCGGTTTAGCCTGCAGCGCCACCACGTCCCTTTTCAGGATTCTAAGTGATCATTTAAAAGTGAGCATATTGTAAAAGATACAGTAGCTGTTTCTTGCACACTTGAGATTAAGCGTATTCTAAGTGATCATTTAAAAGTGAACATATTGTAAAAGATAGCTGTTTCTTGCACACTTGAGATTAAGCCATGTGATCAGTGGAACTCCAGTCTAGCTCACGTGCAAAACATCCTGGGCCATACGAGACATTCTAGTAGTACTGGCTGGCGTCAGGTCAAAACCTTTCTGTTCAAGAAGACTTTTAATTGAAATAACATCGACTGTGGGTCCTGATGGCAATTTTTAGAGTATCTATTTTAATTGCATTTTAATCATTTTATCTTTTATTGTATTTTAATTGTTGTAAGCTGCCCAGAGACGTTTGGGTTGAGTGGGTGGCATATAAATTAAATAAATAAATACACAAATTTTAATCTCCCTAGACTCCGCCTATGCAGGGAAGATGCTGTGTGTTTATTTAGCCCCATTCGTTGTTTCACGTCTGGTCACATGGGGCTACCCAGCTGTTTACTGGAATGGCTTTAGGGGTAGGCTAACTATGTGTTAAAGCGGCAAGGGAGTTAACCTGAAAAGAAGTTATAGCCTGTAAGAGTTTAGTATCTGTGCTTACTGTGTGTTTATAATTAATTTTAGCAGTGTGTTTATAAAAAGCTGATGAGGCTTGGTAGGAGCCCCCTCTGTTTCATTGTACAGGTTAATGGTTATTCCCTCCCATTCTTTTTCTCCACTTATAAGGCAAGTGAAAATTAATTTTATAATTAATGTAGCAAAATTAAATAATTAATTTTAGTGGTCCCTGTGATTCAAGCCTGTGCCGAACATTCCAAAATCTTCTAATGCAAAGCTGATGAGGCTTGGCAGGAGCCCCCTCTGTTTCATTGTACAGGTTAATGGTCATTCCCTCCCATTCTTTTAGGTCCTTTTTCTCCACTTATAAGGCAAGTGAAATGTATTTTCCCTGCCTCAGTGAGTTTTTGGATTTCTTGTAAATAAAATTTAGTTTTTCACACACACACACACACACACACACACACACTTTCCTTTGTTGCATTGTGGCTGATCACGCTCACTTTTGGGGCACCAATATCTTTCATTATAAAGGGCTTTTCTTAGCATGGGTGGACATACTGAGGCTGTTGACTACACTGTCAAGTTGAATCACTTTGATTCACTTTGCTGTGCTCTGCTGTGGTTTGATTCACAGACTATGGTATGGTTCAGTTTGCTTTTAATATTCACGCATGGACCACAGATTGATTCAGAGCCATTGTTGACTGCCAGTTGGCATTTCAGCCCACAGCCAGCCCTCCTTCCCTCCCTTCCTCTGCCAATCCTTTTACGGTTTGCTGCTGAACTGCTTGGTTTTTTTTTTTAAAGCATTGCACAGTATTGAGAAAAAAGCAGCAGCTTTCCAGAGTTCTTCATAACATATATAGAAAGGCACACACACATTGAGGAAACATATATAGTCTTCTGTATTTTATCAGGGTTGTTTCTATTTCATAGCAATTTATTTTTCTGTGAGGAAGTGATCTAGCACTAAACTAGTGCATCAATGCCATGACTCAGTGCTCCATTCATTTATTATTTTTTTTAAAACTGGGGACACAGAAGGGATAGATTGTAGGGCCAGGTGTTCCCATTATCCCTAAACATCACGCCCCAACTGCAGGCTTCACCAAAACACCACCTTTCATAGCCACACCTTCCATCATTTTGCAGAAGAAAACAAGTGATCACAAGGGGAAAAGTCTTTGAATTTTTCTGGCTTGAAAGAAGTAGAAGCCCCCAGCAGCAGTGAAAAAACTGCATCGGGAGCAAAAAGGGCCCAGATGAATTAGAACTGGACTTTATGTCATGTGATCAGTAAAAAAATGACTTTCTCTGTTTTATACCCAAAGCAAATCCTGCAATATTTGACTACGTAGTTGCAGCCAAAGTGTCTCTTTTTGTCTAGGCAAACAGCATGCACATTACACCACTGTGCCTTTAAACTAAGGGCATTGTTTTTGGAGGAGGCTAGGTAGTTGTTGTTTTTAAGACATCTTGGTGACATAACAGCCTTTAAAGTTGCTGGTTACCTATAAGCATCGTCTTCCATCACAAGAAATGCTAGCATCACTCACTGCTGTAACCTCATGCAAGAACTGGTAATGTGAAGGTGTGAGATTTAATTTTTCTGTGCCATCCACCACTCTTCCACGGTTATAGATCTAGTATATTGAGTCCTAGAGAACATAAAGAAGAAAAAGCATTGCTTACCTGTAATGGGCCCAAAGTGGATCAGCTAAATATTTAAGGGAAAAAAGAAACAAAATCCTGTTTCTATCTTTTTGTTTTTATTTTTGTTTTTTGCTCTGCAACTAGTCTTGCTGTCTACTGTAAAACAAAGAGACGTTGGAATAGATCACTTATGGATTACAAGAACAGTGGGAATTGTTCTTATTCTATGAAGCATTTGGCTGTTATCCAACGTGTTCAAGTTGGTCTTGGCATCTGCTTTTGGAGCACATCTATTAGTAATATTGTAGAGCGGCTTATCTCAGGAAGGAGTTGTTCTGGAAGCTTCCTGAGAAGGGCCCACAATCAGATTTTGGAAGAAGGTTGCCAGATGGTTGCTTGTTTATTTGTACAGAGCACCTGAAGGGGGGGGTGCTCTTTGGAGGCTAACTTAGTGAGCAGTTTGGTTTTTAAATACAGTACAAAGATCTAATCTTGTGCATGCAGAGATGCTTGGGTGGAAAGACTGGTATTCATAACCAAGCTTCAGAGACTTGGACGATTGACTTGGCAAGATAATTCATCCAAACCATCACTTGTGGCTGTTCAGTATGATTAAGATTATTCTTTAAAGGTTTGGCTACATATTTGGCATTCAGAATTAACTTTCAAGTTGCTGAGCCTGCAGCTTGCTGATACTGATATCTCCAGCACAGGATTTTATGGCAGGTGGTCTTCAGCTTTGGCACACAGCTGTTGCGTATAACGGGACCATATTGTCCTGGGCATTGTTGAAACAACTTGATTGCTAAATTGAAAGGCACTTTTTAAAAATTCCCCCTAATATGCTATCCTGCTAGTAGCTTCTGCTGGAAGCATATAAATGTGGAAAACTTTCTAAATTAGTAAGCTAGTATAATACATGCTGTGAACGAAAGGGTTTTGTTCTCCACTCGGCCGACTGTTCTCTGTTGTAATTCAAAAGCAGAAATTTTTTAAAAAATACAATTTTTGTCTGGAGATAAATAACTTTCTTCCTTCCCTCCTAGGCATGAAGGGACTGATTCTTCTGAAGCTCTAGAAGAGGTTATCGTAGTATTAAATACTTTCAGAAGCAAAATCATCAAAGTCCAAGTATGTATGCTAATAAATCCTTTAGGGAATTATTATATTTTTCTTCTCAGCAAGGTTAAAGCTCAGCAAAGTTAGTAATGAGGCTTGCTGGGTGCTTTATATCTATTGACAGCATTTTTTTGCTTTAATATATAGGTGCAGAAAAAACCTGATGAAATTAGCGAAGACCTCCTGAGTGACAGGTTGACAGAAGAAGAGGAAGATTTGATGGCAAGGTAAACTTGTTTGCACTTCAGTCAAAATAGGAAACTTGCCTATGTTTGTTTTTCAGGAGTGAATTCATGGCTGAAATCTTGTTGCTTAGCATAGCAAGTTGTACTAGAGTAGACCTATCGAACCAGTGGGGATTTGATGAGTTAATTCCTCTGTAAACTCCATTGATTCAGATAGCCTATTCTTGTGACTTATTTTAGCAAAGGAACTTATGAAGGAATTGACTCACCAAATTCTCACTGATTCATTGGGACTATGCTAGTGTGACTTACTATTCTAAGCAGCAGGATTTTAGCCCATGATTAATCCATTATGAAGTTGCCAAGTTCTGCTGCTTATAGAAAACTATAGGCCTTGTGACATGCAGGAAGTTTCTTCATTTTTTATTGGTTACAGGGTTTGCCCAGCTCTTTCTTAGCCCACGGGGATGTGGACTACCGTATTTTTCGCACCATAAGACACACTTTTTTCCCACAAAACAGGGGGGGGTGGAAAGTCTGTGAGTCTTATGGAGCGAAGAAAACAGATTATATTTTCCTGTTTTCTTCTCCTAAAAATTGGTGCATCTTATGGAAAGGTGCGTCTTATGGAGCGAAAAATACGGTATTTAAGAACAGTGAATTTGGCACTGAACTGAGCACATTGGTGGCAGTGAAACCAAGTTGAAGGAGCAGTCTAAAGAAGAACTGTTGTGAGAGGTAGTTACATCAGAATCGGTGAACCAGGTTTTAATTTCAGTCCACCACAAAGTTCACTGTCTGATCTTATGTCAGTCAGCCTGACCTATCTGTCCCACATGACCTTTGTGAAGCTAAAATGGGCAGCTGTTGGTGGGTGCAGAAAGATAGCAGCAGAGAATTGTACATTGTCACTGAAAAGAGGTGAATTCAGCTCCAGTCTCCCCAGGAAGAGTATTCCTCCCTTGTGGCAACAAATGAGAGAAGGGTGTGTCTGGATCAAAGAAGCATTGTTTCATGCACTGTAGCATTTCTTGTCCTTTTTCTCTCTGTAATGATGTCTTTCTTCTTTTCCCTCTTGTTTTCTTTTCATGGAACACAAGTATTTCATGTCTATAACACTTTTCAAACAGATCTTATCAACTGAATAATTATCTTTTTGAAGTTCTATAGGAGGCACTCAAACATCGGAAAAAGAGAAGAAAATGGATATATTAAACATATTTTCTGTGGCATCTGGCCATTTATATGAACGATTTTTAAGGTAACTGCCAGTTTTGTTGTATATTAGAATATTGTCTGCACTTTAATCTTAGAAGTGGGATATGGGTTTTTTGCATGAAACAGGAATATTGAGGGCTAGCTGATTTGAACTATAGAAACAAGATGTGGAGTTAAACAAGCTACTGAATTTTTATTTCTAGGTGTAAAGATCTCAAATATAAAGTTACTTTCTGCCATCTTTGTGGTAGTATTATGCTGTGCATGTGCTAATAAACTCATCATGGGTGTGTTTTTCCTCAGAATTATGATGCTCTCAGTTCTGCACCACACCAAGACACCTGTTAAATTTTGGTTTCTGAAAAATTATCTGTCACCTACGTTTAAAGTAAGCAGTGTATCTCTCTCTCTCTCTCTTAAATTAAACACTTCTTAAGGCTTTAAAATGATAGCTTGACTTTTAACTAAAAGGTATCAATGTCAGCTCCTATTTCATTTCTGACATTTTGAATTAAAAGATACATATAGAAATATCATTATATTACTCAGTTTGAAATGTCAGCTTTTTATATATGACTTTTAGCTGGGAAATGGTTACTCATTTTCTGCTCTGCTAATGCTGTCATAGCAATTTGTAACTTACTTATTCTTTCTTGGGTCAAATCTTGTTCCATAGAGTTGGTAATTTAAAATCTGCTTAATTGAAAAGCTTTGCCTTGCAGTTATTCAGCATCACCTGAATCCTAGAATATGTAAAACAGGCAAGAGAACAAACAGATAAATAAACATATTGAAGGTACACTGAGTTCACATGTAAACAGAACTGATGCCTTAAACCATAATCAAGACATTGAGACTGGCCTATAGGAGTGAAATTGTCTTCTTCAATCACAGTTAAAACACTGCACTTAACCACATTTAAGGCTCAGCAGTTCATGGGCTGGTGTTAATTTACACACACAACACACATACACCATACCTGTGTGCCTTCTTTTGTCCTTTCAAATTATAATCCTTCCCTCCTAGGCATGAAGTTGTAGACAAAAATGCTTCCTATGTAACTTTTGCAAAAAAGAAGTAATCACACTCAGTATCTATTTCTTAATATCATGCATACATTTTGGAAAAAACAAGTACCACTATCATTCTGCTTGCTGGAGTTATTATTAAATAATTATTAATTACTTATTTATTCATTATATAGTGTGTGTGTTTAGTCGTTTAGTCGTGTCCGACTCTTCGTGACCCCATGGACCAGAGCACGCCAGGCCCTCCTGTCTTCTACTGCCTCCCGGAGTTGTGTCAGGTTCATGTTGGTTGCTTCGCAGACACTGTCCAGCCATCTCATCCTCGGTCGTCCCCTTCTCCTCTTGCCATCACACCTTCCTAACATCAAGGTTTTTTCCAAGGACTCTTTTCTTCTCATGAGATGGCCAAAGTACTGGAGCCTCAGCTTCAGGATCTGTCCTTCAAGTGAGCATTCAGGGTTGATTTCCTTTAGAACTGATAGGTTTGTTCTCCTTGCAGTCCAGGGGATTCTCAAGAGCCTCCTCCAGCACCACAATTCAAAGGCATCAATTCTTCGGCGGTCTGCTTTCTTTATGGTCCAGCTCTCACTTCCATACATCACGACAGGAAAAACCATAGCTTTGACTATTCGGACTTTTGTTGGCAAGGTGATGTCTCTGCTTTTCAAGATGCTGTCCAGTTTTGTCATCGCTTTCCTCCCAAGAAGAAGGCGCCTTTTAATTTCAGGGCTGCTGTCTCCATCTGCAGTGACATTATATAGTATTTATTATATATTTATTTGAAATATTTTTACCCTGCATTTCTCCCCAAAAGGCCCAAAGGCAACCTAGGAATATTTCAGAAAGCACATTAATTCTTCTTACACACACAAACACAAAGACAAACACACACACAGTTGTTCTCTCAGGCATCTGCATTGATGCTATACTTGTCGAAGAGTATAGTGAATGTTCTGACTAATGCCAGGGGACAGAGCAGCAGCCAAGAGAAGAAGAAAACCGTATTTGATTTAGACAGCAAAATGGTTAATCAGAAACTGGGGCAGAAGTTTAAAAATTGTGATTTCTTTTTCTGGAAGCTGGCTAGCTGATTTTTGGTATTGAAATGCAAAAGATTTTCTCCTCAGTTTACTAGAATTGGCAACTTCTAGCTGTACTGTCTACTGCACTTCTCGCTCTCCCTCCTATCTTGTAGAAAGTTATCCCTTATATGGCAGAAGAATATGGATTCCAGTATGAACTTGTGCAATACAAATGGCCACGTTGGCTTCATCAACAGACTGAAAAGCAAAGAATAATCTGGGGTTACAAAATTCTCTTTCTGGATGTTCTCTTCCCATTAGCTGTGGACAAAATAATATTTGTTGATGCTGATCAGGTAAAAAAAAAGAGTCCAATCTAACAAAGTGTGCATGTGTAGACAGTTCCTGTTTCTGTTGGTTCGTTGTTTCATCTGCCTGAATTTGTGCCTAAAGCCAGATCTACAGTTTCCCTTAGCAAAAGCAGTTATTGTATTGTACCACTTCAGTTTGTAAGTAGGGCAAGTGTGAACTCTCCATTCCCTGAATATAAAGAACTACCATGTTAAGAAGAGCGTTCAGTATCTCCCTGGATAGGTTTTCAGGGAAGAAGGTTTAGATATGGGACCCCCACCCCACCCCCTGTGCATGTTGAAGAATTAAGATTCAGGAAGTATATTTTAGTATACTAATGAGCACATGCAGGCCTATTAATTTGCTGAATTTAAAAAAAAAATCTAAGGGTAGTTCCTAATTGGAAGTGATTATGTGCGGAATACTTGAAAGTACATTGAAGGTTCATATTCATTGTTTTAAAGAAAATGAGCTGTCTTTGTTATTTTTCTGAAAAAAGAAGTTTGGACTGAGAAAATGGTTATGGTGACCTTTTCCTTCTATTCCCTGGGGCTGCTTAAGATCTGTGTGCTTTTAAAAGGAGAAGTAAAGAAGCCTAGGGAATCTAGGGAGCTAATGGTATCAGCTCTTGCAAGGATCATTCTATCATTTGTTGTGATTTGCAGCTAATTTTTATTCTAGCATTTTAAATCTGATCTATCACATTGGGTATATTACAGAACAGCAGTATATAAATTCGTTCAATAAATGCTACTCCTCTTGAGATGCTGGAAGAAAGCTGTCAGTGCTGACGTTAAATAGAAAAGATTTGTAAATAATAACAAGCCTTTCCAAAATGTATGTGTCTGCCCGTTCCAAAATATCTGCATCTCATCCAGATATTGGACTTGGATGTTGAAGCATGCATTCCAGATGAAAGCTTAAAACCTCAAAGAACATTGAGCTCTTATGTGAAGAAACTCATTTTCATTCTGATTTGAATACAAACAGAGAGGGAAAGGTTTCAGCAAAAGAAAATCACCCATAGCATGGTGCAATATGGATCGGATGCCACTGTGCCATAAAATATGTACAGTGGTGCCTCGCTTAATGAGCGCACCGTTTAACGAAGAAGCCGCACAGTGACCCGTTTTTTGCGGTCGCTAATGCGATCACATTGCGATGTTTAGCTAGGCTAAACATCGCATTGAGATCATTTCTGCACCTGGCAGCCATTTTGGGAACAGCTGATCGGTGGTTCCAAAATGGCCACCGGGTACAGAAAATGGCCGCCCGCACCATTTTCGCACCCTGCCCTCGCTTACCGAGGGCGCAAAAATGGCGGCGCTATGGAGAACAGTGAATTTAAGAGCCATAGGAATGCATTAAACTTTAATGCGTTTCTATGGCGTTTTCCGTTCCATATAGCGATGTTTCCCCGTAGCGACGGTTAATCCGGAACGGATTAACCTCGCTGTGCGGGGCACCACTGTACACTGTTACACTCATGCTCTGTGGCCCAGCACGGAATCTGAACTGTGAATTAGAAGAGGCAGACTCAGAAGATAACGGCTGTGCATAATGTTCCTTTCATCTTAATCAGTTAATATTGTTTGGTTTAGATCATTTTTAATTAGCAGATATGATAATAAGTATGCATGAACAGCACAATGCAAATAATCAACCTAGTCTCAAGCCACTGTTATTTAAGCAGCATGGTCTGTTAACTGTTGCTAATTGAACAGCATTTTCTGTACACAGTTCTTTCAGTCTTACCAGATTGTTGCTTTTTGTCCATTTTTCCTCCCCCCCCCCCCCGCCTGGTATTCTGCTTATCTGCATTTTCTCTTCTGCTTCAGTTCTCTCTCCGTCTTCACTTCTTCCTGCAGCTGTCACAATTTGACCACAATGCCCTTGCTTTGCTCTTTCCCAGTATGCCTCTCTCCTGCTTCCCCTTGTCCTTCATTCTGTGCTGTCATGGAGATCAGGCATTATGCCATCCTCTTTCTTTTTTAGATCGTAAGAAGTGACCTGAGAGAACTCAGAGATCTGGATCTGAGAGGAGCACCTTATGGTTATACTCCCTTCTGTGATAGTCGTAAAGAAATGGATGGTTACCGTTTCTGGAAGTCGGGGTACTGGGCTTCACATCTCGGAAAAAGGAAATACCATATCAGGTAGAAGAACTAAGCAAATTTCTTTTTAAGAACATCCAGCAATTCTCTCTCTGTGTGTGTGTGTGTGTGTGTGCGTGCGTGCGTGCGTGCGTGCGTGCGTGCGTGCGTGCGTGCGTGTGTGTGTGTTTTTCTACCAGAAGTCCTGTTTGGGGAATCTCATTAAATGGGATACCTAGAAAGAGCCATATAGGTAAAATGAAGAACCTCTGTGAATATTAAATATGTTGCTTGTATGCTTTGACTAACAACAGGAGCAAAAATTAGGCATTACTATTTCATTTTCTTAAATACAAAGGACCATGCCCTAATATGTTGCTGCCAACCTTGCTCATTTGTATAGTGCTTTATATGTCGTGGATCTGAAGAGGTTTCGGAAGATTGCTGCAGGAGATAGACTTCGAGGTCAATATCAAGCCCTGAGTCAGGATCCAAACAGCCTATCCAATCTAGATCAGGTATACTCCAGTCGAGTGGTATACGTCAGAAAGATAAGCCATGGTTGTACTTTGCCTACTTAAATCATCTTTTGGAACTTGGTCATATTCCAAGATGACAAAGGGATAGGATGGGACTATCCCAGACTTGTGATGAGTAGGGATGTGCCACTAGATAGGGTTTTTTTTTTTAATCCGGCTCTCCCAGAATTCTCCAAGAATTTCCCAGGCAGAATTTTGGCAGTTCCAGCCCATGGAGCCACCCCTACAGATGCCTGTATTTTGCTCACCTGGAGATGTTCCATGACTGTCTCAGAGCTACTTCTTGTTGTCAATGTATGAGAAAAGAAGCTGCTACAGTACTTCCTGACCATCATAGATCTTTGGGAGATGCTCTCTATAGAAACTAAAGAGAAGTGAGACTACAGCTCCCAGAAAGCAGTGCAGTAGCTTCCTTTTTTGTACAATTAAGAAAAAGTATTTTATTTTATTTTATTTATTTATTTATTTGATTTATATCCCGCCCATCTGGTATATTCTACCACTCTGGGCAGCTACCAACAAAAAAGTATTCATTAAAATAACACAAAACCATTGACATAATCAATAACAGAGACAGTGCAAACATATAATAAATAATAAATAGCAAAAAGAAAAAGAGTCAAGTGCTGATAGGAGGGAAGGCCTGGATGTACGTCCATGTTTTTAGTTGGGTTTTAAATGTGCCCTCGTGAATCTCCGGAGAAAGGTTATTCCAGAGGCGAGGAGCCACCACCGAGAAGGCCCGGTTTCGTGTCTTTTCCCTCCGGGCCTCCCTCAGCGTTAGGCTCCTCAACCTCACCTCCTGAGGTAGTCAGAGCATGACAGCCACAGAGCACCTGAACATGCCCTGGTCCAGGTGAGTGAAAAGTAGGTAGACTGGGATTCGCAGAATTCTTCCTGGGGAATTCTTGAAGAATTCTGGGAGTGAGAATTTCCGCCCCCCCCCAAAAAATCTGAAGGGCACATGCCTGGTGATGGCTGCCTGTCATAGGGGACCTGTTTATACTTTCATCTGTCCTGGATTACCATTGAAGTTGCTTGGGAAAAAGAAGATTTTCCTCCCCGCTCCTCCTAAATTATTATCACCATCCTGAAAGAGGAACTCTTATTCCCTCTGTGCAGCCTAACCCTGTCTTAGCATTAAACACAATATTCCAGCATTTACAGTAACCCATCTGGCTTACTATTAGAATCCCAGAAACAATGTTAAATAATTATGTTGTTTTCCAGGATCTTCCAAATAACATGATTCATCAGGTGGCCATCAGGTCTCTTCCCCAAGAGTGGCTGTGGTGTGAAACTTGGTGTGATGATGAATCCAAGAAGAAGGCCAGAACCATTGATCTGGTGAGTCAGTAGTACTGCTCTGGCAACACATCAATTCAGGGGGAGCCTTTAGACAGAACTTCGCAAGCTTTAAATGTTACTGTGACTTTCTTCACTGAACCCTGCAGTCAAAGCTGTGATAATGTCAGGAGTGAGCACTGAGTATAAGTTCTTGCATCTGTGCCCTTTTGCCATTCTCACTTTGTTTGGGGAAAAGTGAACAATTAACTGTGAAGCTAATGAGTGAGAGTGAACAGGCCCTATGGAATCATCCTTCACTATGGCCTGATAGCAGCAGCTGTAGCTATCTGTTGCTCATGACCGGAAGTGGATATGTTGGTCACTGTGCAGTAGCCCTGTGATGCATCCTTCCTTCTAATATCAAGACCTAGAAAAGAGAAAGCTCGGGGTGCGGAGAGAGAGACAGAGAGAGAGAGAGAGAGAGAGAACAATTGACCTCACTCAATTGTGGGGGAAACGGGGTTCCCCCTTTTTTCCATGCCTTCACACTACCTTTTCAGAAGGGCAAAGTAGATGGGGTGGCTTATTTCTTTCAGTTCTTCGAAGGACAAAGCTGATACAGGCATGATTTTTTTTCTGAGAAGGTTGAAGCCATACAAACCACATTCATTTATCTTTATCAGATCTCCATATTATGCATTAGATTGCTAAGGAGTCCTTCTGGATTCACACACGTTTCTTTCTCATGAATAGCAATGTTGACAGAAAAGCTGACTGAGGAAAAGCTAGTGGATAAAAGATGAATGGTGCGGGTCGAGGGCTCCTGGTGGCTAGTGACAGATGGCTCTATTTGTAAAAAGAATGCTATCCAGATGTTTTGACTGTCTAAAAGAGCATTGATGGAAAAGCCCACCATGCTGTTCTCTAGTAAAATATGATTGCATAGATCTTCTCTGTTCCACTGCTAAATAATATGCCTAATAGTTGCTGACGTGTCAGCACAGTTATACTTCCTGGCTTGGTGGTCTGGAAATAACATGGAATATATTTTAGGATTTTAAATTGAGATGCAGGGAGCCACCTCATATGTAAGTCCCATGAAGATGAAAGAGAGCTTGGAAATGTGACAGAAAATGCTAATACAGTGGTGCCTCGACTTACGAATATCCCAACTTACGGCCATTTCGAGTTACGACCAGGTCCGGTCGCAAAATTTTGCTGCTTCTTGTGACCGGAGCTTCCACTTATGAACAGAAAAAGGCAGGGGGGGGGGAAAGGGGAGAAATTCAAAATTCTAACTGTAGGTGGCGACGAGGCTGCTTCTTTGTAGCTCTTTCGCCTCAGCAGTTAGAGAATGTATGCGGAGGAGGCTTCAGAATTGCCTGGCTTTTGCTTCGGAGTGAGTGTGTGTGTGTTTGCAGGGAGGTAAGGTGCTGTTTTCTGCTTTTTAAAAACTTCTGGGTGTTTTTGCAACATGGTTTTGAGCTGGGGGGATTATATTTCTATGCTGTGATGGGTCTTGGGGGATTTGTGGGTTTGTTTTTTGTTTGTTTATTTGTTTTTTCCCCCATTTCCGATGGGTCTTGGGTGGTTTGGTTGCTTTTTGGATTTTTGACTTTCTTTTTTAAAACAGAGTCTGCCTGTTCTGGGTGAGCACACTGTATTTACTGTACAGGGTTTTTGCAGCTTGGGTTTGGGCTTGGTGGGGGGTTATGTTTCTGTGCTCTGATGGTTATTGCAGTCTGGGGTTAAAATGTGAAAAGTAGACTCTAATATTAAATTAAAATTAAATGTGAACATTAGACTGTAATTTTATAATGTAAAATTTATTTATTTTTGCATTCTGTGGCTCCTAGGGTTTGTGAACTGTGACCTCTCTTTGGTTTAAAAATGTGTGGGTTTAAAATGTGACTCCTGAGTCTTTTTGTTTTAAAATCAAAACATTTTCTGCAAGGGTCTGTGGTGGCTGACATGCTGTAAAATGGGGTTTAGACTCCAAAGTTTTTTGTTTTAAAATGTGTTTGGTTTTAAAAGGTGTTTGGTTTTAAAATGTGTTTTGTTTAAAAGATGCTTGCTTTGGTTTAAAAGGTGCTTGGTTTAAAATGTGTTTGGTTTAAAAAGTGTTTGGTTTAAAAGGTGTTTTAGACTCCAGACTCTCTCCCCCCCCCCTTATTGTCTTCTCTCTGTCTTCTCTCTTTTTGTACTTAACAGCAGAAACCTTTGTCCCAGGGGTCTGTGTGCCCCAGTGATGACCTTTTTTCTTTCCCCTTTTCCACATTGTTCCCTCCCTCCTTTCCTGTCCTTTTTTTTTAACCTAAGTCATTTTAGGTTAAAAGAAGAAAATTTCTCCTCCTAGTGGTAGAGGATGGACTAACCACTTTTGCATTAGTTCCTATGGGAACAAATGCTTCGGCTTGCAACTGGCACCTCTACATACAACCAAAAAACAGCCAGAATGGATTAATTGGGTTTCAGTGCATTTCAATGGGAAATGCTGACTTGATTTGCAAGCATTTCGACTTACAACCATCTTCTAGAATGGATTATGGCTGTAAGTCAAGGCACCACTGTAGCAGGGAAATATAGGTTGATGGACTCTTATTTGCAGTCTGTAAAAATGAGAGTCTTAATGACACATATTGAAGCTTCCTGTATTCCGGAGTGGCAGTCATTGGACGACTGTACCACATAGCACTGAAGTAACAGTGTGCTTCACAGCAGACTTTTTGTCTCAGTTTAAAGTAATTGTTATTTTGTAGTCCTTTGTCAATGTTGAAAACAGGGTTAGGCAAACTCCAGTGCTGTAGGAACACACTGGCTGCCCTGACCAAATTTGCTGCTGTGTTGCAAGCATGTCTGGAGGGGCTGTTTTAAAAACAAAAAAGGGAGGAAACAGGTACAGTAGTGTCTTATTTTTGAGTAAAAATGTGTATTTCCTCTCCGGCTACAAAGCAGCAGATTTGGTGGTCGGGGAACGAGGGGTCACAGGCAATGTGTGTTTCATATTTCTCTGACTTAAAATTTTTAGTTGATACTTTCTGTAATCAATGGTAATATCTTTTTCCTGGCTTTTTAAAATGAGTACCATTTGTTGGTTTTAAAATCATGTTTTAGTGTAACAATCCCAAAACCAAAGAACCCAAACTAGAAGCTGCCATCAGGATAGTTCCAGAATGGGCAGAGTATGATTCAGAAATACAGAAGCTAATCAGTCGAATCAGAAATGAGAAGAAGAATGTGATCCAGTCCCGTCACACAGGTGAGGCACAGAAGCGTTAGGAAATATTGTGCAGCTCATGATAACTTTTTACGAGAGATAGAAAATTCAAAGGTTGGAGCTGGTCACTTAATCAAACTGGGAAAATGTGCAGAAGTTGTGCCGGTTTGCAAGATGTGGGGCAGTTTTCTCAGGGCCCTTGTCAGAGGGCACCCACAGCTCCAAGGGATGGAAGGTGGGCCAGCCGAGAATTCTCTCACGCTGCCTTAGATCTTTGGGTGCTCCACGTGAGTGATGCTCCTGGCACTGGGAAGGCAGTGCAGCCATGGAGTTGGGATCACAACCCACTCTGCAGCCTCACTACCCTGACTGATAACTTTGTACTCCTGTTTTTGTGTTCCTGCAAAGTAATGTTCCATGATCCCACTGAGTGCAATTATTATTGTTATGTGCCCATCAGATTGCTTCCAATTTATGGTAATCCTATGAATGAGCAATCTCCAAAATGTCTTGTCTTCAACTGCCCTGCTTAGCTCTTGTAAACTCAAACTTGTGGCTTCCTTTAGGAAGTCAGTGGATCTCGTGTTTGGTCTTCCTCTTTCCCTGCTGCCTTCTACCTTTTCCAGCATTGTTGTCTTTTTCAGAGAATCCTGCCGTCTCTTGATGTGCCCAAAGTAGGACAACCTACTGAGTGCAAAAAGAACAACATTTTCATAAGATCTTTGTCTAGGATGAAAACCTTCCAAATGCCCAAGAGGCAAATTTGTTGGCACTTCAAAAACATTTGGTTAAGTGTTAAGACCCATTAAATTTTGAGTTGTAAGAAAAACAAAAGTCATGTTTTACTTTCCATAGATTTTGTTCAGTGCATGGTTTCATGGACTACAATTGACTTTTTCAGACTAACAGAGTAGACTATTTCAAACACATGGCACATAGCTGTGTAGGCAGGGACAGAGTGAAAGATTACAGAATATTTCATTATTAAAAGTGGTAATACACTTTCAGAGTGTTGACTGCTTTCAGGAAAAGTTTATTATGCTGAGGCCAGAGTTTGGACAACTTTTTAGTTATACACAAAAAGTGATGAAAAGTAGAAAGCAAAAAATTAGTATTAGCCTACAGACACTTTGAATTGGCTAATTACTTGTTTCCAGATCATTTAAGCAAGCAGCACTTTGAAAGGTCATTAGTAGTGTTAACAGTGTGCATCTCAGTACTGTATACCATTTACCTTGGTCTTCACCACCACAAGCTGTGACTACTTCATGTATATCCTGTAGCTTAAATATTTTGTATGATATGTGTCTGAAGAAATGGATTGTAATCCAGGGAAGCTTACACTAAAATAAATTTTAACTATGCCACAAGACTTTGTACTGTTTTGCTGTACATGGAAAAAAATATTTTTGCTAAGTTTCATTTTTATAAGACTGAATAACATTTAAGGAGAGGAGACCTGTTAAATTGAGGTTAGCAGCAACCAACATGTTCAACTATTTCAACAGTTTCTGGCCTTGTATTTTCTATCACTGCTGGTGCCTGTGTGGCCCAAGAAACTAGGAAATAGAAATAATATATATATTTTTACTATTTAGTTGCTATAAAATATTTGTTATTTTTGAGGTGCTAGTCTTATTTTTATTGATGGCTGTTTATATTCTACCTATGTCTGCTGACCATTTCCTTCCTGGCTGTTTGTCTACCTGTTTTCCTTTTATTTCTAATACAGTTCAAGTCACCAGGTTGTGGGTACTATGTTATTTTCCTTTTCTGGACTGAACCCTTATTATGTGCTCAAGTCCACAAACTATTCAGGGCTGTAGGAGGCACCTTTATACACACTGAAGGCTCAGATCTCTTAAATCATATTTATTGTACAGGGGGCTGATTCACACATAAAAAAAGATTCATCACCTGTTAAGTTTCGCACCATGGCATGACGTGCAACAAGTAAATAAGCCCCTGTAGATGAAATACCATAGGCAGAACTTCTGTGTCATTTTCCATCATTACAAATATGGTGGTTTTCAGTGGAGGCAGTCTGTGCATTTGACAAAGTCAAATAATGCAAAAAATTACAGTGGTGTAATGGTTTAGAGACCTGAGCTGTGATCCATGCAGCCACTAGATGAAACAAACTTTGTTTTTACTGTGAGGTGGCCTTGGGCCTTTGTTTCCTGTTGTGGGTGGGAGGGGGGGAAGGAAGGAAAGGCTGCCATAGTTCTCCTTGGGAGTCATTGTTCTCTGGAAAACACCCTCTACAGAGCCTAATCTGCAGCAAGACTACAACTCCCAGGAAGCACCATGACAGCTTGCTTTCTTTTCCTTTTCCTTTTCAACAAATCAACAACAACAAGTAAGGTGGGAGAATCCAATGGTGTAGGTAAATAAACAACTCTAAAGCCTTTGTCTCATAGGGGAAGCCTCTAGGTGGATTTATGGGCAGTTCCCAGATTTCTTGGAGATTTCTGGGAGTCATAGTGCAACAAAAGAGCATCCCCCTAGTTGAGATGATAAGGGTTACACTTGATCATCTTAGAGAGGACCAATAAAGCAATGGAGTTATATAATTTGATTACAGTAACCAGTGCAAAGGAACAGAGAACAACAAAAAGGGGAAAACAAGAGATCTCTTCCAGAAGATCCAACAAATCAAAGGGAGATTTAAGCCTAGATTGTTGTTGTTGTTTAGTCCTTTAGTCATGTCTGACGCTTCGTGACCCCATGGACCAGAGCACGCCAGGCCCTCCTGTCTTCCACTGCCTCCCGGAGTTGAGTCAAATTCATGTTGGAAGCTTCAATGACACTGTCCAATCATCTCATCCTCTGTCGTCCCCTTCTCCTCTTGCCTTCACACTTTCCTAACATCAGCGTCTTTTCCAGGGAGTCTTCTCTTTTCATGAGATGGCCAAAGGATTGCAGCCTCAGCTTCAGGATCTGTCCTTCCAGTGAGCACTCAGGCTTGATTTCCTTCAAAATGGATAGGTTTGTTCTCCTTGCAGTCCAGGGGACTCTCAAGTCTCCTCCAACACCACAATTCAAAAGCATCAATTCTTCGCCAGTTAGCCTTCTTTATGGTCCAGCTCTCACTTCCGTACATCACTACAGGAAAAACCATAGCTTTGACTATTCAGACTTTTGTCGGCAAGGTGATGTCTCTGCTTTTTAAGATGCTTTCTAGGTTTGTCATCGTTTTCCTCCCAAGAAGCAGTCATCTTTTAATTTTGTGGCTGCTGTCACCATCTGCAGTGATCATGGAGCCCAGGAAAGTGAAATCTAGCCTAGATTAGGAGTGCTGAAAGACCAACAGGGAAGCAGACTATCTGACAAGCAGGCGAAGAACTTTCTGTTCAGGCAGGTCTTCCCTCAATAACTACCTGTTGTGATTTTAGATGGATTATTATGCATTACTGCTTTGACGGACTTTTAGTACTGCTTGCGTTTTTCCATTTTTGTGTTTTCCATTTCTCAGAGTGGTGTTTTTAAAAATATTTGTATACTTTTTTCATCATTTTAATATTGCCTTTTAATGATGTAAGCTGCCGCTTTATACTCATTGCTCTTAGCTTTAAATATTGTCTTTTAATGTTGTAAACTGCCTTTTTCAAGGAGAAAAATGGGGTAGAAATATTTTAAATAAATTAATTTCACATGCAAGCAAAGTGATGTTTAAGGTGTTGCAACAAAGGCTGTTCCCTTCTGTGGAGTGAGAAATGCCTAATATTCAGGCTGAATTCTGAGAAGGAAGTGAAACTTGAGATCACATTGCAAATATCTGCTGGCTAGTGGAGAGCACCAAATAATTTCAGATTATGCTTTGTAGACTACAGCAAAGCCTATGACTGTAGATCATGGGAAACTATGGGTTGCTCTGAAAGAAATAGGTGTGCCTCAGCACTTGATTGTCCTGATACATAACTTGTATCATGGACAAGAAACTACTGTTAGGACAGAATATGGAGAGACAAAGTGGGTTCCTATAGTCAAAGATATCATCAGATAAAGGTCCATTTTATCCCCTTATGTTCTGTGTACACACCAAACAGATATTACATATCAAACTAGATTCAGGTGAAGGAGTGAAAATTGGTAGAAGAAATATCCAGAATTTAAGATCATGCAAGTGACATAGCAGCAATGATTTCACTTAATGAAAGTGGATTTCACTTAATGAAAGTGGAAGACAAAGTGCCAAAGCAGGACTGCAGTTGAACATTAAGAAGACAAAAATCATGAATATAGAACAACTACACAACTTTAATGCTGATAATGAAGAAATTGAAAACAGTGAAAGTTTTATGTACCTTGGTGCAGTCATCAGTCCAAATGGAGACAGCAGCCAAGAAATCAGAAGAAGGATGAGACTCGGAAGGGCATCAGTGAAGGAACTAGAGGAGATAATCAAGTGTAAGGATGTGTCACTGGAGACCAAGACCAAGATCATCCACACAGTTGTATTTTTGATCACCATGTGTGGGTATGGCAGCTAGACTATAAAACAAACTGACAGGAAAAAACTGACTTGTTTGAATTACAGTTCTGGAAGAGAGCTTTGTGGATAACCTGGACTGCCAGAAAGACAAAAGATGAAGTCCAAAAGCAAATCAAGCCTAAACTATCTCTGGAGGCAAAAAAAATAAATAAATGATGAAACTGATATCCTATTTTGGGTGCATCATGAGATGGGAAAGGCAGTAATGCTGGGAAAGGTGAAAGGCTGCAAGAAAAGAGGAAGACCAAATACGAGATGGATTGACTCCCTAAAGGAAACCACAGCCTTGAGTTTGCAAGAGCTGAGCAGGGCTGTTGAGGACAGGACAACCTGGAGAGTATTCATTCATAGGGTTGCCATATAACAACAACTTTAGTATTATACAAATGTGATTCAGCCATAGTTTTACATATTGGAGGAACTTCACTTGTGTGTTCATATTTAGAACACAACGGGCTAGGAAAATTGTAATAACTGCTGAAAAGCTTACTGTAAAACAGTTGTGACCAGTTGTGGAGAGGGAGTCAACTAATACTGTGCCCCAATCAGAAATCTGGAGAAGACAGATATATTTAAAGTATTAATATGGTAGCCCCTGAAATAACTAATGTGTGGTTCCTGGCTGTTTATTTTTTAAAGAAACGGAGATAGAATCATCTATGGAATTGTGACAAAATAAGTTAACGACAAGAATCCAACTGACTGTTTACACTGGTCTAAGTGCAGTGGCATAACCTGGAGAGGCAAGTCGCTGCTAATTAATGAGTACTACATATAATTCCTAGTTGTGTGCCAGTTGTGTGATTTGGCACATCCCTACGAGTTCAGTCAGGGACATGTTATAGCAGCTGTTTGCTGCTCCAAGTTACGCCGTTGCACTTGCTGTATGCTAGCCTAATTACCCATTTGGATTCTGGCCAGTGAGTCTAATGATGAGGACGTAAGAAAATGTTTAAAGTGAATCTCCTGACTGTGTAAGTGTTCTCTGTTCTCAAATTGATATTGCCTTTATGTCTTATTATTACAGATTCCAAACATGATGAGCTTTAGCATTATTTGGAAGTGGTCCTGATGGCACAACTTACTCTGCTGCTAACCACAAACTTAGGAGCGGGATATGCTACTGTTCACTGATGTAAATACTACGAAGACTATATTTTTAAAACACACTTTTTAAAAGGTTGTTTTGTGGCAGCCTGTAGTCTGAGCAGGGTGAGCTTTTTCCTGGCTGAGACCATGGGCAGTGAGTACGCTCTTTGTACTGAGAATGGGAACAGTTTGGAAAGCACAGTAACGTGCTGACTACATGCCTTGTTGTTCAGTCTAAGAAGCTTCCTACATATCCAAGACTAACACAAGTTCTGATGCTACATCTGTTAAATATATATTGTTCTTATTTCAAGTACATTTTTGGTGGGCGGCCCAAGGGTGAAGGGATCTTCCTTGCCCCACTTTTAAGGCAGTTTTATCTTGGTAAAATCCACTTCTTCAGAAAACAGAAATTTCATGCAGCTTAGAAACATGTACATAATTGTGAGTGTGCTTAGTGTGATGGAAATAAACAAACGGAATATCTCACGTCTAGAGATGGGCACTTTGTATTCATATCCCGGGGATACACCAAGTTCTCTCCCCAAGAACCAGCCAGGTACATTCACCGGGCTCCACGCAGTGCGGCGCTCCTCCATTGTCATTGCACTAATTGCAGAAGGAGCCCAGCCGGTGCTTTCCTGCCTCCCTGCACAGCCGAGTGGGAGGCTGCCCAGGGAGGTGGGGAAGCGCCAGCTAGGCTCCTTCTGCGATTGCTGCGACAGCAGAGGAGCGCCACACTGCGTGGAGCCTGGTGAGTGGACCTGGCTGGTTCTGAGGGAGGGAATTGGGCTGCTGCAGCACCTTTGGTGCTGTGGTTCGTATTTGTATCCCCAGGGTACAAATACGAAGTGCCCATGTCTACTCATGTTATATTTATTTTAAACTGTTCTGCCTATTTGCAGTAGCTTGCATGGAAGCTGGCTTGAGTACTTGAAGTTTGTGCTTTTTTTTTGACGAGCCTGTTTGTGTGCTTCTTTGTCATGTACAGTGTCACTGCAGCCTGCTGTTCGATTTAATCATTCACTCAGTGGATAAATCCTGGATTCACACAGACAGCTCTGGTGGTGACTGAACATCCTCGGCCCAGTCAGTAGCTCCCCATTTCCTTTGTTCTCTTAAGCAGGTATTAGAGAAGATTGGAGGCAGTCCAGGGAGCTGCCACTCAGCTCCAGCCCCTTCCCAGAATACAAATCCCCTAGACATGGATTCCCAGGGAAGAAGAGTGGAACCATCCGAGTGCCATGATCCCCATACCAAAGGTTCAACGTCACTAAATATGACTAGTGAGAGAAACTGAGGAGAGGAGTGGCTGCTCTTTCAAAAAGTGGCCACATGTCCTCTTTAACAGCCAGTTTTGGCTTGTAAAATTCAACAATGTTTAATAAAGAGAGCCATCAGTACAAGGGCATCAATGCTAATGTTTTGTGAGTTGTAAAATGAACTGGCTGCTTTTTATACATAAAAGTAGGAAGGGAGCACTACAAAGAGTAGTTACATGAGGTCAGCTAGTGGACGTAACTGTGGCCTTGCAGGTGTCCAGCCCTTCTAGTCAGTGTGGCCAGTGGCCAGGAATGACGGAAGCTGTAGACCAGCATCCTATAGGCCTCAAGAGGTTCCCAGCTACTGCTGTCATTAAAGCAAAGACAGTGCCTTCTAACATATATGATCAATGCTTTAAACTTCTTTTTTTCATTTTTTCTGTCAAATTATTGTTTTGTGCATTTTCTGGGTCTGTTACTTTTTTTGGTTCTCTATAATTTGGTACTACATACAATATTACTTATTTGGTGCTGGACTCATAAGTCTTAATTTACCCATTCCTCCTTTAGGCCAGTGCATTTGTAATATGCAGAGGTATGATATTGCTAGCAGTCATTTCCTTATTTACCGTGACTCAGGCTCAAAAGCAGTGATCCTTCAAGAACTCTTCCTGTTTAGCTCATTATGATCACTGCCCATGGTTTTACTGTTCCTGGTGAACTTAAGAACCTTTCCAGTTGCCCCAATATGTCCTGTGATGGCTGAAGAGTTTCTCTTAGTTTGGAGTCTGGATTTTTTCTTTCTTTACGTCCACTTTTCTGTTTCTGGCATAAGCTGAAAGCAATCTGAATAGGCTTTCTCTCCAGTAACAGCACCTGTCTTTGTCAACATATTACATTCTCCTGTGTTTAATGCACTTGGCCTTACTACTTTCAGGTACCTCTGGCTCATGGTTTTTAGTTCACCATTTTGTGCAAAGGCTGAATAAAAATTTAACAAATAAAATATATGTCAGGTTGTTTCCTCTTGTGTAGTAACATTTATTTGGTCATGTGGCATGCCATTTTTTTGCCTTCCCTTTGGTAGTACAGTAGCAGCTCACAGCATTTAACTACATTGTATGGAAAGTAAAGAGGAAAACTTCAACAAGAGTAGTTATCACTAGCCTTCCTCAAATACTGTAATGATGCTGAACGACTTGCTGCAGATCCTTCACCCATTCCCTTCTGTTGTTAGCCTCAAGGTGGGACAGAACAGTGTTGCATATTTTCTGCACGTTAGACTTCCACAGCTAACTATGCAGCAGCATTCTGCTCTCTTGTTTGAATGGAAGTCTGGTGAAAAAGTACAATAAAACATTTGTACTGTTAATCTTCATGGGTAGTTCAGGGTTAAATGTATGGAATTTAGAGTTGACAGGAATAGCCATAATGCACTCCATCAATTTAATGCAAAAACTCACTGGGGCAGAATAGCTTCCAGATTTTAAACTGAAACAATTAAAAAGATAATGCTTGATTCTTTATAATTTTTATAGAACCCTTGAACTGAAACAAATGGATTATTACCATATTTATAAACAAGAGCTGTAACTTGGGGATAATGTTCATTTTCTTGTACAGCTTTACAAAAATCAAATGATTTTCCCATCACAGTAGTTAAGAATAATCTTTAGGTACTAAAAAGTTTTGTTAAAGACAAAGTTCACAGAAGATCATGCACCAATGTTCCTTTGCAGAGCAGAGGGTTAGAGCTAAAACAGTAAAGCTGCATCTCTGTTGCTAGAAAACAGCTACTAGCATCATTGTCCTGGTAGTGCTGGCACCACAAAGCTACCCACGTGAATGCAGCCCTAAAAACAGCTCACATTTCACGTGTAGCCAATTCTCAGAACAAAATAAAAAATTACAGGTGAAGCCACATTTGCTTATTCAGACATCTACCTCAACTGGATAAAATAGGTCCTTGTCACCAGAATAAGCTTTTCTTGAAAATCATGCTATGAATAAAGTAGAGGAGTGCTTTTAGATTTCCGCATTGCCGTACCCTTGTAAAGATAAACCCCACACACGTTCCAAACTCTTTTACTGTATATGAATAACAGCTCAGGCTTACATGCAGGAGAGCTCGCAACTGCACGCCAACCGAAAACAAACATGGCCAGCTCACTCGCTGCTCCTGTTTTTCGCTTAGGTGGCAAATAACTGCACGTTTCAAATGGGAGATTACTTGATTCAATGTGTCTTTGGACGTTAAAGTTTAAACACTTTGCACATAAACGGTGTGTGTGTGTGGGGGGGTACAATGGCTATATTAGACCCCACAGGTGTTTTTCTTCACAGGTAGCTGAAACAGGTATGCATACCTTTCTGCCTGCACTCAACTGTTAGAAGAAATTATTCAAAATTATTCCTTCAATGAAGTGCTGTAAAAAGACACATCCTAGTTTGTTCCAATTTGCAGCATTTAGTGTTTAATATCAGTACCATCCTATGCCAATTTGGAAAAACCTTTTAATTTTTTGTTTCTAAAGAGATAAAATCCCATCACCAAAAAACAAACAAAAAAACCACCCATCTACAATTACATGGAAACTTCAACATAGCAGAGATTTCTCTTCTTTAGCTGGCATAGTGGGGTTTTTTTGTTTTTATTTTTTAAGCTTTGGCACAATTGTTAACTTCAACGTTAATCTGGTTTCATAAAAAAAAGAGCTTTCTGATTAATAGAAGCTTTAAACTGATTGATGAAATTAGCAGCAGTTGTGATCTACATTTCATTGATGCCAGTACACTACCTTGTATGATTTAGACTTCTTTATCTTAAAAAAAAAATACTTAGCTTTCATAGCACTGTTTCAGTTGTTTTTCAAAGAAACAGCTTTATTCTGCAAATATTTCCAAACTTTGCACACACTGCAGTGGTTTTTGTTAACTAATACTAGTCCTTGCTAATGTGACTACATAACTGGCCACAATGGACTATTGATCAATTTAATTCAGAGGCCTTAATGGTGCCTCGGGTAAGAGCTATGAGCTCTCAAAAAACCAAGTGAAGCCAAGGCGGAATTCCACCTGAATTAATACCATACGCTGAAGAGTAGCAGAAAGCAAAGTCCTTTCACGAGTCCTACTTTGTTTTAATGACAGGGTTCAAAGAAATAAAGCATCTGGAATATTGCTCAAGACACACGTAGCCTAGTTGATTGCCAGGTCTTCATATCAGGAAGGTGAATGTTCTCAGGAAGATCCCTGAACAAAGTCTATGTGGTGTGATGCTTCTTCATATGTCTGCCCAAAGGTAATTCCAAAATGACTCAGAAAAGATAAACAAGTGAATAAGCTACTGCCACTCTTCAACCAATTAATGACTTTCCTTAGAGCAGCAAAGCTGACATGACTGCACTCAGCAAATGGACAGATATCTCATCCACATGACCTGACTGTTTGTCCTCAGGCGTACAACTATATCAACATCTGGGCGCTTCCCAATCCAAGAAAGCACAGTATTTGCAGAGCTCTGTCTCCTGCAGAGATCTCCCTCACAGGATCTAGGTACTGAAGAATAGACTATTGAATACAGGTATTGTACCGTTTACCATTACAGCAGTTTTCTCTTGTCCTTCTGTGCTGAGAGCAGCAAAAAGAAACAGAAAACATTTAATTAGATTGCTCTGAATCTCAACTGTGCTATTGTCATTTCTTAAGACGCAGAGATTCACTTTTTATGAAAAGTTCTTTAAAGACCATGACTCCAGTTCACATCATGAGAGGTCCTCATGATGCCTTCACTTCGGAGGTAGCATCCATAAAGCAGACGTGTCCCAGGCTCATGACCTGAAATGGAAGCCTACTTTGGTGCTAATTACCTGCTGCCACAGAAAACCTCTATGTTGGGGTTAGTAGTACAACAGAATGAAACACTTCTTTGTGAACTTAACATGTTTTACATGGCACCTATAAAAAGGACTGATAATCCTCTTCTAACACAAACTGCAACACTCACGTGAACAGCTGTCTCACAGTTTACGTTCTTTTTTTTAAAAAAAAAAAGACCAAAAATGAATTCTATATATTTGGTGCAACATCACACCCACTCTTCTCAAATGCCAAGTATATGCTGAGCGAATATGCTGAAAATGGTTCTGTTTGATACAGCTAAAAATAAATTTCTATTTATGTAGATTTCTGCAGCAAATAGAAGAGCTTTTAATTATCCTTTAAAAATATATGTTATAAAATTCTGTCCATAAACCAAGTGTATTGAGGCCTGTTCTACATAAGTAAAGGATTGTGCACAGAGGCTGCTATAAGAAAATTATCACAGGGCAGTTGAATGGCTTTCTAAACTGCACTCATCTTCCACAGAAGCATATGAATAATTATGGCACCTACTCTCAAGATATAAACAATAACTCCTGTAATCTCCATAACTGGTATCGTCTTTGGAAAAACAGGTATGGCTCATAACCTGAGCTACATTTTTAGGTGCATGGATGGTGCCTTAAGAAAGATGAGGAGGGGTGGGTTTTTACATTTTGTTTTGTTTTAGATTTGTGAATGACATACAGCAAAGATGGGGGAGTGTTCTCCAATGTCTCCCGAGGGTAACACCACTTCAATAGCTAATCAAGGTCCCAGAATTTCCTCTTGCAATCACTCAATGGAGACCCTATTGTATCTTCTGGTCATTTCAGTCAGGAAAACCAAGTCTCACAAAAGGTCACAAAGGATTTAGTAAAATTTAAAGTGCTTCCTTGAATAAAATTGCTTCTCCAGCATGTTTGTCTTAGCAAGGTCTCAATCCATTTCAGAAGAAGGGTTCAATAAGTCCTAACTAGTCCTTCATCTTTCTCAAGATCAGCAGTTTGATACCCATAAATATAAAATGAGTCAATACAAATAGACCTTCTTGTTGTTATGAATTTGTTTGTTTGTTTTTTCCTTTTAGACCATCAGCAAAAAACACCCCCCTGGCTTTCATTAAAGTTCATTGTGCAAGGACCAAACTGAAGCAGAATCAGGGCAAGGGAACTTTGGGCAGGGGAGACCCTCTAATTGAAGTGGAATTTAAATTTAAAAGGTCCTCCGGAACTGAACGGGTCAAACCCTTGCCAAGAATGCCAGCCTCTTTGAAAAGGGTTTCCTCCTCCTTGTTGGCTTTCTGCATCTAGTGGGTCTTCTCCTGCATCAAACTTCCTCCGCATTTCTGAAAAGCAACATTAACAATGTGTGAGGAGGATGTCATCAAATTTAACACAGAATTAAAAAAATCTAAGAACAACTATTCCAGAGTGCTATTATTTGACCTTTGCTGTGGCATGGGGAATTCTGGAACCTGTAGTCCAGAAAAGAAACTTTTCCAGTCTCTAATCCACTTCACATGATGGGGCACATATTAGTATTTTACTGACCTGGAGCGAGGTATTTGTAGTTATTTGCTTGTACAGGAGCAAAAAAAAAAGGGTTGGAAGTTTTTAGAATTACAGTGGTGCCTCGCTTAACTATTACCTCGTTAAACGACAAAACTGCTTGACAATGAAGTTTTTGCAATCGCAAAACAATGTTTTAATGGTAAAAAATCGCTTAACGATGATCGGCCCCCTGCTTTGGGAACCGATTTTTCGCTAAATGACATTTTTTAAACAGCTGATTGGCGGCTCTAAAATGGCCACCCGCTGTGCAAAATGGCTCCCTGCTGTATTTTCAGGATGGATTCCTCGCTTTACAGACACCGAAAATGGCTGCCCTATGGAGGATCTTCGCTGGACACTGAGGTATTTAGCCCACTGGAACGCATTCCAATGGGCTTTTTCATTTCGCTTGACGAGTATTTTGCTTAACAGCGATTTCAATGGAATGAATTATCCTCGTCAAGCGAGCCACCACTGTACCTCAAATAGCAAGAGACCCATCACACAAGGGAGGTATTATATTTTTAAAAAATATGTGAAAAGGTGTTTTTAAAACAAGTCATCCTTTTTGGAACAGCGTATTTTCTCCCTTTGGCAAAGGATTCATACAGAACAGAGGTGGATGAACCTTCCACCCTCTAGATGTCCTGATCTAAAATTACCACCTCTGCCCAGCAGAGAAATAGCCTGTAAGCTCAGTCCAGTACTGGTACAGTATATCACAGAAGTGAGCAAACCCCCACATTTCATAAATATTTTGTATATCTTTTCATGTGACAAGTTACGACCAGCTCCGGCTGCAAGATCTTGCTTCTACTCGCGACCGGAGCTTCGAGTTACAACCAGAAAAAGGCAGGGAAAAAAGATGGGGAATTCAAATTGCTAACCGTTGGTGGTGAAGAGGCTGCTTCTTTGTACCTCTTTCGCCCCAGCAGTTAGAGTGTGTGTGATTGGAGGCTTCGGACTACTTGGTAAGTTGCCACTTTCTACTTTTTAAAAACTGTTCTGGGTGGGTTTTGCAGCATGGTTTTGGGCTGGCTGGATTATGTTTTTATGCTGTGATGGGTCTTGCTGGGTTTGTTTTTTGGTTCCCCCCCATTTCTGATGGGTCTTGCAGGATTTGTTTGCTTTTTGGGGTTCCCCCCATTTCCGATGGGTCTTGCAGGGTTCCCCCCCCCAAGTCCGAAGGGTCTTGCATGGATTAAGCGCATTTACGACCAGAGTTCCGGAACCAATTAAGTTCGTAAGTCTAGGCACCACTATACTGTATTTGGTTCAGATGGTGTCAAGCGTGTGTGGTGGCAAGCAGGTGAGGAGTCCAAAGACAAGTGTGTCGTGCCTACAGTCAAGCATGGTGGTGGGAGTGTCATAGTCGGGGCTGCATGAGTGTTGCCGGCACTGGGGAGCTACAATTTATTGAAGGAACCATGAATGCCAACATGTATTGTGACATACTGAAGCAGAGCATGATCTTCCTCCCTTTGGAGACAGGATGCAGTGCAGTATTCCAACATGATAATGACCCCAAACACACCTCCAAAATGACCACTGCTTTGCTAAAGAAGCTAAGGGTAAAGGTGATGGACTGGCCAAGTATGTCTCCAGACTTAGACTCTATTGAGCATCTGTGGGGCATCCAGAAATGGAAGGTGGAGGTAGGCAAGGTCTCCAACATCCACCAGCTCTGTGATGTCATCATGGAGGAGTGGGAGAGGACTCCAGTGGCAACCTGTGAAGCTCTGGTGAACTCTGTGCCCAAGAGGGTTAAGGCAGTGCTGGAAAATAATGGTGGCCACACTAAATATTGACACTTTGTGCCCAATTTGGACAATGTCACTTAGGGGTGTACTCACTTTTGTTGCCAGCGGTTTAGATATTAATGGCTGTGTGTTGCGTTATTTTGAGGGGACAGCACATTTACACTCTTGTACAAGGTGTATACTCACTGCTTTACATTGTAGCCAAGTGTCAATTCTTCAGTGTTGTCACATGAAAAGGTATACTAATATATTTATGAAATGTGAGGGGGTGTACTCACTTCTGTGATATACTGTATATAAAATTGTCCAGATAAGGCTTTTGTGGGATAACCACAGAATTTCATAGGGTCAAGAACTCAAGCCATCCTCAATCTATAGCCACCTTTATACTTCATCTCCAGTTCCTCACCAAATAAGAAACAGGCTGAGTAAGAACACTGCTTCATTTAACCAGGTTCTGTTAATTTTGATTGGCAACATCTGCCTGGGGTTTCCGAGAGCCTTTTTACATAGCCCTACTTGGAGAGCCTTGGTGGTCTCACACCCAAGTACTAAACTTGAACCCATGTAGCTCCCAGAATAAGCCTTGATCAATTTCTGGCAAGAATTCACTTCTTGCAGGCTTCATCTTATGAAGAAAAAAATCCACTGAGCAAGGAGGAAAAAAGCCTCCTTTTAAGAGTATTAGCAGTTGGAGCTGCCATCTGGAAACCACACTAGGCTCAGAAAGTGATCAAAGATCCTCCTTCCCCCTCCCCCTCTCATTCAAAGGTGTTCTGCTACTGGCTCTGTTTGGCAGGTCTTCGTATATTAGAAAAACAAGAAATAAAGTAGAGCCAAGAAACTGACATCTGCTCATTATTGCCCTCTACCAGCTATAAGCCCATATACCTGGATCAGTAAGGACTTCTTTAGCTGCTGCAATATCAATAAACTTTTTCTCTGCTTTCTTCTTCTCTTCTTCGTCCTGGAAATTGTCAGGGTGCCACTGCATTGCTAGCTTCCTGTAGGCTTTTACAATTTCTTGTTTTCTGGCATTCCTGTAGAAACCACAGGAAGTTATTTGCAAAATGAACTTTCCAGGAATTTTCTTTTCATGCTAATATTAAGGCTTCCCAACCTTCAGAAGACAGATCTGTAAGAATCCAAGAAAGCGGACATTCCCCAAACAAATATTTGTTTGACGTCCTACTTTGCCAAAGAAAATAGTTCTCTTAGTTAAATAAGGTGGATCAAAACCCTGCAATGGGGCAGGGAACGGAACCCTGAAGTTCCAGCTAGGCCAACAAAAGAGACATGTACAATAAGAGTGAAATCAATTTCTGCTGACTGGATGCAAAAGATTTGATCCAGAGCTTCCATTTCGCAGAACAAAGGCCTGCTGAAAACAACCCTGCAAGCATCAATGGAGAGAAATGTTTATGCCCACTACCTCCTCATCTAGCAGCCCCACAGCGACCTGTTTCAAAGGCTTTTGCAATTTGCCAAAAGAGATGGCTGGGAGTCCTGGAAGGCTACAGGGGAAACTCTGCTCTGGATGCTATTTGGCTCCAAACCTGCTATTTTCAGGAATCAGCTCCACGATAGGGCAAATAACAAAAAAATCCCAGAGACATGGTATGGTGTTGTTTTACACTTGTCTCCCACCAATATATATATATATATATATATATAGCTCGCGAAAGCCCACTGGAGCCATTCTGTCAACACTTAAAGGTAATTTTTTTTTCTCTTCTCCTCTTTTCTGCCTGCCTCCTCCATGTTGCTACAGCAATAACGGCTGTTACTACTGGGGAACAATTCCCAGCAAAGGGGAGTGGAAGTAGCTGGAATGTCTACTGGCACAAATCCTACGTTTGTTGCTATTCCATACAAATGGCAAAGCCTCAGACTGTGGTGCTCTCCAATCTGTAGTCTTAAAATCCCTAGTCTGCACACAGAAGGATCACCTTTCTAAAGGACATTTCCAAGCAACCACTTTCTTAATGTACCATTTCATCCCAGGCATTGATCTTTAATATCATATCATCCTTCAGCTCCTTCAGTGATTCGTTTTTCCACACCTCTGGCTTTATTCTTTGCTTAATATGTCATTCAGCCTTTCGGGGACTGCCTGCTTCAAATGAACTATTTCTCTATTCAAGATTAACATGGGTTTAGGTTGAAGTTGACAACTTTGGAAGCTAGAACTTATCTAACTGCAGCTGGCAGCGGAATGTGTACACAACATCCTTGAATTTAATTTTGTACTAATACAGTGGTGCCTCGCTAGACAGTTACCCCGCATGACAGTTTTTTCGCTAGACATTGGCTTTTTGCGATCGCTATAGCGATTCGCAAAACAATGATTCCTATGGGGGAATTTCGCTGGACAATGTTTGGTCCCTGCTTCACAAACCGATTTTCGCTAGACGACGATTTTGACAGTTCCCTCTGAGCTCGCAAACAGGTGTTTTCGGGACCTAAGCTTTGCAAGACAGCGAATTAAACAGCTGATTGGTGGTTCGCAAAGCGGCTTTCCTATGGCCGATCTTTGCTAGACAACGATGATTCTTCCCCATTGGAACACATTAAACAGGTTTCAATGCATTCCAGTGGGGAAATGCTTTTCGCTAGACAATGATTTCGCTAAACAGCTATTTCAGTGGAACGGATTATCATCGTCTAGCGAGGCACCACTGTAGTTTGATTTTGTTCTGGCTTCCAGCCTAACAAAGTTCATGTACTTCCTCAAAAGACCACACACACTACACTAGAAGTCAAGTGTATTGGGGGGGGGGGTTAGTTTATATAAAATATGATGATGGCGAAAGGACAGCATTAGAAAATAACTGTATTGGTTTTGACAAGAGACGACATAAAAAGAGAGCAAACTAAGTGAGGTCTTATTTATATAGACAGGGATTAAGTGATAATTAAGGATCATTTCTGTTGACAAACGTTAGAGTGAAAAAAAATGCAAGCCAACACTGCCAGCGGAAGAGTTATTATGGCTCTTCCTGCACTTCTAGCACCGTGTGGCATAAAGCCTTTTGGAAATCCACACTGCTCTTGAACATTCCATAAAACGTGGCTGCAGTGGAGACTCTCTGGCTCTCCAGACACGTTCAGCTACAACGTGCATAATTCCTTAATCACTGGCCATGCTGGCTGGGATTTCAGGAAGCGGAAGCCCAAAACATCTGAACAGACAGTGGGATTGGAAAGAGATAGCAAGAAAAGGAAGCAAATGGGATCCCATGTCCTGTTCCCAAAGGGCTGCCTGGCTGTACACAATGATCTCCCGACATGGAAAAAACAAAACAAGCAAGGAAGCGGCCCTGCACCGGCAACTCTCTCTCACCTGCAGAGAAGGGACACATTACAGTTTACATCTGGGACATTATCAAGAAACACAGTGAAGAGAAAGTGGAGGTTGCTTCAACTTTCCATTCCCCTCATATTATAGACACTCTGAACCAGACCAATCAAAATCTTTGTTCTCCACGTGGTCTGTGCTGTTCCACATACAAACTGCAAATAAACTTTCACGACTCTCTTGGGCAAGGCAACCTGTTTTGGTGAGGCCATCAACAGCCCTGTCCTCTCTGACCATGTCTATCCTGGTCACCACAGACTGACCTCCGGGCTAGACAGTATAGAATATCAGTTCACTCATACATGTGTTGTGCTAAATAATACACACATACAATTTGGTTTTGGTTCTGTAGCTCTGACATTGCTGCCGATACCCTGAGGAGGAGGGGAGATACTGGCGAACTGTTCAGTGCAAATGAATTGCACAGTTGATCTGGAGGCACGTTTTATGCTGCTCGCCTGAATGACAAAATTGCTAGTTATGGCTCTGACTCAAATTCTGTAATCACAGAAACCCTGTGATCTGAGAGCCTGAAACCCTTGCTTGCTTCGCAATGAACAGGAAAGCTTGGGGGAGCCCCTCACTTTGCAGGCTCGTTATGTTGATAAAATAAGAGGGTCACACAGGTTGTCTGGAGAAGACCGGAGAAAAGGAGGGATACAAATGAGACACAAAAGAGTTGGTTGACTAGCAAGTGCTCACCTTTTAACTCCTAAAATTTTGTAGTAATCTCTTTTCTGAGACTGCTTGAGCATCCGCTGTGCTTTCTCTAGGTCTTCAAGAAGCTGCTGGTCATTATCACTATGCTCCTTGGCAGTCTCATAGTCCTGAATAGCTACCAGGAAAGACAACAAACATAATATACTTTGTTAGCTTGCATTAATTCATCTCCAGCACAAAGAGTGAGACGTCAGATATTATGTCTTTGTGCATCTCGTTTAGAAGAGCACATAAATCTGCTGTCTTTTTAGCCCAGATGCAGGCAAAATCTCTTTATGGATCTCAAGACTTTTCCTTTTCCTAAGCATGCACCAGATGTTGTATGACTGTAACTCCCATCAAATTTAGCCACCATAGCCAAGGGTGAGGAATAATGGAAACTGTAGTCGAGCATCATCAGGGCTGCATATTGCCTCCCTCAACTTTAGCCCATTATGTTCACTTAAGTGGGCTGTCCCAATGACTAAAGATCCATGACACAGGGAAGAGGGGAAGAAGACCCTAAAACAGAACAGACCTCTGTACCCTAAAATAAGACTTGGGAAACTACCACCTGCAAAGCTAGTGTCAATAGCTATAACAAATCTTACTTAAACAGGGGCATCTTCGCTGATGCCCAGAAGTCCAACTTGCCAAGAACTCTGTGTAAACTCGGAGTCCAGTTACTGAGAGATCTTTTACACCAAGTTATTTCAGAAAGATAAACCAATCAGGAATGCACTACTCTTGCCTGAGATCCACAGAAGAGTTTCACAAACCCACGCAATTGTGGTTGGGGGTGGAGGCATCTTTCTGTAATTGCACGACTGTCAACCACATGGTTCAGCTTCTGATTTAGTGCCTTCACCAAGGCTTGTTTTGCATTTCTGACACAAGGAGTCTTTTTCTGGTTTCTCTGTTTCTAATTCTGGAATGTCTCTTTATGGATCTCAAGACTTTTAGCCTTCCTAAGTAAGACAAAGTATTTGCATCATATTATCTTCCTGCAGCTGCTCGCTCTCAGTAGGCATTCCATTTATCTTTTTGCTGTTTCTAGGCATGCTGGCAGGAGCTGGTGACCAATTTATATCAGTTAGATGCTCAGTGACTGTGTGCAATTCCCGTTTGAAGACAAACATTTCTTTAAAAAAGTACTTCTGATGCCCCAGTGATTTAAAACATTCATCCGCCAACCAACACAGTGCAAATCTGACTTCTCTTTCATTTGCTCTCGCCAACCTACTGTGATGTACCTCTAAAGTACTGGCATGGATGTTTTTTTAGAAAAATACACTTTGGCCATTCATTTAGAAAGCCAGCATGAGATGGCTATTCAAGCCCTTCATACATACTCAGTGACTATACCTGTGTCAGAAAGTGAAGCTCCTAGGACCTTTCCATCCTGCAGTTTTACTGCCCTAGTAAAGTCAAATGCTGGACAGCACTAAATATTCCTTTAAAATATAATAATAATCTCATAATTAATTAATGCCTGCTGCAAGATGACTTATTTCATTTATTTATGTATTTATTATTCATTTAAGCCGCCCCGAGTAGACTTTGTCTAGAGGGGCAAGGTATAAATCCAAATAAAGTAAAGTAAAAAATAAAGGTAAGCACAATGTATTACCACCAGTGGAATTAAGGTTGTATGTAGACTACATATTGATCAATCACAGCATTACACAGTGGTTAGACAGGCTCAAGCTTAAATCCCTTCCAAGGGTGGGATCTTGAAACAAACACCATCTGCCACTCCATCCTATGAAATAAGACTGAGGTAGAGGCAAAATTGGAGGAACAGAGAAAGCCATGATTTCCTCAGCTGGGATAAAAAATGAATCTGTATGTGTCCTTGTTAGAACTATACACCCTCAGGATCATGAGCATAACCCAAGATTTTCTGTCTTATTTCCTTCTCCCCTTCCCTGCAGGTTAGAACAGCAGTAGATCCTCATCAACTGTCTATTTTCTGAATAGATTCTATGCAAGTTCTACTACCCTTTACCGCTTTCAAAAGCTGTATTTCCTACTCCTTATGTCACTTAAAGGGGATGTGGTGGCGCTGCGGGTTAAACTGCAAAAGCCTCTGTACTGCAAGGTCAGGAGACCAGCAGTCAAAAGATCAAATCCATGCGACGGAGTGAACTCCTATCACTTGTCCCAGCTCCTGCCAACCTAGCAGTTTGAAAGCATGTAAAAATGCGAGTAGATAAATAAGTACCACTTCGGTGGGAAGGTAACAGTGTTCCGTGTCTAGTCCTGCTGGCCACATGACAATGGAAACTGTCTTCGGACAAACGCTGGCTCTATGGCTTGGAAACGGGGATGAGCACAGACCCTCTAGAGTCGGACACGACTGGAATAAATGTCAAGGGGAACCTTTTCCTTTACCTATGCCACTTAAAGATGCACTCATCCAGATAAAGTTAATTGCATATGTTATTGAGTTAAACGAATGTGCCCACTCCTCCACCATTTTGATCACATGAAAAGTAATGTCTGAAAATAACTTCCTCCACACTTGTGAGTCCCTCTGCATGAACAGAAACACTGGCGGAAAAGTGGTGGGGAATTATGCATTATGCAAAGAGCTTCTATAGATATAGGAGACCTTGCAGGGTTATCTAGGTATTATCTTCCTACATGTATTCCACAAGAAGAGGTGAATTCTCCAGCTCTATTTGTAGAAGGCTCTGCACAGGACACATACAGTTCCCACATTTTGATATGCATGTAGAGCCTCCTTGGATACAACTGGGTATTATTCTCCTCAGACACCTCATTTTTCATGAGAAAATAGACAAGGGGATGGAGTTAGTGCTCCTCTCGTTGTCTCCATATGATTGCAGTGATAGGGCAATAATCCTTTTGTAAAATATCTGAACAGGACTCCTGGCAGCCTTCAAAACAGGCGTCCCTGTTGCCCTAAAAAACACACTTTCTCAGATGATGACATCTGCAAATAAGACCATACCCCAAACACACAGCTTTAACCACCCTACCTCCTCCCTTGGCAACATCTCTTAAGAACTGCTCAGTGAAAAAGTGACCAACTGACCAAGTCAATTGAAAGCAGTCCTCTCTCCCCAGCTAACAACGGCTTCTTCCAGTCATATGCATATTAGCAGCCTGCTTATCCAACTGTAACCATGCTTTTGAATTTGTGAAGCCCCAGAGAACATCTTTTCCTTCCTCGTAATATGTATGTTTATCCCTACAATAAAACCTATATTGCCAAGGTCAAATAATCTACCCAGAGGTAAAAATCGAACTATTTTGGCTATGGAATGGAGCGAAAGCAGCAACACTTCCCATTTTGCTGACATAGATACATTAGTATGTGATTCCTCCAGCCATTCACTATTGGGGGATCTGCAAGCCAAGGAGAGACTGCAACCATCCTTACTGATTTTGCATTCCAAACATAAAGCAAGAACACAATTCTCACAGCCACAAGAAAACACAGGGGATAAAGGTAACTATGTCATGATACAGTCCTTGTCAGAAAATAAGAGAAGCTCAGAACTGGAGCTCTGTGTAGTGAAACTAAACTGGAACATTAACTTGGATCTATATCCTATGGTCTTGCACTTCATTTTGCATCATCACTAAATAAACAAACAAATAAATAAAATAATAAACAAAATGAAACAACCTCAAATAAAAATTCGCAACCATCCTTTCTGACAGCACCCTAAAGAAGTCTCATAATAGTAACCCAGGCTGCTCTCCCCTTGCAAAACACTGCTGTTTACCAAAGTTCAGTCATTATCTTAGTGGGATCCTCAGCACAGACAACTGCTGTACAGTTGTGACCAAATAGGACACCAAGAAGTTGCAGAAGCAGATAGCAAAAGAAAGAAGAGTCCTAAAGAACCTCAGAGAGGGGGAGGAGGAGGAAGAACCTCCAAGGAAGACCGAAAACTACCAAAAGCAGCAGGAAAGAAGACAACTCCAGATCATGTTCAGATGATGACGATCAAAGGGGGGGGAGGGGCGGCAGCAAGGGGCAGATGGCTTTTCCACTCTAGGGATTTCTGAGTTATGGTAAGCTCTACAAAGAAGGCAATCTGCTGTCCTGCAACTTTTACCTTCTTCATACTGCTCTTCAAGCAAGTATGCTGCAGCTCTGCTTTTCAGAGCATTCACGTTATCAGGTTCTAGCTTCAGAACTTCCGTGCAAAGTCTGATGGCTTCTGCAGCCTGCTCGTTCTGTGAAGAGAGAAAGAGGGAGCAACGCAGTCAGTGTCTGCTTCGTTTGCACTCATCTTCTGCAAGCAGTCAGCTTCGGTGTTTACCTTGGAGAGGCAGTGGCAGATTCTTTCTTTGGCTCGGGTGGTATAAACAGGAACCTGGGTCTCTGTCGTCATCACAGTCTCATATTTATCAATGGCGTCTTGATACCTTTCATAAAGCAGAGGGGAAAGAATCAGCTGAGTAATCCTGAACACATTCACATCAGTTTTCGTCACATGAGTTCTTTAGACTGAGGAAAAAATATGGTTGTTTTCAATGCTAAGAATAACGGATGAAATGCACATGCCATCAGTTTCGTAACACAAAAACTTTCACACACTCTCTTAAAAATACCTGGCCATAGAAAACAACATATGATGGGGATTTAGAATGCCCTGCACGTGGTATCAACACCTTCATTAGTTTATTTTCACATTAAACTATGCTCAAAACAGCTCCCGCCATCAGCACTGTCAGAAATGTGGGCTCCAAGACCATGTTTGCAAATGCATGCGCACACACGAGCCCCTCTGTCACCAACAAAACAGAACCACCAAATCTGCCAGACTGCTGTGGTCACCAACAAAGCCTTGTGTGAGAGGGATGTTCTGGCTATCTCTAGTGGGGCATTTACGCTCGCCCCATGCCGCCCCCACCCCCAGTAGACCTGCAGAAGACCCTGGCAACAGGGCAGCAGGAGAGCGCTGAGAATAAGAGAGACGTCCCAGGTGGGAGGAAGCAGGTGGTGTCAGAGGAACTGCACCTGCACGACAGGTAAGAGGTGGAGACTGGACTAAGTTGGTGGGAATTCAGCTTAAAAGAAGAAGAGGATGACTCATCATCCTTGACAGTGACAGACAGTGAGGAGCAGGCAGAGGCAGCAGAAGAGGCAGACCTCATATTCTGTGACCTTGGGAAGCACCACCTATTGATGATCAAAAACTCCTGGAGTGGGAAGTGGATTGAGGTTCAGCCTGCTAACAGGTGAGGATGTGGGGGAGGCATGCCACTCTTTAGTCCATCACTGACCCCAACTCCCTGGCAGCTGAGGAGACCCACTCAGAGGAAGGTGGTGGCAGCAAAAGCACCAGAAGTATCTTTGGCAGAACTACCAGAGGCAAGAAACACTGCAGGGATATGGGAGCCTATAACTGAGCAACACGAGTGGCTCTCTTTCAAAGGGTGTCAGCTGGCTGGGGCCAGTGTGGGAAACTATACGCCAACCACAGACGATGGACTATACAGTACAGGCCCAGTAACAGGAACTCAGACATGGTGCACCAGGCGCCCAGCCACTCCTTGTATCATGTTCCCCCCACCTTAGTAAGACCACGTTCCAGTAGGAATTAAGAGTCTTGGCTTCATGGAGATTATGGCCAAGGAGGCCCTCCCTGCCCTCTGTGTGTGGGGAGTGACAGCAGTCATGCCAATGAAAGCTGGCAGAGGTGGCACCTAAAAATGTCACCTTATTTTGGCCTCTCCTCTGGTTTCAGAAGGGAAAGAGGCATTCTGTCGGGATGTATAATGGGAGAAGGCACACTCTGGCAGCAAAGACCAAACAGAGCAACAATGTGGCCCTGAGGTATCCGCCATCATAGGTCCAGTGCAGTTTCCCCTAGCAGAAGAGGTCCCCCGTTGCTGGCTTATACACCACAGCAACCATGTTTCATTACCAGTTCCAAGGGTAACAAAACTAAATATTAATAATCAAAACACTTTGTATTAATAAATATATACCAAGATCAAGCAATCTGCTAACAATTTATTTTAAGGCCTAACAGATAGGCACACTCCAAAGAAAAGCAAAAATAGATCTAATCCAAACCTACGCAGGATTCCATTCAACTAGTCCAGAGGAAATTTGAGAAGGAGGAACTGCCTTTATAATTGGAGTTGTTTAAGGCTCCGCCCTTACGGAGCAGGTTAAGTAGTGCCAGCCAGAAAACAGAGATCAAATCTTGCAGTAGGCACCTCCATTTTCTACAGGTAGGAATCTTTCATTTTCAAAATAGAGTACTGCCCTACTACAACAACCTGTACCAGCAGTTAGTTACTATCTCTGGAGGAGGCAATGTGGGCCATCAGATACTGCTGGAATGCAAGTCCTGTCAGCTGCCAACATTGGTTATGCTGACTTCGACCCACAGGCGAACAGCTCCAGGACAACACATGTCTCACCCCTGATCCATATTCAGTGAGAAAACCCTGCATAACATAGTTGGGACAATTTTCTTTCTTGAAGCTATTGGCACAATCCAACTGGTTCCCAAAGCACTGGGTGGCCACATTCCCTACACACTCAAAACCAAAATATCCCCCTATTTTGAAATTAATCACACCATTCCAACAATAATACAGTGTTTGGAGAATATGCAATATCCCTGAAACAAAAATTACAGTAGGGACCCCATAACTGTGAGGAATAGGTTTCAAGCTTCCTCCTGCCATCGCAAAAAAAACTGCAAATAATAGCAAACCCTATAAACATGTTCTCTGGCTCCTTCTAGTGGCCAGGCCTGGTAAATATATAATGGAAATACATACAGTGGTGCCTCGACTTACAAAATTAATCCATATTGGACCGGTGGCCATAACTTGAAAATTTTGTAAGTCGAACCACCATTTCCCATAGGAATGCAATGAAAACCATTTAATCCATTCTGGCCAAAGATAAAATATCCCGGGCTTCCAAAGCTGCACCCGCTGCCCTCTGCCTCCCGTCCCCGTGGGAGTCCAAACCCCTTCCACTGCCCTCTGCCTCCTGTCCCCGTGGGGACAAACCCCCTCCACTGCCCTCTGTCCACAGGGACAGGAGGCAGAGGGCAGTGGAAGAGGTTTGGACTCCTGGGAAGCCAGCAGCAGGCATGGAGGTTGAGGCGGCTTTTGGCTTCCCGGGCTTCCAAAGCTGCACCCACTGCCCTCTGCCTCCTGTCCCCGCGGGGACGGGAGGCAGGGGGGACAGCTTTGAATTTCCTGCCCTTTCCCCCTGCCTTTCGTAGGTTGAACTTTCACAATGCCTAAATATTGTGACAGCACCAACTCAGAGGCTGAAACCCTGTTGCTTAGCATAGCAAGTCGCCTCAAAATTTTTGTAGGTAGGGACATTTGTAAGTCAAGGCCCCACTGTATTTCTAGTTCTTTTCATATTTTTAGACCGCGGATAAGTGAAACCACAGATATAGGGGTCCTATTGTAATTCTCTGAAACAAAAACACCTTGGTCTCATGTGACTAAAAAGCAATTATTTAATTTAACACCATAATAATACAGATATGAAACATGACTACCAGTCACAGCCCTTGGCATATTCTGTTCGTACCATTCTTGCTCAAATGGTGCACAACTGCCTAAAATATGCAGATCATTTCAGAGATCGAGACATGCATTCACAGAAGCCATGACCAGCTTATGGACTACGGGGGAAATTTGGCAGACACCACACTTTTTCTGAGACTACAAAATACTACAATATCTGGGACTACAAAAGAGCACCAGGTTCATTACAAAACCTAAATACCTATGAGAAGCTTAGGTTGCAGAGTAAAAGTCTCCCAGCTAGTGACTGAATGGTGGAGTGTCATGCCACGGTATCTAAAAAATACTGCAGAAGTGTCAAGTGCTTGTCAATACTCAACATGTATCACTCATCTCTATAGGAAAGTTTACAGATTTCTCCAATCAATTGTAAACAACCTAAAGTGCAATACTTATGTTTGTCAATAAGATGCCACTTTCACAATGCCTAAATATTGTGACAGCACCAACTCAGAGGCTGAAACCCTGTTGCTTAGCATAGCAAGTCAGTTCCTTCAGATTCGATAGGTCTACTCTAGTTGCCACTTACTATGCTAAGCAACAGGACTTCAGTGAGAGTTCCTGGCAACTGGCTGGGCAGCTCAGTGGTTTAGGCTGCAGAGTCAGAGGTTAGGAGTTGAATTCCCCACTGGGCCTCCTGTGAGCAGAGCCAGCCTGTGTCACCTTGTGGGCAAGCTGCACAGTCCCAGGAAAATCCCAGAAGAAGGGAAGGGTAAATCACTTCTGTGTATCCTCTACCTGGAAAACCCTGAAAACCGGTCACCATAAATTAGAATTGGACGGCATAGGATTATTATATCACCATCATCATTAAATACTAGTAATTTCCAAGAACACATGAAAAACTAAAGATGCTGTTCATGAGGCCCCTTAGTCTGTTTCATATATAACACTAGATCACCATTTAGCCCTATGTGAATAACTGCAATATTAAAATAAGCCAAAGATAAAACACGGTTTCTCATCCTGCTCACTTCAAGGAACTGGAGTTTAAACCAGGAGTAGGTTACTTCAGTGGGTCTGAACACCCCTCCCAGGATCTTTGGGGGGGGGAGGGGAGATGCAAAAGAAAAATGTGGCAGACCCCAAAACAGGTAGTGGCCGGATGTACACTTCTGGTTTTGAAAAGCAGGGAGCTTTTGTGGAAAATACTGTGACTGAAAAACTGTGAGACTTAGTTAAAAAAAACCTGATCACTTCTCCTGAGCAATTCATCTTTTCTTGCTGGTAGAAAGAATTTTAGGCAAGAATGAGGGAATCTGATAGCACTGGGAACTATAGAAACAACCACAGCAAAGGGGTTAGAGATGCACTCTGCCCATCCTCAGTTTATACTAACCAGAGTTCCTAGCTTGGAGAAGCAACACATCGAAGATTAATTTAAACCAAGGAGTAGATGCTTTCAATCTCCCCCTAGCAGCTGTATGGAATCAGAAGACCCCATGCACCGAAGCGTGCCCAGATTCAGTGGCACAGCACTAACATTATGTAAACATCACAGAGTGCCCTGATGTTTTGGAACAGTGTTGCACGCATGACATGTCATACCTTCCAATGCTTTCATCTGATCTCATTTCCTGCCCCGCCCATACTCTGTACTCTCTTCCAGTGTTAACAATTGGAGAGTTACCTATATTTATTTATTCAGGGACAGCTACAGTATTTTGTTTGCAACAGTGCTGTGATCAACACAATTTAAACACTGATACATTAAAATAGTGCTTTAAATAAGAAATGGCATTTAGGGCTAAACTAACTTCCCTGACACTTTAATTTACTGGGGAGATGAATAACTACATACCACATTCTACAGAGACCAGCCAGTAAACTCTCTAATTACTCACACAGCTAATCGATTTCCCTTTTGTATTTATCAGCAACTCCATTGGTAACCAAACTTCGCTTTCCTTTGTGATATCTGCAGCACTACTGTAAGTTGCCAGTTTCTCAGCATCTCCCATATAAGTAAAATACATGCCTATGATGTCTTGGGAATCACACCATACGTCCTCCTACCCGTATGTGTGCAATATACTGTAGAACTCGGCTGTAAGTGATGCTGAGCAAGCTCTGAGAGCTCGGGGTCCAACTTCAAGCCCCCAGATCCCACTGCAGGTTATACCATACACAGAAATGGCTGAAGATGAGTAATGCTTAAGAACAGAATGGCAGAAAGCCACTGCTTCTACACAGGCCTTTCTTTTGGCCAAAACAGGTCATCTGGAACAAAACAACCAGGGTGGGGTGTTTTGAACTTGAGAGGCCCTGGGAGGCTGCAAAATTGCCTCCAAGGGATGGCACATAGTCTGCAGACCACACTTTGCTCTAAATAACTGCACCAACAAAATCCAAATGCACAAATAGGCAATACCTTTATAGACCAGGGACCCCCAACCCCTGCTCTGTGACCCGGCAGCGGTCCGCAGCCTAAGCAGGACCAGGCCGTGGACACAGATCTCTTGCCCCCTGCTAGTGCCCCCTGCAAGCGCTACCCCACACGTGTGTGACGCCCCCTGCGAGCATGCCATGTGCATGCGCGCGAGCATGCTCCACCCCTTGCGGGTGCACCACACCACTGCGAGCATGCCATGCCCCCCGTGCAAGCGTGCCACATGCCCCCCCAACCAGTCCGCGGTTGGGGACCTGTGTTATAGACCACCATATGGGCAGCTACAAAAGATTCTATTTTGTCCTGACCACAAAGCTACTCTTTACTTCAATGGACCAAAAATGTTTTCATCCAGCGCAGACCATCTCCCCGAAGACTTCTCCTTCAACTGTTAGCAACAAAAGAGGAAAAGGAAGTGGGTAGCTGGGCTTTTCCAGCGGCCCTACTAAAACTACATTTGGTGTTTTCCTCTACCTGCCCCAACCACTTTTCCTTTTGTGGCATGTCTTTTTTTTTTTACCATAAGCTGCAGTCACCAATTTTGTTGCACCTACTATACCTAAGTAGCTACAGGAACCTTTTTGGCTAAGGAACTGTTTTGAAAAACTATATAATAACCAAAAAAGCAAATGGAATTAAGCATGTAACAAGAAATCCTCTGCCTCAGGTTGACATACGAACTGAATATTCCCAGCTGGCAGAACAAACCCCCAACACTGAGTTGTACGTTGATTATGATAGATGAATGAGTAAAAAAAAGATACTTTGCACTTCAGAGAAAATAACAGGAAGCTACAAAAAGGAAAGATGGAAACCAGGAAGAAGGACCCAATGGTACAAGGAATCAGTTAGTATTCTAAATCGGAGACTACTGAAGCCCAGTATAGGAGCTGGATATATAATAAAAGCATATTCAGAAGAGGAAAGAAACCAGGAGGACAGAAGGCAACACAAAAGAGGTACATGGCGCAGGTGTGCTTATTGCTGAGAGAGGGCCTAGAAAAAGCAGAAGAGCAGATTCTGCACAATACCAACCCAGGTAGATGACATGCTTGAGGAGCAGCTGCCCAGGTCAAAGTGGTTAAAGTGCCGTTCTCTCTCCCTGCAAAGAGCACAGGCACAGCATCTCACCTGCCTTCCTGGATAAGTTCTTCTGCTGACATAATCTGTTTATTGAGTTTCTTTATCCGTTTGTAGTGAGAAAAGCACTCCTTGTGGTCTTGGTCAAGTTTCAGACATTCACGCACTTCACTTTTTGCACAGGAAAGAAAAACAAGTCGGGTTAGCTCGGTTTTTTGACAGTGGCTAAATTTAAGAGTCCTACATTCAGAGTGAGTTTGGTATGAACTTGCACTTCCTCTGAATCATTTCTGCCCCTGAGAAATGGAAATATTAATTTTCTACAAAAGATCTGAGAGAGGATAAATGCAACAGCAACAATAACTTATGTGTGTGAGGAGGACCATGCAACTTACAACCTACAAGCAAAGTGTGTGCTTTGTCCAGCTTAAGACCAGATTATTTCTCAAATTACTTGACAGTGCATATTTCTAATTTACTTAGGCAACCCTGGAACTTACAGATGTAGAGTTTCAGGGCATTGCTTGGGTGCATGCTATTTTAATCATTTCCCCAACTTCGCTTATACTTTCATCAAAAATAAAGAACATGCCAAGCAGTCTAGCATGCGATTCACATGTGCTACAGCTACAGGACTGAAATTTGCCAAAGGTTCCATAAATGCTGCCGCTTAATGATCCTACTTTCTGAGCGACATACTAGATTTTCCCTAAACCATCAATCTCAAGCACAGAGAAGAGCTTCTCATTAGGTGTTAGCAGAACACAGAAGAAACAGGAAGTAAAAGAATACTATTAAAATTAAAAACTTTTCCCACAATCCTACTGAGAGCAATTGATCTTAATCCGAAACCTGTCAAGCTTTCATGCTATTTAGCTTTCTAAATGAAGCCTTTGAAAGATACTTTTGGATAACAGTATTTTAGTTGTAAAAGCAAAAGATTATCGTTCTTTTTCCTGCTAGAAGAGAACGGTTCAGAAATCAGCCGACAGACTAAAGGAAGCATATGGGTATAAGCACATTAAAAGAACTCAGGATTCTCCATCCTCTCTTTTCCTCATAAGCTCAATAGAGTGCACGTAGCAGAGGCATTTTTGAAGAAGACTTGTTAGGCGAGAAAATCAGGCTGTTTAATGCTTCCCTCTCTTCTCCTGACCACTTTCTCTATCCCCACCCCACCAGAGCCAGGTTGTAAACTCATAACTAAGCCCTGCTAAAGAGAAAAATAATTAGAGGGCTTTGGGTGGGTGGGGGAAGACAATAGGTAAGGGAGGAGTCAAACAGGCCTCCCTACTGCGTCTTCCCAACAAATACCACCTTTTCCCCCATTTTGCTTCCACGAATAGGAAGTTTGCTTTTCCCAAGGTAATTTCCCATTCTGCACTTGTAGATTCAGGAAAAGAATTAGCACTTCTCAGAAGACTTTTCCCCCTAGTGCTTCAGATAATAATAACCTTACCTCAGAGACAGTTCGTGGTCTCCTAGCTGATAGTATATCATACTGATTTTATAGAATGCTTCAGTATTATCGTTCTTCAATTTGGCAGCAGCTTTTAAATCACTAACGGCCTTCCCAGGTTCTCCTTCCTTGATATAGCACTCGGCTCGAAGCTCCCGCAGCTCTGCATCCCAAACACAAACCTTAAGGAACCAAAATGAAAACAAGACTTGGGTTCAAAACCATTTGTTAAAAAGAAGAACACATGTAGCCTGGTCCTTCAGCCTAAAACGAGACAATGTTCTGCCTGTACACACATTGGTCAACAAATTTCAGTATCTTGTGGCTCTTGAGGTGTTGCTGGACTGCTGCTCACATTAACCCTAGCCTGCACAATCTGTGGTGAGACATGAGGGGACTTGCAGTTCCAACAACTTTCAGGAGGTCACACATTCCTTCTCCTCTATTGTAGAAGTACAACCAGAGTGGGTAAAAATCAATGACTTTTTAGAGTCAAATTGATTTAAAACACAATTTAATTTTTAATTTTTTTTAAATCTGATTTTTTAAGAATTAAAATTATGATTTAAATCAATTTGATTTAAATCAAATCCACCCTGCATACAGTTGTGGAACTGAGCCCTCTAACTTGCATGTGTTTCACTAAATCAGTTCTCAAATGTTCAGTGTTCCTTTCATATCATAACAGGGACTAGGATATTACATGCGAGTTAAAAAAAATAAGTGTTGTTATTTGTTGATGATAGACTCAGTGATGAATTTGTACCTCAACTGTCCATAGCCGGGACTTACGCTGGCTCCAAGCTTGACTGATCTGGGATTGTTATTTGTGATATATCAAAGGAGTGTTTGCTATATCTCAGCAGCAGTTTCAGTTCTGGGACTCACCTCTAGAATTTCATCTAGAAGACCAATAGCAGTATAGTAATCCCCTTGGCGATAGGCACTCTGTGCTTGGGAATTTAACCGCTGCATTTCATCAGACTTCATCAGCTGGGAACGAGCTTCTGTTTCTTCTTTATCACCAGGATTAGACTGGAGCTGTTAAGAAAAAAAACACACACAACAAAAACAAAGCAGATGTACCTTGAAATCATGACATCTAATAAGGCATCACCTATCACACAGAAGGCACTGTTAGCCTCTTCCAAAAATGTACCTAGAGAAAAATGTTGTTACAAGCTGAATCAACAGCCAAACTCAACAGATGTCTGATATATATCTATGATGCTCCTACCAGCCCATGAGTTGTTTTCCATTTATTTCATTACAGTAAAGTTATATTTCTGCAGAAAGGGGGCAAACGTTATGTTCCATATGTGCATTGGAAGATGTGAATGGTCCTTATCCCAGGCACTATCTGCCTTGCACTATTGCCTCCTAATACCACATCACTGCCTCTACAGTCTCTGGCCCTTCATTTCCTTCTCACTCCCAATTTAGTTATCCATCTCCAAATGCAGTTAGTTTTCTGTCTCTCACACACAACAGTTTAATTCTATATGGATGTCAACACTGTGAAACCTAATGGGCTTAGGGGATGGTCTAGTTCTACAGAAACCTATTATTATTTGAATGGAATGGGGCCATAGGATGCTGGTATCTTCCAGCATGATGCAAAAAGATTCTCCTCTCTTCTCAATAATAAAATAGTTAGCTTTATTGTCAAGGCTGAGGAGAAAACAACATTAGTTGAACATAGGCAACATAGCTTTAGGACATTTAAAACAGTGTCAGTGAATAAGGAAAAGATGTGATAAATTTCACAGGTAAGTGTTAAACATCATCCAAGAAGTGCCTGAGATGCTACCACATCTGTCACCTCTACAGCAAAACACATGGGGCAATCATATTCCCCTAGAGCAAAAATCATAGTCTCGTGGTACTCTATTCAGCAGCTGAAATGATAGGAAGAACTGCAGTTCCTCAACCAAGAAAGAGCTTGCTGGAATGATACCACTGCCACTCAAGCAAACCCCATATGAAAATCAAAGCATACTGATAATTAAAACAAAACAAAAGAATCTGATTACTAAGACTCAGCTATATGCCTATTTGATTATAATGGCTCAATAAGCTAAGGGAATGCCAAACCAAAAAAATATAAAAAAATAAAAATGTGTATGCAGATGAGGAGGAAGGCAACAGACATTTATACAGTACTATTAAATATGGCCTATTGTAAAAGAAAATTACAGTTGGCAATTAATATAAAATTTATGTCATTTATTGTAAAAGAAAAGGGCTAACAATGAAACTTTCATAACTGCTGCCTTTTGTTATGATACATAAATTAGTACCCTCAAACCATCCTTATGCCTGCTATCACCGATCACAATGGAACTCTAGATTCCAGAAAGGGGGCCATTTTGATGGCTTCAGCTACCCAGTTTATGTATCATTTACAAGAAAAAGAAGCAGAAATTGCTAGCAAAAGAAAATGGCTTTGCACCTGAAAGATAAAAATGCACAAGCCTGCTATCTTTTCCAAAATTCTCAATAAGAAGCAAATAAACACAAACAAGCAGGCTTCTGCTTTCGGCATGGCTATTTTAGTTGTTTAGATTTCAGCTCTGAAGTATTAAAACTGCAAGCCTGCTCACCAGGCAGATACCAGTTTAACTCTACCCCTAGCATATTTATATTCAGAACTTCTACAAATAATAAATGATGATGAAGCTGCCCACCTCCCAGCATTTGACGCTCACATTCTTAATAAGAATCTTTACTCTTTCAATGTATGAAAATATATTTATCATGATTATAAAAACAGTTGAGTGGGAACAAGAAAACAAACAAGGCCGTGCATCTTCCTTATTCCTTATACTATTCAAACACCACCTAATGACATCAGCAAGACTGAGCAGAACAAAGGAAGGGAAAAAATGCTTATAAAGCTGGTATTGAAATCCTAATGTAAGATAAGAAATGGGCATCCTAATGACAACAGGCAAGTACCTCAAGTTACAAAAGTTAGCTGCACTAAACCACAGAGCTATCTTGGAAAGATAATACATACAAGTCTAATGGTTTGAAAGCTATGAGCTGGGGGAGATGTGACAAGAATCCAGAAGCTTCTCAATACACGGACAAGTTCAGAGGCGACAGGAAAACTCGTCCTTGAAAGGAACATCTCCTTGACCAGGAAGAGTAATTTAGGACATGGCCTGGCCAGCCTTCCCCATTCAGTACCCTCAACATAAGTCAGACGACAGTTGCTATAATCCTCAGGCAAATATATATAGAAGACAACAACTAAATAAAAATATAAAAGGTTAACAGGTGGGGGAAGGTTGCTTTACATTTTATTTCACAACAACAATTTAAGAAAGTAGTATCCCCTCGGGTTAAAGTCATCATACAGATACTACTGTATACTACACTGTGAAAAATTTCAACTTGAACCATCTGTTGCTTCAAATGGAGATCCAGACAGACACTGGTTGCAATTCCTTGAAATGAACTGGAAGGAAAACCGAACCCAGGACTGAAATCAGTGGAAGTCAGTGAAATGTGGATTCCACTGAAATCAGATGGGCCCCAACATTATTAATACTTCCCTTCCTATTTATTTCAATGGGGCTGAAGCACAACTATCTTCTTTCTGAATCCATGCCGGTATTTTTGTCACTAAAAAAAATTAATCAGGAAACAAATGTCAGTTGTACCGATGGACGTCAGGCAGAGGGGCTATGTAAGGTGTGTTAAATCAAGGCACAGAACTGTTTGGCATAGTCTCACCTACCTGTGTGTTGCAGCAAATGGTTTAAATCCTGGGCACATATGACCCTCCTTATGTTTTCAGTGTACAACTCCCATAATCTTTCAGTATGAAATATGTTACTTAGGGCTGATAGGAGTTGTAGGAGAAATACCTCTCTAGAGGGCCACAGGCACCAACCCTGTTTTAAATGATGTCTGAATATAACTTTGGAAAATAATAACTAGAGACACCAGATTTTATATACAGATGTTTGCATACCATAAGAGAACTGAGACCAGTTTTTCAAGCAAGACCCACTGACTTTACTGCGGCTGCAACGCTACACACATTTATCCGTGAGCAAGTCACACTGTATTCTTCAGTGGCACTTAACATTAAAATCGATATGCACAAGAAGCTCTGGCCTTCCAGTCTGCATTGTCCATCACTTGTTCATGCAGTTTTTATGTGATATAAATGACTTTCTCAATCCCATTGACAATTTTATTATTTACATCATTTTTGAGTTTGTAGGGTTTTAGTGGTCTCCTGCCTCTCGCAGAAATTTACCTTTTTTTAAAAAAAAAGTCGTACTATGAAATGACTATTATAATCATCAAAAGTTTGTCAACTTAAGCTTTCTAGCTATAAAAATAATGAGGCCAGCAGAATTTGTAGCTATAAAAATATACTGCAGTGACCTCCCTGTAGGAAGATAATGTAGGTAATAAAAAAAAACATTCAGTACAGCTTAATTAGTGGTTTAACATCAGTATAAAACAGATGAGATTCACGTGGTCAAATTGCTTTTAGAAGTGATTTGCGTGCATAATCTATCTCTACTTTATGAATTTAATTTGCTTTGTCAAGCCAAAAACACAACTACATTTATTGAATTATATAATTTGTCATACTGAGCTTTAGCAGCTTACACCTCTACTTTGCATATTCCTAAAATTGCAGATGGGCAATTTACCTTTTCATATAAGATTGCTTAGCTATATATATATATACATATACAGCTAAGCAATCTTATAACCCACAGTGCAACATTTAAAGAAAATCCATAGCATACCACCAGGTGCAACCAAAACCACTTAATCAAATTCTAGAATGATATTTTGAAAAACAGATAATTCAAAAGAAACAAAACTAAACTCCAGCATTTCAAAAGTTTTTACTAAACTATTTTGCTCTGTTTTAAAATATACAGATAATGCCCAGATACTGTAATACCTAAACATGTTTTAAAAACCTAAAGCCCTGCTAATCCATATCTGTGGGGTCTGGACACCTGTTTCAGGGCTTCCCAAAGATCTGTGAATAGCCACCATGGGAATGGAATGTTTGCAGGTCCTGGGTCTAATCCTGGTTCTTCTTGCTTTCTTAAGTACAGGTTCACGCATGTGTTTATGCAGTTTGGCTCCTCTACTCTTTATGACTAGCAGCCATTATGTTATATCAAGTAATGACTATTTGATGTAGTGCACATCAAGTAATAAATTTGTGTGAGAGAATCAACCCAAATTCTAACCAACTGAAGAAAGTTCTATTTAGGTTAGTGGCCACAAAGGTCTTGTTTGTACCAGCGGCTGCTAAGGTAAAAAGGAATGACATACAAAGAGACAAACCTGTGCATCTCTAGAAATGAAACAAGTTGTACACCATTTGTCCAACCATTTTATCACAAAACAGCCCTTACATTTAGTGGCTGGGCCCAGTTCCAAAGTTCTCTTTATCCCTCCTTTTCCCAGGAATGATCCAGTATCAAAGCACAAGAGGTAACAAGGCACAGGGAGAGCATAAGCATGCTCTTGCTCTCGCCAGAGAATCAAATAGGACTAGAAAGAGCTACTTTCATTGTTTTTTGAGAATTAAAAAGGAGAGAAAGGGGCTTTCACAGCCTTCTGAAATACTCATAATTTTCTGGATTGGGAACATTATGTTGAAAATGCAACGTATTTAGTGACAAAAACACTGAATTTTCCTGAAAGGCTGCAGTGGGATGTAACAGAAAAAGTGATACTTCAGTTTAAGTACATTCCTGCCATAGATACAAGATAACGTGCTACAATAGAACAGAACTACCAAATGGATATATCTCTGTTTATATTTGGTGAATGCATATATATCCATCCATATGTTTGGGCTCAGAAAAAGTGTTAAGTGTATGAGTTGTAACATTAGTTAGATGTTACAATCCAGAATACTACAGTGTTGAACTTGCAAATTTCAAGCATTGCCACCAGGCTTTTATTGCTTCTCCACCAGATGTCAAGGGGAACCCCCATGTGTCACAAAGGCAAATAATTAAGTATTAGAAGTATATTTCTAGGAAGTGAGGGAGAAATTTTATTAATATCATGCCTTTAACAAAAAAAAACCTTGCCTTCTATGAGGCTTAAAGCCTGCATTTCCACATTGGCCATGGATGTAGGAAGTTCTTTCCTTCACAGCCAACATAAAAACTTGGCTATCGGGCAGGTAAAGAAACTTGACTTCCACCACACAGGTCAACAGAAAGTGCTAATCACTCCATGCCTGCTTAGGCAGCCAATTGCATTTCTATGCGAGTTATGAAGGAAAAGATTTTATTTCCCTGATGGCTAACACGGAATCTAAGAAGGCTTGTGGAAAAGGCATGGAGCAAGCCATGTCTTGGTCAGCAGCCTATCTGCTCACTACATAAAAAGCTATCAGTTAAATAAAATGTTTATGACACAAGCGTATGTCGGAGAAATTCCGTTCGGAGAAGGCGTCTCTATATTTTAATTTTTGCTGTTAAAAATTAAAGGACCAAAAGGTAAGTATGCAATACATTGTTTCTCAGAACCTATTCTTCTTGGGATTATTCAACCATAAATGAAAAGCATTAATGCTTTCATTCTTGAATGCACCAGGCAGGATTTTAAAAAAACAAAACAACTAATTTTAATTTAATTAGTGCATTCTATATATTTTTAAAACTTTGTGCAATTGCACAGAAAAAGGCCCTCAAGGGTAGGCTTTGCTGGCCTCTAGTGGAACAATACAAAATAGAAGCATGCTTTGAAATCTAGGAGCTGTTCCCAAGGGGGATGCCTGTGCTCCAAAACGGGATAACTGCTGTCCAGCGATGTAGAAGCCTTCCTTAGAGCTGCCTAACAACTCACAATACCAATTAACTGCTACTGTAATTCGAGGCAACCTTCTTCAGACTAATTGTGAACTGTTTAAAAGGCACCAAAGGAATGGACACTCTCTAGCCCAGTTCACCTATAGTTAGGGCTGCCCCCACAGCTTTAGGCTATCTACATAGCTACCAACATTTATCTGAAGTCTAATACACTACAGTACTGTACATCCTATCCAGAGTAATGGCACCCATGTGGTGCAGAAGATTGTCATTGTAGTGTAGATAATTCTACACGCTATTTTTCTTGGAAGCCAGCTGAAAAGGAGTGGATTATTACAAACAAATAAATGTATTTAGGAGATGGAAAAGCTTTCTCTTTCATACACAAGTATATTTGACAGAACTTTCCCAATCCATACTAAAGAGAAACAAATATTTTCATTAATCCAAGCTGGATACCTTAGTTACATGACTGACTGGCAGAGCCTATCACCTGATTTCAATTCCTCACCTCAGGAAGGCTGAAGTTATTTTTCTGAGGAACAATAAGTCTACCTGAAAGATGCTAGGATACAGCTTTACACAACAGGATACTTGAACATTTGCAAGTGAACCTTCTAAATTATTCAATTTGTAACCTTCCCCCATAGTCATTCTTCATTTTGCAAGGCAAGCAAGAGAGAAAGAAAGAAAGAACAGTGAAATATGTTTTTCCCATATCTTGCAAATGTTACATAGGAAAAGAAAACACTGACCAGTTGATATTATTTACACTGTAATGCAGAGGCAGACTGAGAGCAAAACAGTAGCTCAGCAAGGCTGGCATATCTAAAGAACAGGACACCTCTGAGTAACCGTTCAACCTAGGAACATACCGTATTTTTTGCACCATAAGACGCACTTTCCCCCCTCCAAAATGTGGGTGGGGAAGTCAGTGCGTCTAATGGTGTGAATGCAGCAATTTCGTCGCTGCTGGCCCCATGGGGGGGAGCGTCGCAAGGGTCCGGGTGAGCCTTCCAGGACCCTTGCGAGGCTCCCCCACCCCCCCACGGGGCCAGCACCGGCAAAATCGCCAGCTTCCAGGTGGGGAGAATGTCGCAAAGGTCCTGGAAGCTCACTCAGATCCTTGCGACGCTCCTCCCACCCACGCACGGGCCAGCACTGGCAAAATCGCCAGGTTCTGGGAGTGTTTTGAGGCTGCATTCTAAACATTTGTAAACATTTTTAAATATTTAAAAAACAGCCAACATGAGGCTGTCAAAATCATTGTTAAGCAAAACAAGGGGACCCAAACTGTCATCGCTATGCGAAGCATGGTCCCAAACATCGCTATGTGAAAATCGCCCATAGGGAACATCGTTAAACGGAGCGCAAGATCGCTCCGAAAAAGTCATCGCTAAGCGAATTCGTCGTTAAACAAAGCGCTCGTTAAGCGAGGCACCACTGTACACTGAAATTCACTCTGTGGCCCCCTATCCTACATGGATTAATTTCAACAGCCTGATGGGGAACAGAGTTTGATCACTGGACTCAAAGGAACTTATTTCTGAATTGTAAGTAAAAGATTGTAATATTAGATTCTATTTAGGAGACATCTTTCTGCTGATTCAGGACATTTCAATCTTGCAATTATATTTAAAAAGAAAAACACAGCACAAGTAGCCATTTTTACATTCTCAGTGTTGCATGGGCTCAAACACCAGAGGACCTCAATACTTGGCGGAACGCTTACTCCCACCTAGCTCTACCCGTGGCACTTCTGCGAGTTAGGAGGTGAGGCTGAGGGGCCTGACACTGAGGGAGGCCCGGAAGGAAAAAACAAGGAATCGGGCCTTCTCGACGGTGGCTCCTCGCCTTTGGAACAATCTGCCTCCGGAGATTCGTGCTGCACCCTCACTGGGTACTTTTAAAAATCAATTAAAAACATGGATGTATAGGCAGGCCTCCCCCCCCCAGTTAATTCCTGACCCTCTTCCCTTCTCTCTCTATTTGATTTATTTTGTATTTTTCCCATCTTGCAGAATTATTTAATTGTTATAATTTTTCTTATATTTGTTATGTTTTTATGTTGTAAGCCGCCTAGAGTGGTCGAAATGACCAGATAGGCGGGGTATAAATAGAATAAATAAAATAAAAAATAAGTTAAGAATCTTCCTGCCACTGTATAACCAGGAGCCATGCACTGTAACTCACATGGGATAAGTCAACTGCATTTTCTTCTTTACGTTTGCTTCAATTAACCTCATTATTGAGACTTCTAACTTACCACTCTTTTAAAATCCTCTTCTGCTTCATCAAACTTCCCCTGCTTAAGCAGTAAATGTCCCCGTTGGAGTCTTGCCTAAAATAAAGAAGTCTATTAAATACAAATAGTGCATTCAGTGACCAATGAAATTCAAGGTTACAAGTGCCAAACTAAGAGTAAAGACAGCTATGTGGAAATCTTGAACACACCAAGAAGCTCTCACTAGATGACCAGTCATGCTCTTTCCACCTTCAGTACCTCATGAGGATAATGTGAAGATCAGACCAGGGAATAAAAAGAGCCACATTGACTATCTTCTGTCCCTTAGAAATAAACAAATAAATGGGATCTGTATGTGTTAGCAAAACTACATTCAGCATATGATATCTCTCTTTTACATTTAAAATGATAGATCACTGGTTCCCAAACTTTTTGGAACACTCCCTTCCTTTGATTTTTGAGAACCCCTCATGCTCCCATTTACCATCAATTTCAACCCATCAAATTTTGTATTTCTAATTCAAACTTAATCCCCACAAGCAAAACATAGTAAACATTATTTTGAATGGAAAATCACAAGTAGGTTTTCTTGCTACAGAAATGATTCAAATATATTCATTCTTCTTCGTTTTCTTAATCACAGTCATATGAAAATATTTTTAATAAGCTGTGAAAAAAATTGAGAGATAAAATACATAAGTTGTTGTCTCTGTTTATTTCCTATGTGAAGAAATACTTCCTTACAGAGAGATACCCCCTCACCAATATAATTTCACAATACTGTGCAAACTCTTGAGTACTCCAGAACTCTTCGCCAGGCAAAGTAACAAAATAAACAAAACAAAATATGATACAATTAAAATTGTTCCCTAAAGATATTGCCCCCCGTCCTGTTTCAGAAAGAGTGTTCGAGAGCATTTTTAATCCTGTTTCTCCTTTTCTCAGGATTGTTTAGCATGTCACTACTATGTTCCTTGACAGGAAGACAGGAGGGCCTGGCGTGCTCTGGTCCATGGGGTCACGAAGAGTCGGACACGACTCAACGACTATACAACAAACACTATGTTCCTATCTCTATGTTCTTCCCACATAACAGCAAATTTGTGCCCATTCTCACAGAGTTGTAAGCTAAAGATGTTTACAGTTTGTCAGTGTGATGTAGTAGAAATAGTGTCATACTGAGAGTCAGGAGGTCTAGGATCAAATCCCTATTTGGTCATGAAAACTCCCTTGTGGATGGCAATGGTAAACCATCCCTTTAACACCTCACACACTTTGAAAACCTTATTAGGCTTTCCACGAGCCAGAAGCAACTTTACAGCACATAACGGCAATGACAAAGGAAGAGAAGTTGTTCACAAGGGAATAAATACAGTATCTTCAGATTTCTTCATAAGGATGCAAAGAAGCATCTTCTTTCAAAGATCAAAATGAACAAAATCACAGCAACAATTTCCAAAGTTCTGTGCACTGCTAGTTTCAAAATTGTTGTGATTTATGCTTAAAATAGTTAACAGATTCAGATAGTTCAGTGCTTTAATTCAGCACTTCTAAACACATTATTATTAGTACTTATGTATTTATATTATTATTTATACAATGGCAATGATGTATATAGTGCTTTATAGAGTAATGTAAGCAGAAGTATACATGCTCCAAGTCACTACAACCAACATTGAAAACGCAGAAAAAAATTACAAAAAATCCTCTTTAAGAATCAGAATGGAGACTTAAGAATGCACATTTTCTAGTAGCACATGTATTAAACAAAGGTCAATTACTGCTAGTACTTTCACTGCAGTAGTTGCTAATTAAACAGAGATCCCACACTGCAATCATGTCATTATCCAGGAGTCAGTATCTAGTCCTGGCATATACCAAAACGTCAATACACGGCTTCAATAACCAAAACCTTATTATTCCATCTCATGCCAAATTAACACTCTGAAAATACCATCTTTCCTGCTAATGCATCTTTTTTAAATACCACAAAACTGCTAGATTTTTACTCTACATTTAACCTCTCAAAGTTATAGGATAATAAAAGTTTTCTGTTGGATTATAGCACTCACTGAGGAAAAAGAAGAGACTCCTATTTAAAGGCAACATAAAAAACAAAGATGAAAAGCCATTTTCATCCACCCTGAAGGAATCTTTGGAAAGCGCTGCTTACCGATGTGAAATCCTGCTTTAATTCAACCACCTTGCTTAAGTCACGAATGGCAGCTTTCGATTTGCCCATGGCTAAATAGACTGTGGCTCTTCTGTAATACGCCAGGTAGTTATCAGAGTCCCCTTCTGCAAGTGAAGAAGGAGCAATCAGAACATCCCCTCAAGCCAGTCAAGCCTTTGGATACAACTAAGCAAGCAATAAAGAGGAATAATGGCACCATGAGCAGAATTTCTAAACAGTGTCACACCAACATTTAATTAGCTGAAGGAGTACTTCCACAGAACAGATGCACTTTGACATTGCCTGCTTTGGCAAGTATGAACTCGAATGAAAATTTTAAAACCATAGACATGTGGCCGGTTCCATCTTCCAAGTTGTTCTTACGGGCTTCCAAAGATGCACACTGAAGGGCATTCCAGCTGTGAAGTAAAACTGAGCCCCCGGAATGCAAAAGCTTTTTATCTCAATCTGCAGGTTTGCTTTTGGACATCTGCTTTGCATTTTTGTCCTTGGCTTCTGCATCATTTACAGAAGGCCAAATAATAATTTCACTCAAGACCAGCAATAGAAAATCTCCCAAAGCCTTTCCATTCTTTCTGCAGACTTAACAAGCTCTTGAAATGTAACTGACACCAAACATATACATACTTTTCATCTTTACTCCAACACAAGAAGATGAGAATTTTATGGGACTCTGAATGGAAGTATAAAGTGTTTATCCCACATCAGGACTGCTGTATTTCCTCAGCCTTGCCAAACACAAGTTTCTCAACGGATTCAACCAAGTGTTTCCATCCAGTAGTCAACTTCAGGCATGAGATTTCTAATTTTTTTTAACGAGAACTACCAGAATACAGCAAGAATTTCCCCAGTTTTATTTAAACAAAAATATCCAAGCTCTAAGAGGAGTTTCAGGATCCTCATCTGTTCCTTGCCAAGGCTCTTTCCGCAGCTGGCCATTAAAGCATGGACATGGGTGGAGCTTTCTTTCTTTCTTTCTTTCTTTCTTTCTTTCTTTCTTTCTTTCTTTCTTTCTTTCTAATTAACAACTTAGGATAAGGTAAGGGGTACAGAAGGTAAAGGGGGATATGAGGGGAGAAAAAAGGAGGGGGAGGAGAACACAAAATGTACTGACATCCAATCTATTCATGTTGCAATATCAATTCGACTTTCCGCTTTTCTTCTATTTGATTGCCCTCCAAGTTTTAACTTACATTTACATCTTAGTTTCATTCTATGTTATTCAAGTATTATCTGGTGACTCAAGCCATTTATATAATAAATCCCATCGTTCAGTTGTCTTTTGTATTGGACAGTCTTTCAACACTTCTGATAAGATATCCATTTCTGTCGCTTCCCGTATCTTCTCAATAAGTTCCTCTTGTTTTGGTATCACCGATTTCCTCCAATTCTTGGCATAAAGAATTCTGGCTGCAGTGACTATATATATAAAACTAAGTAGTTCTTTGTCTTACCTATATTGTCTGGTATAATACTCAGTAGAAACAGTTCTGGGGTTAGTGGAACCTTACAAAGCAGTATTTTTTTTTTTTAGTATGTACAACTATCCAAAAATTTTTCGCTACTCTGCAAACCCACCATATATAGCAAAAACTTCCCTCATGTGCTTCACACTTCCAGCAAACATTTGACACATCTGTATAAATCTTTGCTAATTTTTCCAGAGTCATATAACACTTGTAAAACATCTTATATATATTCTCCTTGAAATTAATCAATTTTGTGAGCTTTATGTTATGTTGCCATATATGCAACCATTGATCAATAACAATATTATGCCCTATATTTTGTGCCCACCTAATCATACATTATTTGACTATCTTGTCTTGCATTTTAATTTCTAACAAATAATCATACATTTTCTTAATTACTTTATCTTTTGAACCCAGCAGAAGTTTATCAAATATCATTTGCTCTGGGTAAAAACCCTCTATTTTATCTTATCTATACCTAGATTCCACTTGTGCTCTGGACCACCAGTCTATATATATATAGAAGAGCTGTTCTAGGGACCTGGAAAAAGATCATCCAACAGATTTACCAAAAAACACCTATAGAGGCCTTTACACAACCTAATCTTATGATGGAAGCAAAACTTCTAAGATAGATTCATTAAAAAGGGATTGTGAGTTAAGGTCTAAAGAAGAGCTAGAGACACTATATAAGAGCTAGAGACACTTTTTTTTAATGAATCTATCTTAGAAGTTTTGCTTCCATCATAAGATTAGGTTGTGTAAAGGCCTCTATAGGTGTTTTTTGGTAAATCTGTTGGATGATCTTTTTCCAGGTCCCTAGAACAGCTCTTCTATATATATATAGACTGGTGGTCCAGAGCACAAGTGGAATCTAGGTATAGATAAGATAAAATAGAGGGTTTTTACCCAGAGCAAATGATATTTGATAAACTTCTGCTGGGTTCAAAAGATAAAGTAATTAAGAAAATGTATGATTATTTGTTAGAAATTAAAATGCAAGACAAGATAGTCAAATAATGTATGCTTGTCAACTTGCATTGCTTTAATTTTAATTCTTAGTTTTTTACCTTGCCAGACAAATCTCGTAATTATCTTGTTAAGTTCCTGAAAAAAATACTGTTTTAATATTATAGGAATTGTCTGAAATAAAAATAGAATTTTAGGTAAAACATTCATTTTAATGGTTGTTATTCTTCCCATCAGCGATAGCTGTAATTTGTCCCATCTCTCCAAGCTAGTCTGTATCTCTTTCATCAACTTCATATAATTATCTCTAAATAATGTACTCGTTTTCTTTGTGATTTGGATCCCTAAGTATGTAACTCCCTTTTCTTCTTGAAAATTAGTCTTTTCTATTAGCTTCTGTGGTGCTTGTTCTCTCATATTTTTAACAAGTATTTTTGTTTTTGTTTTTGTTTATTTTCATTTCTGCCATAACACCAAAATTTTTCAACATCTCCTTCAGGTCTTCAATTGAATCCATTGGATCTTCCAATATAATAACCAGATCATCTGCAAAAACTTGGCGCTTATAGGTATGACCTCTTACTTTCAATTCTTTCAATTCCTTTTTATCTCTAATTTGCTCAGTTAATGTTTCTAGAGTAAGAATGAATAGTAATGTAGAGAGAGGACACGACATGGGTGGAGCTCTCTAAACTCCATGGGAATAGCAAAGAATTAGGGTACAGGTAGGGTTTTTTTTACAGGCAGCCTCTACAGGGCTCAATGTATGGAGAGACTACTGTCTCTAGCTGGAAGAACACCTGCTGAATTCTGGTAGATATAGTGAAAAAAATCTGAAAATCCCAAGACTGGTTGAATATGTGGGGGCAGGCGACTAAGAACTTTTGTTGGTATTGTCAAGTTACCTTTGTTGTCCCCAGCTTTAGCCAAATCTTGCCCATTCATAGCCTTCTACAGAACCATCACAAGAATGGTCTTCTCCTGATCCATCCAGAATTTCAGTGTACATGTAAGGTGCTGCTGATACTATTTAGTTCACTTGCCACAATTTTTTATTTCTTTCCATTTGGGTCTTCAGCAGACTTCTGAGGAAGCCATAAGTATCTTTGCAAGCAACAATACTGCAGAATGAATCATGGGGCTCTTTATTTTATTTATTTATTTATTTAGCTGCAGAATGAATCATGGGGGCTCTTGCTATAGCTAGGAGAGATATGGTCCCTCACCCACACCTTTATTGCATAGAATGTTTGTCAAGGTTTTGGAGCAAATTCAGAGAAGAGCTGTAGGAGTTTGCTGCAGAGGGCTCCATCCAATATTGATGTCTGTTCCAGATACAGGTACAGCATTTTATATCACATTCCCATGACAAAAGGAAACAATATGTTATAAAAACTGAAGAAACAGCAAATGTAAATATGTAACAGTAGCAATCAAAGGTGTATACCAGTAAAGTGTCAAAACCAAGAAGTGAAGCTAAATGTCCTAAATGTTTTCTTATATCTGGTAGAACAAATAAATCTGTTTCTAACCAAGCCTCAAAATGAGAAAGTTTGAGTTCGGTTCTGACTAGCAGGATTCCCTGGAACACATATTCTACTACTCTGAATTCACAAAAAGAGAAGTTACTACTCCCTCTATCTACTCCTATTTGTGTACTTGTCAAAATAAGGGGTGTCAAGAATCAATCCTGATAAAAGATGTGCCCTCTTTAGGGAAGCTACGCTGTTCTTTATTAGAGGTCTTTGCTCTAGATTTGAATGGACAAGTCATTCAGAACTTCATGGCACTCTTTAATTCTTAAAAAACCCTCCAGTTTATGAATATGGGATACTGTGCTCCTGTATCCATGGTTTAAATTAGAGGAAATGGCCCAATATGGCTATACAATATCTTGCCCACATTGCCAGCAGGAAAAAGGATGCCAAGCTTTACATAGCAAAGAGCAGTCTGAATGTTGACAACACCTGTATCAACAGTCAAGACAGTCTGCAGGACACTTTCTTGTGCTCACCATAATTTCTCCTAAGCATTTCGATTACTTTGTGGCTCTAAGCAATAGTTGCTAGAGCACTGGTTGGAAAGCAGCCTTGACAATTGCTTGTGTTTGTGTGAGAAGTGGTTAACTAATGAAAAAAGTTTTCATGTCCCTTTGTGAATTCTAGGATTGCCTATTTCTGAACTGGAAGTAAGAGTTTTACTTTTAAAAACTGATAATTCAAAAACCCTTTGCACATACTTCCCCAATTTGGCGCACAGCAAGGGCAGGTTGTCTGCTACAAATGGGGCAAATTTAGTGATGATCCAAAGCCTAGTTTAAAAGTTATAAATTTGTGGGGGTGGGCTTGCCACACTTTTAGAATTATCTTTTAAAATGTTGATGCGCTCTGCTAGTACAAGTTCACTGCTGTACAGTACTTTCATACAACAATAATTTGCATCTTCTTTACGCAATTCCTTATTAGGGTACTTCCATATTAAATAATGGGACAAAGTTTCAAACTAAAACTTTTTAAAAGGACTTTAAGTAGAACATGTGCAGCAGTATTTACATAAATGAAGGGATGGTGGATTACCCATAAAGAACTCCTGACTTTGTTTGGGAGATGCTGTCACAGAAATATAGACTTTGCTAGGAAAAGGAGACAATCAAGGTCCAACTGAACTTGGTTAACTGTGTTCTATCAAACACCACAAGGCTGCCTGGTGCTTATCGGTGTTGTTACATGTTGCTTTGCTCGTTGCAGAAACATGGAGAGAACTCATCTTCCTGACTGCAAACAGGTTATGTGAGGAGCTATCATTGACTGGAGTTAGAGTGATACAAGAGACGTTGAGCTTCTCGAATGCATGCCCTGCATCAGCCATTCTCAATGGAGGTCATATGGCGCTCTTGGGAGGGGGGGTGCTGGCACATTTCAAGGGAGCCAGAGACTGGAAATAATTATCTACATGCCATCTTATAGGGTTTGTTATCTGACTTATACAATCCTGATTCAGCCTATGTTTCTTTCATATTGTGTTTATGGCCATGAGAATGGTTGTGCTACATCATACAAAATATGGAGTCCTATTCATTGGGTGTTATCTCATAACACACGCTTTTAGACATCTTGATTTCACACAGGTCTGATAAGCTTTTGAACAAACACAACAAAAGCAACGTATTAGTGGCTTATCCCCTTTTCAGCTCTTAATAGTTTACACTTTCCATGCCTGCTTTCCTTACTCTTTGGCAGAAAAAGAGGGGCCACAGCAGCTGCAGTAACAAATGATGACAGATAATGGAACAGCCCACAAACAAGAGCTGCACCAATCCAGTCATAGAACAAGTAACAAAAAAGATCCAAAGTTGGTGTGGAAAGTTAAGTTGCATTTAACGATAAGAACAGTTTCCTCCTCATTTTCTGTGAAGCTCTTTGCAACATTCCATGGTTTCCATACCCAACTGCAGAGAAATGTGTGGTCTGTAGATGATGCTAGACTCAAATTTTCATTCTCCATCACCACTAGCTAGGACTAAGACTTGGAGTCCAACAGCATCTGGAGCACCACAGTTTTCCCAAGGTTGCCCCCCTGTAATTTATCTGTAAGTAGCCCTAATTGTGCACGTATGTGTGTGTGTGTGTGTGTCCATGTGCCTGTGTGCATGCACATATGCTCAAATTTTAGATTAAAAGTTCTTTGAGCAGGTACTTCTTCTCTCAAATACTCTAAAGCAGGGGTAGGGAGCATGAACTCACCCTGATTCTATTGGACTATACGTCCCATTAGCTTTAGGCGATGCAGCCAATGGGGACAGATGCTCGAAAGTGCAGTTTAATGACATATTGAGGGCTAAATGCTCCTCAGCCTTCATTTACAATCTACATACTGAGAACATTTCATCATACAACCTAATATCTGGTGATGGAGGATATATACCCTACCCTATGAGGAAAACCGATGTTTGGGGCCCAGTTTTTACAACAGATTGCAGTACCAACCCCCTCCCCTCAAACAACAAGCCAATGCTGTCTCAGACCATCCAATTAATTATTAAAGTGCCAACCTTGGAAGAAATGAAATGTAAGCTATGTCACCAAACTGCTGATTCCAGAACAACAAAAACTCAGCCGATAGTCTCCTCCAAAGATTTGGGCTTTATGATTAGAGACACAGGATCACAGCGACAGCCTGCTATTTATCACCCCAACCATCTCTTTACATCTAAAAGAGGACACATAATTCCTTACCGCCAACAGAAAAGTGCCTTAAGGTTGACAGCTAAAAGGCTGCTTTAAGGGCACAAAACAAATGCATTTGTGCCTCAACTCAGGCATTGGGGATGGGGGTGGTTGGAGCTCTTGTTTAACAGATGTGTTTAAAAAGAACGCCGAAAATCATTGCAGCACGAAGCCGAGTCTCATGGAGAGAAACACTTATCATCAGTATTCCAGAAGCAGCTTTATCAAAGGGGCAAAGAGGAGGGAGTAAAGAGCCAAATGATTAGAAGGAGAGCTAGAAACTCGCAAAGTAGGGGGAAAATGAAACATTAATTAGGAATCCTGAAACAGCAGTGGTGCTACATCAAGGAAACTGGACCTTCTTCATGGCCTGTCACAAGCCAGAAAAAAATAGTTTGACACCTAAACAATTTTTTTCCTTCAGCTAGTCAGGGCTGCTGTTACGGCTTCACACGGGACCATTTTCAAACATGGAAATACTGTCAAGGTGTGGTGGACACTTGTTCAATAATCTGTGTGACGTGTAATGCCGGTGTTTATTTTGCCCTGGAGCAATCACGTCAATAGGTCTCTCCTGTTCCGAAACAAACAAACAAGAAAGAATCATGGTGGTTTTCTCCCTCTTTTCACATGTTCGGTTTCAATGAAGCTATTAAGGTTTCTTAATCCAGACTTTCTCTTGTGCTCATATCAGCAAAATGTGATTTGAGGGCTGCTTATTTTTCAGATGTTAGCTATCAATAAAGAGGACCAGCTTAAAGAGCACAAAAACAGAAGAAAGGTTTTCTGCTTAACAGTACTCTCATGAGGCTTATCAGAGAGGGAGAAATCACGGGGAACAACTGCATGAAATCAAGAGAAAGTAAAATAAAATACTAACAAACCATTAGATACGCACCTATAGCAGCGTGGAAATGGGACAAAGCATCTGCTAGCTGCCCAGCTGCCAGCAGCTTCTTTCCCATTTCAAGTTGTTTTTCTACTTCTGCATTTATCCCACATTCTGCTCCTGAAGGAAGAAAAAAAATATTTATATGAAACATTCAATAGGAATAATTTATTTTGCTTTATAAAAAGCTAACAATGCAAGGTTATCAAATGGGAATAATTTAATTTGCTTTATAAAAAAACTAATGCAAGGTTATCAAAAGAGCCACAGACTGCTGTTTTAGGTATCTGGCTGCAGAGCCAGAGGCTGGATGTTCGACTCCCCACTGTATCTCCTTGACTAGGGACTGAGCTTAATGATCCATAGCATCCCTTCCAGCTTTGCAGTTCTAAGAGTATTAACTGATATATAAAAATCAGATCTGATGCTGCCCAAAGATGAGAAGCTACAAAAAATAATCTCCAAATGAGTTCTTAACTTTGAAACAGGAGACAGCAATGTGCAGCCTGCTGGAAGTTGTTGGATTAAAATTCATAAAAGCCCTAGCAACCATAGCCATTGGGTGAGGACAGGTGGAAGCTGCAGTCCTGCGGTATCTGGAAGGTCCCACTTGGCCCACTCATGCTTTCAAAAGTGACTCAAACTGGCCTGGCACTTATCCAAAATGAACAGCTATCTCTGAAAGTCCATCACTCCAGGTACCAGGGGTGTAGCTCAGATGTTGAAGACCTTAGTTCAGTCATTTGCAACACTCTGCTAGATGGATTCCATTCTGAATAGTTTGGCCTCAAGCATTTGGGGGACATTTTTGATAAAGTGAAACAAAAATTCCTCTGCCCCATATACAGTCATGTGAAAAAGAAAGTACACCCTCTTTGAATTCTACGATTTTAGGACATCACGAAAATCATGTGGTCCTCAGCAGGCCTGAAAATTTGGTAAATACAACCACAAATGAAAAACAACACAGGACGTATTACACCATGTCATGCTTTATTTTACAAGAATAAAGCCAAAATGGAGAAGCCATGTGTGAAAAACCAAGTACATCTTAAGTTTCAATAGCTTGTAGAACCACCTTTAGCAGCAATAACTTGAAGTGATTGTCTTCTGTGTGTCTTTATCAGTCTCTCACATTGTTGTGGAGGAATTCTGGCCCACTCTTCTTTACAATGTTGCTTCAGTTCATTGAGGTTTGCAGGAATTTGTTTATTCACAGCTCTCTGAAGTTTCCACTACAGCATTTCAATCGGGTTGAGGTCTGGACTTTGACCGGGCCATTGCAACACCTTGATTCTTTTGTAGATTATTGTACAGCCATTGTTGTAGTTTTGCGGGTGTCCTTGGGATCATTGTCCTGTTGCATGACCCAGTTGTGGCCAATGTTTAGCTGTTGCACAGATGAACTCACATTTGACTCTAGAATAGTTTGGTATACAGAGGAGTTAATGGTCGCCTCAGTGACTGCAAGGTGCCCAGGTCCTGGGGTTGCAAAACAAGCCCAAATCATCAATGCTCCACCATCATGCTTAACAGTTAGTATGGCACTGCAGTCTCATCTATCCAAAATAAATTGTTCCAGAAGTCTTGTGGTTTGTCCAGTTGCAACTTTGCAAACCTAAGCTATGCTCCCATGTTCTTTTTACAGAGAAGAGGCTTTCTCCTGGCAACCCTTCCAAACAAACCATACTTGTTTAGTCTTCTAACTGTACTGCCATGAACTTTAACATTTAACATGCTAACTGAGGCCTGCAGAATCTGAGATGTAACTCTTGGGTTTTTTGCAACTTCTCTGAGCATTGCATGGTCTGACCTTGGTGTGAATTTGCTTGCACCTCCAACTCCTGGGAAGATTGGCAACTGTCTTGAATGTTTTCCACTTGTGAATAATCTTCCTCATTATAGAAAAATTGTCTTTAAATCATTTGGAAATGGCCTTATAACCCTTCCTAGATTGATGGGCAACAACAATCGCTTCTTTACAGTCATTGCTGATGTATTTCCTCCTTGCCATTTTGTTAACACACATTCAAATGCTCCAGACCAAAAAACTGCTAAAACTTTGGCTTGCTGATTATCAATTACTCAAGGGCATATGGTAAGCAGCACCTGGCTGAGCCTCTTAATTCCTAATAGAAGGAATTAATAGAAGCAGTAAAGGTGTACAGTACTTACATGGCTTTTGTTTTACTATTATTATTGTTAAATAAATCATAACATGGCATAATATGTCATGTGCTGTCGTTCATCTGAGGTTGTATTTACCTGATTTTCAGACCTGCTAAGGACCAGATGATTTTTATGATATTCTATTTATTTATTTATTTATTGGACTTATATACCACCCCATAGCGCTACAAGCACTCTCCGGGCGGTTTACCATTTTTAATTATGCAGGCTACACATTGCCCCCCCCCCAGCGAGCTGGGTACTCATTTTACCGACCTCGGAAGGATGGAAGGCTGAGTCAACCTTGAGCCGGCTACCTGGGATTTGAACCCCAGTTGCAACTTTGCAACTGATACATAAAACCATGGAATTCAAAGAGGGTGCATCTTTTCATATGACTGAATGTTTTTGAAACATTGCAGAAATTATATTCCCAGTATTAATCTCTTTAGCCACCAACACTGCACTGGCAATTATGATTCAACTTGGTTTTCACTCTGCAGATTCCGCAGCTAATATTTTATCCATTATACTTTTTTAAGTCTACAATTCGATGCAGCATATACACTTGCCTTGGAGCAAGTCCCACTAAATTTAAAGGCCAAAATTAAGGACACAAAATAAATGCATATAAATCAAATCTGCAAAAGGGTGATGATATAACCAGCAGGGGGAGATTTTCAATAATTAAAGAGTTCCTGTTTCTGTCCCACTGGTCCTCTAATCACATGTACTTAGACTCATTGAGTGCAAGCCAATATGAGCCCCAGGAAGAAGCAGGAATTATTTAATTGCCAATAGTTTCCCACTGGATGACATTATCAGCTGCAAGAGATTTTTACCATCTGAAGAAGTGGATTTTCATAAATATTTTAGTACAGTATATCTTTTCATGTGACAACACTGAAGAAATGACACTTGGCTACAATGTAAAACAGTGAGTATACAGCTTGTATAACAATGTAAATGTGCTGTCCCCTCAAAATAACGCAACACACATTAATATTTAAACAGCTGGCAACAAAAGTGAGTACTCTCCTAAGTGACAATATCCAAATTGGGCACAAAGTGTCAATATTTAGTGTGGTCAGCTTACTTTCCAGCACTGCCTTAACCCTGTTGGGCACAGAGTTCACCAGAGCTTCACAGGTTGCCACTGGAGTCCTCTTCCACTCCTCCATGATGAAATCACAGAGCTGGTGGATGTTAGAGACCTTGCGCACCTCCACCTTCCATTTCAAGATGCCCCACGGATGCTCAATAAGGTTTAGGTCTGGAGACATGCTTGGCCAGTCTATCACCTTTACCTTCAGCTTCTTTAGCAAGGCAGTGGTCATGTTGGAGGTGTGTTTGGGGTCGTTATCATGTTGGAATACTGCCCTGCAGCCCAGTCTCTGAAGGGAGGGAATCATGCTCTGCTTCAGTATCTCACAGTACATGTGGGCATTCATGATTCCCTCAATAAACTGTAGCTCCCCAGTGCCGGCAGCACTCATGCAGCCCCGACTATGACACTTCCACCAGCATGCTTGATTGTAGGCACAACACACTTGTCTTTGGACTCCTCACCTGGTTGCCGCCACACACACTTGACACCATCTGAACCAAATTAGTTTATCTTGAGGTGCCATGTGGAACTTCCAGTGACCAGTCAGAGAATGATCACACTTGCTCCCCTTTCACACCTGAGATTTGTGTCACTAACAGCTCCCATGACACCAGGGAGGGAAAACAGCTACTTGGGCCCAATTTGGACATTGTCATTTAGGGGTGTACTCACTTTGTTGCCAGTGGTTTAGACATTAATGGCTGTGTGTTGCGTTATTTTGGGGGGACAGCACATTTACACTGTTATACAAGCTGTATACTTACTGTTTTACATTGTAGCCAAGTGTCATTTCTTCAGTGTGGTCGCATGAAAAGATATACAAAAATATTTATTAAATGTGAGGGTTTGCACTCACCTCTGTAATATAACTGCATGTGTGTGTACACATGTGTGCATATCCATGTACTGTACGTACACACATACACTTACATGGTACATATATACACTACTATGTATTTACTGTTTTCTTTGCGATAGCTTAGTATTGATCAGTATTTGTCACAAACATACATAACACAAAATTAAAAATTAAGTATGCTTTAAATAATGCATGGGAATGAAAATAGAAACAGACTGAAGTCTTGCTGTGGAACTGCATATATGCAGTGGAGGTGACATCAGTAGTAGCAGCCAATTGCAGCTATCAAATGTCATTTTGGGGTGGACACAATGTGCTCACAATGAGACAAAGTCATGCACCCCATGAAAACAGCAAAGGAAAATGGTGATATAATCCCACTGAGCACATTGAGCTGCATAACAGGTTCTAGCCACTTTTGTGTATGCAATTACAACTGCGAAAAAGCTGAAAAGTGGCTGACTACACCCGCACTTAGTTTGCTGCTTGGGTCTTTGCTGGAGTAACCTAGTCCACCCCCAGAGTGGTCCTATCTGCCCTCTTCCGGTCCCTGGCAGGGGCTCCTTACCTTTTTAGTGCAAGTAAGATCGCCCTGGTTTGCTTTATTTCCAGCGTGGCTGATCACCGGAAACAAGCCAAAAGTGAGCCTTCCTGTCAATTGCCAATACAGTATAATTAAGTGGCCTAAGAAGAGGGCTGCTTCAGAATGTTGGCAAATTAAACATTTTCTCTGCTGTATGGGAGGGGCTGAGGAAGTGATTTCTTTTTAAAAGTGTATTAGGGCATATATGCTGCATTATTATTACCCTGTTTCCCTGAAAATAAGACACGGTCTTATATTAATTTTTGCTCCAAAAACGCAATAGGGCTTATTTTCAGGGGATGTTTTATTTTTTTCATGTACAACCATTGACATTTATTCAAATACAGTCATGTCATCTTCTGGCTGCTGCACAATCGTGGAGGGCGGGGTTTCACTTAACTGGGGCTTATATTTTGGGTAGAGCTTATATTACAAGCATCCTGTAAAATCATACTAGGGCTTATTTTCAAGTCTTATTTTAGGGGAAACAGGGTATTGGTATTGTTGTTGTTGTTGTTGTTGTTGTTTAAAGCCAAATGGGAAACTGCCTCCCAGAAGCAGGATGAGACAGGAGGTGGGAACAAGGGGGATTTCTGTCTGCTTTTCTCTTCCAGTTGAGAACTGTTAGAGAAAAACAAGCAAAAATGCCCCTCATTGTCGTCTTCTGCTTCTGGGAGAAAGTTTTCCATTTGGCTTTTGTTTTTTTCAAAGTGATGCAACACATATCCACTACCCTAAAACACGTTTTATAAAATCACTTCCTCAGATCTTCCACAGAGTCAAGGAAGTGTTTAATTTGCCGATATCTCTTTTGAGTTGTTCTCTTCTTAAGCCTCTTCACCAGTGGTTCTTAACCTTTGTTACTTGGATGTTTTTGAACTGCAACTCCCAGAAACCCCAGCCAGCACAGTTGGTGGTGAAGGCTTCTGGGAGTTGCAGTCCAAAACTCCTGAGTAACCCAAGGTTAAGAACCAGTGCTCTTCACAATATTAGCAAACTGATAGCAGGCCAAATAGGGCTGCTTGAGGTCTATATGCTATTTGGATATGGGGACTGCATCAAACGATACATGGACCACCTTGTGGCATGATCTGATCCAGCCTGCTCCAAAATAGTCATGCAGACAAGTCCTATGTGCAGAGGAAACATTTATCAAACTGTTACGAGGGCTGTTGCTCTGAATCCTTCCACTGCGAAATCTAAAAGCACGGTGGCCACTGAGAAGTTTTTCTGTCACTAGACTAAATATCAAGTAATTTCTCTTATTTGGCAGTCCAGAGTTGCTCATGAAATAGAGCTTCCCCATCTCTTCAGTGCAGTCCCCTGCAAAGCTGCTCCAAATAAAAAATAGGTAAAAACGTTGACATAAAAAGCACAGGATATGGGAAGTGCGCAGAATCCAAGGCCCACCCTGTGTGCTCAGAATCACCTTCCACCCATAGAAGAGCCCTTCTGGATCCCAGCCATAGTTATCAAATTCCAACTGGCAACTTGTACAAGCAAAGATACCTAATGATGTTGTCTAAGAATCTAAATAATATTATTTGGAATCTACACTTAGAAGCATAGAAAGATGCTTTTTAGTGTCAGATCCTAAGCCAATATTGCCAACACTGTCTGGCAGAAGTTTTCCAGACAGGAGTATTTTCTAGCTAGAGTAACAGATGCTAAGAACTGATTCATAGGACACGTACTCTATCATGGAATCATGCCCCCAGCAGCTATGTCTCCACCTCCTAATAATTAAATGCTACTGAGTTCAGGCTTCCTGGTGATTAAATAAGCAACTCTCAAAAGATGTAGAAAATACATTTGGTTCAGTCCTCTCAGATATATAGTATACTGTATTTTCAAAGGGGCAACTAATGCTAACAAACACAACTGGGCTTCCTAGCAAGTTACATTTAAAGAGAAGAGAAAGCTAGTGAATTGTATTTTTTCCCATTTTACTTTTGAGTATTGCACTGATTTCCAAATCAAAGTTGCCATTTTCAAGTACAAATAACTTTTCCCCTCTAAATGTTCAACAGACTCACTGAGCTCTGACAGCCAATATGATGGTTTTCTTCCCCCATTTCACGCATCATCACAGACAATAAAAACTCTGGAGGCCAAATTACATTATATCTGCGCAATCTCCTCTTACCTCATGCATGCCCTCAAAAATATGAAGTGTGGTTATCTGGGTGTTATTAAAAGGGGAAAAAACTGAAAGCAAAGTTATGTGAGTATCTATGGAGACTATACAAGACTATTACTTGAGATGAGTGAGCTATAAAGAATTCAGCTTTATCTTACAAAACCAGAGTCAGTGTTTATATAGCTAGAAATTATATGTGAGAGTATGCATGTGTGTGTATCTCAAAACAACATACAAAACATCAAACTGCAGTTGTACACATATATCCATTAAATACAAAGACAATATATATTCATGATATGGTGGAGGTTCCTCATTCATAGGGTAGCCATAACAAAAATGACAACAGAGGTATCCATGATACATTATAACAAACTCAAAACCATTAATCAAAACCATTCATAAAAATCAATTCCATCCCTATTTCAGATCTCCATGTGGTAGGAGATGTCCATGTACACTACTGAACCTCAGAAATTAGTGTCAGTGTACCAAAGCTGCATTATTAAATTACAATACCATGGTATTATATATTTTGAATACTGTACCAAGTGCAAAGGCCCATAACTCAAAGAAGCCGCAAAGCCAAATGAAATCACCCACACTATTGCAACAATTGAAATGTTTACTAAATGCATTTTTAATTGTTCATTTCACAAGTTTTATATGCGCAAGGAAACAGGTATCCAAAGATCCCAGCAGTTATCCCACTGATGTCAGATTCTGGTAACAGGAAGTACTTTGCTAATAGATTACCATCATGATCAGATCTTCTTTACTCCTTTTCTCAAATGTATAAATCGAGGAGTTTGCAGTTTGTGGTGGGATAGTAACGTCCAGTACAAATGACAGGGACCCAGAGGAGGCCAGCTTCCTATTCTATGGACTTTGTGGACCCAATTCACTACCAAGGGTCTCTCTCTCTCTCTCTCCTTCAACGTACTCAGAGCATGCCCTTGCTTCCCAAAGGCTGGCAGTGGCATCCTGCCCCGTAACATGGAGTATCCCCCAAAAGTCAGCTCCCATTTTCTGTTCTCTGCAACCAGGAAGCGATTAAGCACTCCCAAAGAGAACTTTTGTCGGTCACCTCGCTCCTTCCTTCTCAGCACCTTGCAAACCCCCCCCCCCCAATACGCCCCTTTTCTCTAGCTAGAAGCCCCTGCCTCCTCTCCGCTTCCCTTCTATCACGGAGAGTCAAGGCTAGGGGGTTTTCTTCCCCTCGCCCCCCGGCTTCAGTCCCGCCTGCTCAGTAGCAGCAACACAGCCTCCTCCTCCTCCTCCTCACCCTCATAGTGGAGATCCCACAGCACCAACAGCAACGGCAACGCAGAGCCCAGCTTGTTAACAGAAGCCCGGGGGGACACCATGATTGCCTCGATTCCCACGTGCGCCCGCTGACCCTCCAAATAGTTCAGCTGGGAACTCTGAAACTCTCAACAACATTCTCAGCCAAGTTCCTCGGGGTGGGTCGTGGGAGCCACGGATTGGCTGCGCCGGATTTCGTCCCGCCCTTTGTTAGGGGAACGTGGAAAGCAGGAGAGGCTACAGTCAACTGCCCCACCTCCTAGAGCTGGAGCATGCGCGCTAACGAGAGCTGAAGCTAGAGTTCACGCCGTGATGCCCTAACTTTGGACAGAGTTTACTTTTTGGCAGAACATCCTTAATATTTCACGTCCTCCATATCTCCAAAGTGTGATCTTCCGAGTATAGCGTAACACAAGATCAGCTGCCCACTAAAAATTATCACATGAATTATTTTGTTTAGTTGTTCTGCACGACTAAGCTAATATAACTTGGGTAATTAAAAGTTATCTTGTTACTGAAATTTTTATCTCTCTACCCTAAATCAACTCAACACTTTAACAATATACAGTAACGTGTATGTGCAAAATCCTCTTGCATAGATTTATGCAATGCAAACCAGATTATGTCATCATCCGCTGTAAATATCATTTAATTTACATTAATTAAAAGCTTCCTATTCCTCACCCCTTTCGGGTTCCTTTCCTTCAATGGAAGCCTTCCGGAGCCTCAGGACGGAGGTGGAACCTCTAACAGTCAAAAAAATCTCTGCCATGCCACCTGACCTTGTCAGGAGCAATCAGGGATCAAGACCACTGCAGAAGATTTTTAACTGCTAAAGGCTTTTCCCAACACCCCCCAAAGGTTTCCCAGGACCAAAAGGAGCCTTATAAAACCTTGGGAGCTGCAAAAGGAGTGAGTGGGTTAGGAAGCTTTTGATTAGTTTAAATTAAATATCACCAGCATCTGATAATAACATCATTCAGTTTGTACTGCATAACTCCATGAGCAGGATTTTGGCCTATATTTTAAGGTACACCTAGTCCAGTCCCTTTGCTTACTTAAGCTCAAATAAGTTCCTTTATGTATGAGGCATACATTCAATTAAAAGTACTGTATTCAAATGCTTAAGAGTTAACTGCTAGAGTGATGAAAATGTATTTTCCCACTACTACCAATAATAACTAGATTATTCTAGTTATTTGTGTGAGTGTATATGTGTGCATGCATATGCATTTTGTTGTACCAAGAAAACTAGATTTAAGAAACAAACTAGGGATGCTTTGGTATCAATATGAAATATGCAAATACCACTGCTTTGGTGTTTGTAAATTCACAAGAATAACTAAAAATTCACTTTTTACCATTAGATTATGTAGCCATTTTTAAAATCAACATGGAAATTATTTTAAAAATCATTACAATAATGATTACTTAAAAGTAGTATCCTCATTGCTTCTCTCCGCCCCAGGCTGTTCCAAGAACAGAGAAAGAAGAAAGCACAATTTTAACAAAACAGTTGTTATACAAAATAAGCCCAAGAGATTTCAGTGAAGGCACAATTCCTGTGCTGCTATTTTGTGCAGCCATTAATTGGGAGGGATAGTTGTGGGTGTGATTAGGTGGGATAAAAAGGCCCCTTTTCCGGGGGGGGGGGGGCCTCCTCCAGTGGGAAGATCATTTGGAGTCTCTAGTGTGATTGCTTGGGTGGCCGCAAGAAAAAGGAGTTAGGGATCCCGCACCTGTAATAATTGTGAAGCAAAAGGACATTGATCAGATGTAGCTTGTTGTGCAACAGCCAATGTGGTATAGTGAATAGACAGTTGGATTTGGATTCCAAGTTCAAAACCCTGCTTGGCTTTGGAAACCCAGTGTAGGGCAGCAATGCTGAACTACTCCTTGAACATTTCACATACATCAGAATCCCTATTACTTTTGCCATAGGTTGGAGGTGATTTGACAGCATGGAATAACAGCTTGTCATGCAAAGTTTACCTGCTGAAATGCTTTCTTCTACACATATTTGGATTTCCAGGGTCCTTAAATCTTCCAAGAGTCTCTAGGATTAGCTCAGCATCTACACCAACTTTGAGAACAGCATGGTTGCTTTTTCCTTATTGGTTTCAAGTGTGGACTTAAAGCAAAACGAGAGATCTGCTGGGCTCTTTGTAGTGGGGGGAAATGTCCTTCTCGAAGACATTAATCAATTAAAGTAGCAGGTTGTACACAACATCATTCTCTATGGCCTACTTAGTACTGTTCTGCTTATAATGCATTACCTCTCATACTAATTAACTTTATCAGTCATTTTATAAAACAAAGCATTAGAAGAATGAGTGTTGTCAAGCAAAATGAAAGGAAGCCCCTCAGACAAAATACAAAACTAGGTGCAACAGTATGCGGTAATGGCAGCAAATTGTATGGCTTTAAAAGGGAATCTACCATAAGAAATTTATGAAACATAAAGTGATCAATGGCAACCAGTTATGATGCGTAGATATAAGCTCCAGTATTTGTGACAGCATCCCATTGAATGCCAGATATTGCAGAACAATGGAAACAGGAATGGATACTTTTGGCCTACAACTCCCCATGAGTTCAGCCTACATGGCCCAGGGTTAGGGATCATGACAGCTACAGTCCAGAAACATCGCAAAAGCCATAGTTATCACTTCTGTTCTGGAAGGTGAAGACAACCACAGTCATTTTCTTGCATAATAATAAATAATTGCATGCTGTCAAGTCAATGCTGAGTTATGACGACCCTTTTCAGAGTTTTCTAGATAGACAATACTCAAATGTGGTTGCCCAAGGCAACACAGGCTGGCTCTTTTCCCAGGAGGCACAATGGGGAATTGAACTTGCAACCTCTGGCTCTGCAGCCAGACACCTAACTCACTAAGCTATACAGTCAGCTGTTCTCTTGAATAGCTCCTCTTTTTTAAGAAGGTATGAGCCAGATAACTTCTCATTTGATTATGGCCCCACAGGCAAGATTTGTCTGGTTTCCACCCTCCTACCTGGCCCAATGAAAGGGTTGCCACCAATGTTAAGAAAGAATGAAGGTATCCTTTCTTATGTTTTTCCATGCAGTGACATTTGGAGTTAAAAGTCTGATAGGAGAGGTGTCAAAAATCAGAGAACAGAAGGAAGATACCATGGTTATTTTATCTGACAACTGCTATTACATGTTTATTCAATCTCTTATTCTCAACACTGTTCTGAATTTCCTGATTTATTTTACCCTATTCTCAAGTGTAAGTCACTTGATGCCTCCAAATATGGTTTTAACTTCTTTAATAGAGTAGGTAGCCTCCACAGTACCTCAAAGATGTCCAAACGAAAAACCTAGGTCTACAAGGTTAAATGAACAGACTGCCCCAATACTTGGAAAAAAGAGAAGAAGAAAAATACAGAATAGTAAATACAGTGGTGCCCCGCATAGCGACGTTAATCCGTTCCAGATTAATCATCGCTATCCAGAAACATCGCTATATGGATGGCAAAACACTTACCGATCATCGCAATGCGATGTTTACCCTATCTAAACAGCACAATGCGATCGCATTAGTAGTAGCAAAAAACAGATCGCTATGCGGATTCGTCGTTAAACGGTGCGCTCATTATGCGAGGCGCCACTATACTGTATAGTCCAAGGTAGAAGGTTGAACATAAGCCCGTGAAAGTCAGAACAACTACAATATCAGATGAGATCTGAATGAAGTTAGACAAGACACAGTAATTTTTTTCCAGTTCATTAAGTCAAACAAAGCCCAAACCATCAAGTATTTCTTCTAGTTTTTAATATTTTGAGAATTTAATTTAACATAACAAATCAAAGAACAATTAAGCAAGTTAGGACTATAAAACAAGGAATAATTTGAGAGTATTTATCTAATTTCGGCTTAAATTTCCATTAAGAGACTAGGATTACAATACTGTAATTTAAATCACCTGTACACTGAGTCACTCATACATTGTCATACATCTGTGAGTGAATGAAGTGTACCCTAGAACTACTGTACAGTACTGTACTGTATTAATTCTGACAACATCCACTAGAGGCCACTAAACATATTCTAATAAAACACTGTGTAATTCAGGCATTGGTGCCCTATCTAATTGATGATGGAGAACTGCTATTGGCTAAACACCACCCCACATGGGGCTACTGTCAGGTCAATTTGCCAGGGGTATGCTTACTTACAGGGGTATACTTACTTCTTGTTATTACGTTCTGTCAAGTCAGACCTGACTTATTTTTTGTATTACATTTTATTATTATATAACACACAAACAGACAACAATCAAAGGGATACAAATACAGGGGGGGGAAGGGAAGTAGAGCAAAACAAAACAAAACAAAAACATAGGGAAGTATTTGCGATAATACAAAATCTAATATTTACTTATTTGTTTATTTGTTTATTTGTTTATTTATTTATTTAACTTATATGCCGCCCACACTACCCAAAGGTCTCTGGGCGGCTTACAACATTTAAAATACAATAAAAAGGCAAAATAAAAGGGCAAAATAATTAAAATGCAATTTAAAATATATACTGTAAAAATTGCCATGAGACCCACAGCTGATATTATTTCAATTAAAAGCCTTTTGGAACAGGAAGGTTTTGACCTGGCACCGAAATGTTATCAGCGTTGGCGACAGACGAATCTCAGTCAGGAGGGCGTTCCATAGTCTGGGGGCAGCTGCCGAAAAGGCCCTTTCTCTACAAGCCCTCCCTCTTACCTCCTTCAGGGACGGCTCTTTCAAAAAGGCCCCCTGGCTAGATCTTAACTGCCGGGTAGGTTCATATTGAAGGAGGCGATCCTTCAGGTATCCAGGGCCCAAGCCGTTTAGGGCTTTATATGTCAAAACAAATACTTTGAATTGGGCTCGAGCAGCAACTGGTAGCCAATGTAACTTAAACAGAATCGGCTTGATATGTTCCCTAGCGGCCCCACCACTCACCAGCCGCGCAGCTCGATTCTGGACCAGCTGCAGTCACCGGACCATCTTCAAAGGCAGCCCCACATAGAGCGTGTTGCAGTAATCTATGCAAGATGTTACCAGTGCGTGTGTAAATGTCATGAGACTCTGCTCATCCAGGTAGGGCCGTAGTTGGTATAATTTCCGCAGCGGAAGAAAGGCGCCTCTGGCCACCGAG